GGAGGTCGTGGGTTCGAGTCCCACCCGAGTGATTTTTTTTCAACTTTTACGCGGGAGGTAACACACTGAGCATACAGTGTTTATACGTCGGTGAAGGGCAAAACCTAACATTAAATTTACATCACCCGAAGCAAATTCCATATTATAAAAAAATTCAATTCTAATGCATCATAACCGGAAAGCCATTGTCATTAAAAACATTGCAGAAAGTATTTTCAGTTTCCTTGATAAACATCGACGGTCCTGATAATTAACGAAGCACATAATGTAAAAAAAAAAATGATTAAGAAATATTTCAATGTTTATCCATTCAGTTCCTCTGTCAACTTTGACAACAAAGGAGAATACAAAAAAGCTTATAGCCATAAATCACCATTGTAAATTGTCACCAGAATAAACTCTATGACTTGGATGCTTTTGCGAGCGCCGCGTGAGCTTTTACACCTACCAGGTGTGGCAATATTTTCCGTCATAACAAAAAAGGGCACAAACACCAAGGATGTAAGCTATAAAGTAGTTTAATGTATGTAAGATAGCAGACAAGGTAGCCCCCGGCCTGTGGTCTATACAGAACACCTTAACACGCGAGACGCGCCGAGCCGCACGCGTCGTTGCGAATCACACCAATGCTATACTTACCGACACTTGCTTGACAGAATTTTAATCATTCATGACACAGTTTGCTTGAAGCGATCGAATTCTTACTGTCTAGAAGCGTATTTATTCGGAGCGTGGTTGAGCATGTCGGAGTATAGAAATGCATGTGTTTTATGAGATTTTTTTTTTTTGTGGATTCAATTTGTCAGTGTGTCTGTGGGAAAACACTCGGATCACGGAATAGTAGCACCTTATTCACACCTTAATGCAACAACACTCTTCTACAACAACATTATAGTTGTGATATCACATCATTAAAGAGTTATTACCTAATTGCCGACTTTTCCAGCAATGGGTAATTGCTAGGGGAAAAACCTGTCAATATTTTGAACTTATCTTTTGGTTCATAATATCGAGGTTTTTCTTTCAAATATGTATTTGATATTTTATTAGTAAACATAAGCCCCAGTGTCCACCTTCCTTTGGAAACTGATATCTCCCGATAGCCGATTTATTTCCCCCTCAAAATCCAGATCTGCTGTATCCCAATGGAAGTTGAACGTTAACTTCGAAGAAAAAAGAAAAGAACAGAATTCTATTTTAAGATCGAGTTGCAGATAACAGCAAACATGTTTTGTGATATATCTGCAAAGCTCTTTGATGCCGAGTCTCCGTTTCTTTGATTTCCCATGGTGCCTGCGCCATAGATACCACTTCAATCAAAACGATTACAAGTACATGTACACTGAAATGTCAGTCGCTCCCTGCGCGCACTATGACGGGAAACACAATACCCGGACACATCGTGGGAAAGTGAAAATTTCCATCACTGAGTTGTGGCGCGCAACCAAAAAAGAGAGCAACGTTCGGCCAGCGCTGTAACCTTTGCTCCAGAGCTCTTGCGAGGCGCTCTCATTCAACAGCGTGGCGTGGTGAAATTGATACGAGGCTGCAGATCTCGAGTTGCCTTAATGCTGTTGATTTCCCGCCCTTTTCATGAAGACTCGACAAGACAGTTCCATCGGCACACAATGCTCCGACTAGTCTCATTTCTGATTCATAGAAAGGACATCTCTGTTCGAGAGGTAACTCCATATCGGATTGTCCAACGGAGTTAAGTTTCATACTTGCAGCTGGAGTGTTTTGCCTTTGCGAGTATTATGCAAAAACTGTTTTTCAAGGGGGACTATTTTTGGAATCGCGCGCGGGGCCATTTTGTGTGTGTGTCGTGTTCTGACGGTGGGTTGTTGACATTATTGCCCTTGTGAGCCGATCGGAACGTTCGGGCTAACGCAATGACGACAGAACGTTTTCTGGTAAGTTTGAAAAGAATTCGTGGAATGCCAATATGGGAAGAGACCTTCGGGTTGTATCTCTGCAGTAAACAAGCAACAGTTTCTGCAACATATACTTTTTTCCTACGTGTGAGTAATGCTCTCAATTGACACAGTAAATACTCATTAATATATACTGCACATCATTAAAACCGGGAACATAACACTGAAATTGCATCCGAAGGATCAATAACTTCATAACAAACAAAAAATCGCAATAGAAAAAGATACCTGGTGATGTTCCAGGATTAGCTTTGTCGTCTGAATGAGTATAGGCGTGCTTAATTTCTTATAAAAATTCATTTTATCAACTGTTTGAAGAAATGTAAGTAGGAAGAAAAAAATGGTGACGACTTAACTTTTAAAAATGTATACGCCAGACCATCGTTGTCTGTGCCAACCAAAAATAACAAATTTTCCAATGATCGTGAGTAGCTTTAAAGACAATGGACTGCCACCATTGCTTGTTGGTTTTGAACAATAGAAACAAAGGCTTGTTCTTTTTAGATGCAACCTTTCAGCCTGTACAAAAATACGATCGCAGATTTCAACGATTGGCCACAGATTGAAGTGCACTCTTTGCGCTTGCGCGTCCACCGGGGGGACGGAGGGGGACGGGCAGGGGAAATCAACTGTTAGTTTGATAATGTGCTCGCAAATTCAGATTGCGAGCGAGTGCGCCAGAACCCGGGAGATTAAGAAACGGGATTTAACAAGTGGAACGGAGAGATGGATCGACTCGTAGTTTTAATGGGCGTCTCACATTGCTATTATAACTCCGCGTCGATCCAACCTGACCAATTTGATCCAGTTGTTGGATATACCGCCGTGGGCTCGCCGGCAAAAATTGTTTCAAGATACTCCTTATCACGATGTGTTCTCTTTGGAGTGATCCATATGTTCTATTTCCCATCACCACTGGAATGAAATTACATATGGGTCCTTTGGCATTTCATCTAGTTGTTGGATTTACATGTGACACTATTTGCATTTAATGTACAGGGTGTCAAAAAATGTAGCAGTCAAACAACACTTTTTTTCTGAGGAAACAAAATCATATTTTTTTTTAATTACCAGGAGATGATCGAGTGTTTCTTTACCCTTGACAGGATTTTTGGTCCGTAAAGACTGTCAACATCTTATGGGTCACTTTCTTCACTTTCTTGGTATGTGAATGCCTTTCATTAGATACCAAGTGGCCCAACATGAATTCAAGTCATTTTATTTCATTAGCTGTATCTCTGGACTGGGGTGTCCAAATGAGATGGGATAAAGACCACTGTGTAGAGTATTCATACACCTTCAAACTCTATAGATAAGTTTTGCAAAAAGAGAGTGCTAGTACTTTTAATATTTATGGATTGATTGCTACATTTTTTAGGCACCCTGTAGATGCAAAACAATGTATACATCGTATCTGTGATACTAGAACATTATTTTGTTGCAAGAGCTTCATAGATAATGTACGAGAGACAAACAAATGCAAGGGTGTTGGATATCTACTTTTGGTTAAATTTAAAATCAAGACTTAAAATTTCATATTCAAGTATTAACAGTAAGTTTTAAAAGCTATATAATTAATTGTTTAAAAAGGAATCAACAACAAAAAATACCCGAACAACAGATGTAAAAGTAAGCAATCGTTTTTGTTTTCAGGAAGAATTCAGTATAAATACAGTTCAGAGAGATGATTATGGCCACAAGTGTCTATTTTAATATATGCATTGAAGCCCATTGAAGGATTTACATAGTTTAACCAGCATGCATTTTATCAGTGACGATAAAAATCGTCGTCTACCAGTCTACATTATAGTTAACTGTATCATCATTATACGTTTACGGTCTGTCCGCAGACTCCCGCGGGATCACTGGTCACGCGTCACTTCATGTAAGTCATCGCCGTGCAGGGATCTACTGCCGTTGCCTAGCGACGCACTTTTCCAATGCGTCGCCCTGGAAATTAGAATAAAGATCTTCACAGTTGCTAGGCTACAAAATAAGCATATCATACATCAACGGCCCGTTTTTGCCTCAATTCGCCTGTGTCATTATCATTTTGATAACTTTCTAGTTGTTGAGGGGTAAATGGCCTCTCCACGGACCAATGGCGGCCATGGGGAATCGGATATCAGCCAATCAGAGGCCCGTAAGCCATGGTCTGCGCGTCTGCAGATAACATCCACGCGGAGAAAACAGAAATAGAATGCCCACTGTACTTGAGACTGTGTGTGTGTTATACACAAGGTGTGTTTTCTCGTAGGTAACTGAGCGAAATGTTAAGTATGCCCTTCGGGTGGAGTGGCTGCGAATCGCATGGGTCTCTTGGTAACAATCAAATCCTATGTTTTGTGTTCGTATTACGGCGGTGTTAGTTTCAATCTACGGCTTGATAGCCGTGCGCTACGGGCGACGCACGGGCAATAGCCTCTCAGCTCAGACACACTGTCCGGGAAAATAGAAAAAAAAATCTGTTGACAGGATTGAGAGAAGGTAGATGTTTGTTTCGAAATTAGGACAGGTACATCGTTCATACAGTCTGCATAGGACGTAAATGCCATTCCAAGATGATGTCTCGTTAATGTCGATTTTTTTTCCCTAAGAAGTTATACGGCGCAATTGTAACGAGCGCTAAGGTCCTAATGAACTCTATTGATATTGCTGTGGATCATTCGGTGGCCCAGACCGGACACAGTCGTCACAAGAAAAATCACAGATACATATTTTTTTTCTGAGAAAGAACAGTTGCTGTGTGAGGTTACTCATTAATGCTAGTAATTTTCCAGGAACTATTGCTTAATAATTATTAATACACTTGATCAATTGTCACTGTCAGTCAATCGTTTGTAAGAAGGAATTTTGTTTTGATAACAATTTCTGACTGTCGCAATTAAATTTCCCAAGGCAATCAAATTCTAAGAAGTGTACGGTCCAGTATAACATCATACGGCACAATGTTATGTTTAGGTGTCCAGGGATTAATGTTCGCCATTTTCTCTATGTATGGCTCGGTAGTACTTTGAAAAATTTTCCCATTTAAAAATCTGCCCATTTGAAATCTGTACAGGTCCCCACGACGGACTGTGAATAATCCTGCAGTGCCTGACCATCCAATGAGCGCATGATAGTCACGAGAGAGGGGGACCAGCCACAGTTATCGCATGTGCCTTGCGCGGCAACCAGGGACCATGGCCCACTCCAAAGGTGTAAGTTACACATAACCTGCCCGTTCGAGAATTGGCCGGTACATGTTCAATTTACATGTATGCACCTTACGGCTGAAGGAAGCTGGGATTGCTATGGCCACTGTGAACATGACAGAAGTATTGCCTGCCCTTTCGGGAATGGGCATGTTAATTATGTTGGTAGGCGGAAACTATTATTTTCTTCTCTGATTAAATCTTTCTGATAGGATATGCTATCGTAACTAGTACCACTTGGGAGACACCTTAGCATCAGAAGTTATACATTTGGAAGACATGTGGAATTAAGGAGACACATGTCTCCCTAATGCCTCAGCTCCCACTGAGAGGGCAAACATGCTAGATTGATTGCTCGTGATCCAGTTAGTAAAAGTACCAAAGTTTGTGGGGGTAGGATAAGGGAAAATTGCGGTTAGGGGTTTTGAAAGTCGGATATTTTTTTAATGAACAAGTCTATGGGAATGAATCCCTAAGGGTACCATTCGGTTATATTATAACGTTCCTTGTTAGGTATGTGATATTTTTCTTTTCAGGTTCATTACGCCTTTAAGCATATTTAATGACTTCCTTTGTTGATATTATGTGCTGTATCAAAAATTCTTGGTATCATATTAGTTTTTGACTTTTATGACAGCCGCCAACTCCGCTCCGAAAACAGGACTCTTCGTCCCCTGACCTCAAGACTAGCCGGACGACCACCACGACCCCCGCCCTCGCTGACCTTGACCTTTCACATTTGACCTCGGAGGAAATTGGTGCTATTCAGAAGGTGCTAAAGAAGCAAGAGTCTTTCGAGCGACAAGCAAAGCTCAGAGCGGAGTAAGTTAAATGGAGACTGTTGAGACAATTGGTGGCAGCAAACACACCGGTCACACAATTGTTTGTGTCACGTTTAAGCTTATGTGCGCATGCTCAAAATGACGCAACAATGGAAAAGGACCCTTGCTGTCGCGCCACCAAGCGTCTCAAAAGTCTCCAATTTGTTAAGGTATTTTCCCCTCAATGTTCATATTAATTTAGTCACATGTAGAGAGGAAAGCGTCGTTACTTACATGACTTTTTCTAATATTTGTGATATTTTATTTGCTTTTTTTTCTTTTTCAAACTCTTGGTAACGTTCCCGCTATGAGAATGCCAGTCTTCTTTAACCCTAAAAGGGCCGGGGGGGGGGCGGAATCCGCCCCCCCCCTCAACATTTTCCGCGATAGCTTCTAAACAAATTTTTTTCGCGACCCAAGCTGTTATGACTTTTTAGCCTCGAGCTTTGCGCATCTTTTGATACCAAAAACATAAAAATCGGACCACGGGTTGGCCCGTAGCGAAAAATTTTCCGGCGCTATGCGCCGTGAAAACTGAATTTTCGCATATACATCGTGTACATCGAGCAGAATTGCCATTCATACATATGAATAATTAATTAGCCATAATTCCAAAACCCTTTGACCTATAGTCATGAAATTTCTTGGGCATGTTTAGGAAGAGTTGCTCTATGCATGTGTGGAGTTTCAAAATTTTTCGTCACTCGATGGCCGAGATCTTAGGGGGGGGGGGCGGAATCCGCCCCCCCCCGGCTGAGAGATGGTCAAAATAACCCGGCCCCTTTAGGGTTAACGAACGTCATCAGTTTCGAGGTCATGGCTTCTATTATTTAGTCGAGTTGTTTGTAGCGGATATTTCAATGGTTAGAATAATCAGGAATGGTATTTCATCGACCTACTCTGAGTCTTAATGGCGCCTTCAAGACGGCAGGATAAATTAGAATAGCAAATGCGAGGTCATCTTTAAAAAGAAAAGGGCCATTAGAAGGGATCATTACTTTGCTATCATTGCCATACTCGAGTAAATTACCCCCAACGGGTTAAAAATAAAGATAAGATATTTTCTTAGATGCACGCACCTTTTGACCTTTATTTTTGTGAGCTTTTTTTGGCTTGATCTGGTTGTTTTGCCAGAAAGAAATCTATCTGCGTAGATATCTCTAGCCTTCTTTTTAAAGAAAATACTTTGCGGCACATTGATAACTTTTGAAATAAATAGTATATGGAATGGCGTTATGACTATTATAATCTTGGTCTTATATTGTTGCATGATTCCGATTCGGCAGCCAAATCGAGAAGGCCATTCGCCGATACGAGGCCACCTTAGCGGCCAGGGAATCACATCCGCCCAGGTCAAAGGACGATGATATGCGCATGTGCAGGCTCTGCTTTGTCCGGAAGTTCACGGACGGGCTAGGCAACACGTGCGGTGACTGCCTGCACCGGGTCTGCACTAACTGCTCCTCGCAGGTGGTTGACGGCGGTGGCACGAGCCCAACACCTAAACATAGATTTGTAAGTCGAGATTATTATTATTTTTTGAATAATTTCCTTCTCTGGAAAACCCAAACGAACTAGGTCATCAAACGTAATGCAGAAGGAATTTGAGTAAATATAACTTTCTTCCGTAACCGCTTCAGCAAAAATGTACACTGACTTTAAACAAGAGTGCTTAAATGTTTTGATATTTATCTTATTATGAAAGGTTGACACATTTTGTCCAAAAGATGACCAAGATTCATGTTAGTATCTTCCTGAAGATTGATTCAACTCAGCCAGGTGATCAAGATGCTTATGACTCTCAGCAACATACTTTACTACAATCGATTTGCTCCACTTGCGAGCAAAAGTGTTTCTTCTTACACCAGGGGGTTTGTTTAGTGAATACATTTGTATTATACTGAGTAAACCTCGGGTTGGGTGTTGCTTGCACGTCTTGAACTAAAGTCAACAAAGTTGAGGGAAGTTGTTTAGATACGGGGCCTCATTATCTCTTTCCACATTCTACAGAAACACAAAAAGCGCTGGCGCTGTAACTTATGCAAGCTTCAACGGGACTACCTGTGCGTGACGGGCCGTTGGTATTACCAAGATGACGACGCCCGCGGGGCTGAGCCACATTTCCGTAACATGTCCATGCCGAGTATGGAGGGGCAGAGCCCCGGGAGCACCCCACCCAGGAGACGGGTGGTGCGAAGCGCACAGTCGGATCTGGTAAGGGCAAAAAGACTTACGTGTGCCATTTTCGGCAAAATTCCTATTTCCTTTTAATATTTCTCAAAAAGATCCTCCTTTCTAGAGTACCAATCAACAGGCATGGTTTCAACTGAAATGCGGAAAGAGCACACAGAGTCATTAGTTGCTCAAGTTGAGATGATCACAGGCACTACAAGAAGAAAAAGATTATTAAAAACAATAAAACCAACCCGGGCAAAGAATGTGTCACACCAGACATACAGGACTTGTGATTCTTGGAATGATGATGGAAGCAGCTAGCTTTCCTATATATTTGAACTAAGGCGCTTGAAAAGATAGCAGCAATGTGCACAATCACAATCGCAGTTTACTACCAGTAAATTATTCCTTTTGTATACGGATCCTTTGACAAATATTGACACTATTCTTTTCCAATTTCGTCTGGGTTAGGAGGAGAGATTCGTCCACCGTAATATCGAAGCCATCAAGCGCAACTCCTGGGACTCCGGTAAACACTACAAGTCCGACACCGAGGCCTCCTCGTCCACCTGCCTCCGCCAGTCCTTCACCCGGGAGTCCCTAAACGGCAAGAAGTCCGTGACGCGGCGACGCCGTCGATCCTCGCAGCTCCGCCAGATCTCCTGCGACTCGCCAGGGGAGAACCTGACGCAGGAGTCGGACGAAGGGGAGTGGATGAATCGCGCCCTCGCGCGGCGGGCCTCGCACAGGCGACCTCTGAGACGTCGGAGGTATGGGGTGACTGAGGCCGGTGATAAGAGTCCGGAAGGTAAAGTTTTACTGTCAAGAGTTTGAGTTCCTCTAGTAGTGTTTATTCCCCCGCTTTGTACCTCTGTGACCCGAGTTCAAATATCGCCAATTCTAACATTATATTACAAAGGTTTCAATCCACAAACATCCTAGAAATGTCCCGGATGTTTCTCACTCGGGAAACTAAACGCTTCATCATCACCAGGTCGATTTAGGACCAAAGTATGCACTAACTTTTTGAGTACCCATGGCCGAATATTGAAGAAGAACAGAACACACAGTTCGAAACGTCGAGTTAATTGGGTCTTATCAGAACCCCCCTAACAAAAGGAATACATAGCGCCAGCGCATACGCATACACATCAGCTCACAAAACCATAGTTCAATTACCAGAGACAAATTATCATAAATTAATCCTGGAAAATAAAACGTTGAAAAAATGTCGACTTCTATCCCGGAACAGGCTCCCAGAGTGCTAAAGCCAGTGGACAGCAAGCCAGCGGCAGCGAAGACGAGCGGCCAGTCTCGGTAGCAGACGCCGAGCGCTCGCCGTCAAACCGACGCCGTAGCCGGCCATCCATTCACGGTAGACGGTCTCCCTCGGGCGCCGTGTCGCCCAAGGAGCCTCCCACCGAAGGACAGCAAGTTGCCAGCACCGCACACGAGAGAGCCAAGGAGGCCAGAGGGAAGTACAAACGGACCGGGAGTGTCAAGGCGGACTTCCTGGGCAAGTTTGGCCAGCGGGCCATGGAGAGGTTCCGGCGCCGGTCACGCTCGGAGAGTGAGCTTAACATTCCAGAACAGCCAACGGTGAGACAGACTTGTTTTGATGTTTTTGAAAGTTTAAATATTTGTGGAGAAACTCAATTTTTGACAACACAAAGGAAGAAGGAAAACTCGTGCTGTGCCGATACAGTTATCTGTTAAGAAGATAAATGACAACACAGCAAGCATACAATACTCGCGAGTATTCGGTACTCGTAAGTACCCATCCAGCGATTGCCATTGGAACACGAGTGCAAAACAAGTCATCTTTAAGATTGGTACTTGGCTCACTGCTTGAGATCTGTGAAACTTTATTACTTACTTAGATTTTTTTTTACCTAATCAACAGCAAGAAACGACAATATACGTACGCGATGACTCGGAGGAGGTGACCATTCAGCGAGATCCGCAAGACACTTCGTGTAAAAGTACGTTGCGTTAGTTGAAATACCAAGTAAAACTTATGCGTATTAGGATGGAAATTGATACCATTGTGATGTCACACGCAAATTGGCTTAATAATCAACTAAATATATTTATTATAATTAACAAAAGATAATTTGCTACTGATTGGGACAAATGCAGACGAAATATAACACTGAAATTATAAAGGAGCCAAAATCATCATTCATGGAACGGGGAGAGTGTCGGGGGGGGGGGGGGAAGTAATACATGTACTAAAACCGGCCACGGTTATAATGCAGCCTGAACCATATCAATGAAAGCTTTTCACTATCAATTACTTGATGTCACAATAGTTAAGGGTCATGTGATGATCATTTGTCATTATCTCCTTCTGTTTTTATTTGTTTACGGAAGCCCGAGGTTATGGGCTCGAGGTTGTAGGAGGCAGGCAAGATTCAGACGGCTGGCTGCGTGCGTTCGTCACTAGGGTGATCGTCGATGGACCAGCAGACAAAGTTGACGTTCATAAAGGTCAGTAGACGTACGCAAACTAGGTTTGCATGGCATACGTGGGCATTTGAAGCGCCCTCTTCTGATAATAATGTAACGATCCCTCCACTATATAATTGCAATAACTATTATTGCAGCAATATAGAGCAATGCGAGTTCCAGCCAGCATTTTTCATGTTGCCAACAATTATTTGAATTTTTTTGTCAGCCAATTAAGAGGTCTCAATGTAGCAGCCTTTTATTTGACCAGACGACAGTATTAATGTAGAAACTAGCCCTGAATATCAATGGATGAATAAATTAGTTAAACAAACAAGAACAGGTTGAAAAGATTGACGAGTCTGAGCAGATTATTTTTTAACAAGCAATCATCCCTTTTCACACAAGATTTACATGTACACAGAAGACAGGGATATGAGTTTAAACTTAAGAGGACATATCTGATTATTTTATTCTTTTGGAATATCTGTGTTATAGGCGATGAAATACTGGAATGGAACAGCCAGTCACTTGAGAATAAGACATTTGAGCAGGTCCAGCAGGTTTTGGATCAGCATTGCGGTGACGAACTGAAGCTGAGAATAGTGCGCTATCAGGCGTGAGTAGCCATGGAAATCAGTGAATTACTTTATTTGTATAAATATCCAGGAGAAACAAACTCATTTGTTGCCAGAACAGGGACCTGATATGCTCTCATTAAATTGGTCTAAATAATATCAGTACTCGTGTAATAGGAGGCAAGACTCATAGATATAGCATACATTTCCTATGCACGCTAGAGCCTGTATATACATTTCCCATGCACGCCAGAGCCTGTATATACGGTACGATCACATCTATATTAAATGTTTTTGCGTATTAAAGATACTATTAAGAAAGAAGTGCTTTTGACTCGAAGTATTTTTTGTAAAATATTTTTCTAATACTAAATAGGCACAGAGGCACTGATACTCTCACGGCCAAACGCGGTAGCTCCGTTTCTATCGAGTCAGAGGTATACCACAGACGGAAAAAGATATCCGTAGGTAAGTGCAAATCTATAGTTTTCACTACAAATATCTACAAAATATTCTAACAATGTAATGTATTCACACTTAAACACAGTAAGAATGAAAGGAAACAAGTTGTAGTGATCTAGACCGGGAACGAAGTAATTGAGAGAGCAAAACATATTTTGCCTCTAACCATTTTTACCAGAAATCCAAGTGGGTTACACATGAGCCAACATTATTTAATTCTGCAAATCAAATGGACATTTTTATAGAAGGAATCGTGAATTTTGAATCATGTTCCCAGGTATGCAGAACAGTATCAACTCGGAGCAATACCGAGAAATGTTCACACCGGCCGCCGAAGATACGAACCTGTTGTCGGCAAGCCAGAGGGCCGGCAGCCGGCGAAAACTGCCCGTACCACCGGTAAGTCTTTGTTTGTGTGATTTGGTCATTCCTTCATCAGAGTTGTCTCTCAACTCCTAGTACCACCATTAAGGGATGCAAAGAATATTGATTTCACTCAAAACATGGTACAGACCAATCCACCTTACATTTCACAGAGGCCCTCTTCAATGACGAAAGCACTGTGCCAGTTTTTGTATATACACAGCAACTACCCTATGAGGGATTATCTGAACATAGCTAGCACAGTGCTTTCGTCATTGAAGGGGGCCTCCTTGAGAGCTTGGAAAGGTCTACAGCTTATACTCAATTTACATGGGACACAGATGTGCAGTCCAGTCCACAATTCACAGTACTGCTAAGGACTCCATGCTGTGCGAATCGATCTGACACTGTAAAGTTTGCGTTTCGGCTTGAATCGAAAAGCCAAGCAGAAGGCTCTTCTGTAGTGAATACTCATCACATTGTAGATGACTGGATTGACGACAGAATTCAGTAAAAGCAGGAAGTAGAAGACTTGATTGAGTATGGTCAGCTGCTCGGTCTGTTCTACCTCGTTGGTGGTGAAAGAAATGATGTCTGTGATGAAGCTGTAGAGTCTATGAGGCCCCATCAGACCGAACACTACGGAGCCGTTGACCACCAGCATCCTGGCCACCTGGTTGCGGGTCTTGATGGCCGTTTTCAGTGCGTCGTTCTGGACGCCGACGCGGTCGACCACTCGGTGGTGCAGGGCTCGGATAATGCGAGCGTAGAGCCGGGCATTGACGAATACGAAGGCGGTGAAGAGACCGGCATCTAGCAGGGCGTAGGCGAATTTAGCCTCCTTGGACGTCGGGCTGCAGGTGGCTATAAGCTCCGGGAGACCTACGGAGGTGCTGCTGTTTGGCCAGCGAATGCAGGTCAGGGTATAGATTTGGTAGGTGAACCCAGGCACGGCTGCAACAGAAGCCGCGAAGAACCAGGCCATGAGGGTCAGTTTGATACACCTGGACCGTCCGCTATTCCTGATGTAGTGGAGTGGATTACAGATGGCATTACACTTCTCCAGAGAGACCACGGTGACCAGACAGCAGGTGGCAACGTGCAGGAAATCGGTGAAGTAGTAGACGGGGATGCAGCTGGAAGGTCCGCTGGCCAGGACGTCGATCTTGATCGGTGTGGAGTAGAATGAGAACAACTGCCTACTGACGTAGGTGGTCAGGAAGGCTAGATCGGCAAAGGCAAGCTGGCATAGGTAGAAATTGGTGAAATTGCGCATCCTGGGCACCCGCAAGACCACGAAGAAGAAGGCTAGGTTTGCAAACACTCCCGTGATCAGGAGGATCGGCAAGATGATTGTGATGAAGATGACATCGGTATCAGTGCGAAGAAGAAAGGACGCTTCCAGCTCATCATTGTCGGTGAAATTGATCCAGGAGTTGACAGAGCCGCTGCCACAGATGTCATCATCCATGATTGCTTTGAGGTCTAAGGTTCCTCACTTATTTTCACCAAACCAAGCATCCAACGCTACTTCTTTGTACTATAGATTTCAAACCTCTGTGAACTACTTAGTATTTCAAGTTCTGTCTAGTGTTACGAAAGCTAGGGGATTTGACGAAGTCCTAACGCGTATTTACTGGAAGATACCGTCGGTCAGAATCTATATGATGTTGAGGAATTATCGTTTCAAATACTTGGTATATGCGTGAGCTTTAAAATTAAAATATTGCGTTCCGACAGCTGTCGTATTTATACAGTCATCGGAGATGAGCATTTCGCTTGATCTGGTGTGCAATCACAATGCAGTGATGATAACCAATCACTTTATCCTTTGATGCATATTCAAGCAATCCTCGATGACGACCACATCGTCCAACGTGCGCACGACCGCTCCAAGAGTGGAGCTCACCCCCGCTGAAAACCAGAACCTGGGCGAGCTGTGCATGCAGCTGACACTACGGGAAGAGACCAAGGAGCTGGTGGTGGTACTGATGGAGGCGAAGGGACTCAAAGTGAGGGAGGGAGATCCATTGGGGCAACCGCCAAGCCCGTACATCAATATCTACCAGCTGCCTTACAGAAGGTATTAAAACATCTTTGGAATTCTTAATAATTATATTTTATTTCATAATACCGCATTCATATTCGATTCAGATAATAAAGATATTATGGTCATTCTACTGCCAACCAACCAGGTGATACGTATACAATACATAAGAAGATATGAAACAGGCAAGATAGGGGTTTCAATGCTTTTAAATAAAGCATTGAATGCGATGAAAGCTTTGATTTCCAGAAAGGTACAGCTTTGGATAAGACAAGGAAGAATTAGACAAGGATAGGCGACTGAATAATGATTAACATCGTGTGATAAATCCGGAGTGGTATTCCGATTGAAAAGAGACGTGGAGCGTTATGACGTCATCGTTAAACACTTATCGAGCATCCGTCAGATTTGGAAAATCACACTATAGATTGCCATTGAAATATTCGTATTCACGTGTAGTGATGACATGGTCTCGATACAATGTCCCTAACCACAGGTATTCAAAGACGACAGTACTCACAGGACCGTCATATGAAATGTCATCGATGAAGTATCTGAACACTCTGAATGTAATCTCTGTGGTCATTTTGGTAACTTAAAGATTTTCTTTCTCTGTTTGATATCCGATCAATAGGGAAAGTCTCCGGTATCGATCACCGACCATACCGGCAACCGCCACGCCCATATGGAACAAGACCTTCGTATTCCCCAACATCTCCCAATCAGAGGTGAGTACGTACGTCACGTGTTTGTCACGTGCAACCTACCAACCAATAAGGATCGGAGATGTGTTTGACTGGCACATCTGTGACCTCGGTTGATCCATTGTGTTGGCCATATTGCAAGTTGCGATTCGCCTGCGTTTATAAATTTCGAACCAATTTTGATATACAGTAGTTCAGGTTAAAATATGACATTTCTACCACCGATATAAAAAACATAAAAACTTACCCGGTTTTGTTTGAACGTCCATATTTCCCTCGTAGCAGATAGCTGGTCTGTCACTGGAATTCACCGTCTGGGATGAGCGACCTGACTGCATGAATCTGTTCCTTGGAGAGGTAAGAGGAGAAAATAACTTCTAAGTTGGCACAATCTAGATGAAAATAAAGATGTACAGTTTAGCTCGTGCGCGCTATGTGAATGGTCAATTCTGATGCACCAAAAAGGCTGATGATGTGGAGTTCCTCTAAAAATCTTTCTCAGGTTTTGATCGATCTCCAAGACGAGCCCCTGACCGGCAAACCCGCCTGGTACCCCCTTGCCGACCACGACGAGAACATCGGTGACCTGCCTTGCACGGCCCCGCCTGGCGTGGTGCTGGCACGGCTCCAGCAGCAGCACAACCAGGCCATGGGTATCGGCTTGATGGATGCACCGCACCTGCTGACCCCCTACCTGACAGCAGGTGGAATGAGCCATAAGGAGCTGGCTCGCTGCCCAAGCGACTCGGGTAATTACGATCGATTTCAGTTAATGTCAGGATGTGTTTGTAAAAAGGATCCACACACTATGCAAAAACCTCTAACAATTTGAATAGAAACAGTTATTCTTGCATCCATTTGACTACATCTTTATTTAGTTATATATGCATTTCGTTAAATTTCACCGGGGTGGCCCCATCAGTTGTCAATTAATGTGAGCTATGTTCAGCTAGGTGCATTTTGGATTGTTACCAAGTCAAATCAGACTAGAGTGTAATCAGAGTCTAGACTCGCAAAGTCAAATCTCCAGAGGGGAGGACTTATTTGAACATTATCTCTTTGCATGCAATCGCCAGATCGGAATCTACACCAAGGCTGGACCAAGTCTAAAACCAAGTCATAAATAAATATAGAATCCATTCAAGTTGGCAGCCTCCCTATTAAACGAAGCGTGCAACTTTGGCAAATTTAACCTGCTCTACATGGCAACATGTCGCGTAACCTGCCCTCGACATTGATATGTATTATTTGTAATCTGAAATCACCACTCAAGTTTGAGGTAACGATGGCTTTATAACTATCAGTTTCTGTTTTATTCTATCTAGTAAAGGAATATGGGCGTGGTCGCGAGGGTCTGATGCCTTTATCTCTTGAGGCAGCCTCACAGCTACACATTGAGGATCGCTTCGACCGTCTCCCGCTTTCCAGACACCGATCCTGCCCGACCGCTGGGAGTAATGCTTACAATAAAATGACGGACTTGCCACAGATCATAGGTAGGTTTCGCCTATGGGGAAAACCAAGAACGTGTGATCGGTAGGGGCGGCGGAGTACACACATCCCATAGATCTAAGACGATGATTAAGGCCAAGTTCGCGCAAGGACTATAGTTGACCAATGGTTAACCATAGATCTACTAACGCTTGCCCGAACTCTGTCTAGTCGACGGTGGTTGACTACGCTAGTCGACTATTTGGAACCAACCTACTGGGGCTGGTTGCATCGCTGGTAATCAATAGCCGCGCTAGCAGAGAGCCGGGATCCAGAAGTTTTGCGATGACATTTTGACCAGCGTTTGACTAGAGACGTTCGCACGTTGCTATCAGTGCGCAGGCGTAAGGTACGTCACAAATCAACCAATAGTCGACTAATGGTCCTTGCCCGGCGAACTTGGCCCATGCTGACGATCAGAGTCACACATGCAGGGCTAATTCCGATGGGGAGAAGTCTCATAAAAGGAAAGTTGAGGAAGTTGACAAAAGTTGATGTAAGCCGATGATGTGAAGTTGTTGATTCCCCTCTACGAACAACAAGACTGTTAATATCCAGCAACATACTTTTTTGGCTTAATTTGTGCTGATTTATTTACCAATGCTGTAGTGTTCATACTAAGTTTCATTTCACTGCCAATGAAATTCACCTCACATTTAGTACACGTGTTTATGATTCTTGACACAGTTGCTGGACCATCAGAAGACACCTGGCCAGACATGTTCAACGAGAGACGCAAGCGTAGCTCATCCAGCTTTGGTAGTAGTATCGCTGGTAGCAGCATAGCGGGTAGTGATTGGGAAAGCTGTACCAGCTACAGCAGCGGCAGTCGCAACAGCATGGACTCAGACTACCACTTCAGGTAACAATCAAAGAGAAGTGTAACTTATTCGATTTAGACACGTAGGCCTACATGCATAAAATGTCTCTCAGTTTGATTGGCGTAGGTGACGTTTGCCACCGCCATCTTGGATTGGGATACTGCTCACGTGCGGGATTCACTCATTGCATGAAAACTACGCACCAAAATGGACATTAAATGAAGGCCTCACAAAGTTGTTATGTGCTGATCTTCAGGAGTTAAATTCCTGAGTTACTGTGAGAATTACAAATGAGCTTAGCTCCTCGAATTCATTGTCGGAAAACAAGTTTAAGTGCATTTGAGTTTGTCTCAGTTTGTCTCATCGACGAGCACTATTTTGAATGGTTCAAGACACGCAACTTGACATGTAACTGCTTTATGTACACAGGCTGTCAACGTGTTCCATGCCGAGACCGGCACCAGACGGTGAAGACGGGATGATCACCGAGCCGGGTCCGGGACAAGTCCTCCTGGAGAACTTCAGTGAGTCAACAACCAATTGAGTCGTATACATGTGGTGGCAAAGCAGTCCTCACATGTCAGTGGATGTGTGGGTAACGAACTTGTAGACAAGGGGAGATTGCAAAATGGGAAACAAAATCAATCGTAAAAGAGCTAGAGACACACTTCTTTGGATGTTATATTTTTGCAGACAAGGGCGCCATTAGTCAGTTTTTGATAGTTCAAATATTACCCTCTAAAAGCACACTGACAATAGCTAAAGCAGAACTAGAAAGGAAGAACACATGGGAATCTTACAAATAAACCTTGAAATCTTAAAAATGAGATGAGAGTTTGGAATTTACAAACCCGAATAAAATAAAAACTCAATCTTTTGCGCTGCAGATGGGCGACCTTGTGGATTCATCAAACTGGCCATGGCCGTCAGCAAGGGATCACTGGAAGTAGAGATCATATGCGCTACAGGCTTGCTGTTCCACGGAGAACCGGAATCATTAGGTAAAATAATGACAGAGTCAACTTAGTCAATTTCCTTAATGAGCTTACAAGTTGCAATATTAAAAAGCTATTCAAGGTAATTTGGCTACATCGCTAGAACGAGGGAGAGATCAGGGTACTTATGGGAGTTGTTTACTGAACGGATTTTGTTCCTCTTGAGGGAGGAGGGAAAGACGAATAAGTGTATAGACGTCATAAAAGATATCGACAGTTTTCTTTCAAATTAAATAACACGGTTAATGTTGAAGACTCAACCACAAGTCAAACACATTCTCCAACACAAGTCAATCACAAGTCCAACACAAGTCCAATATAAAGTCAATCACAAGTACAACACAAGTCAATCACAAGTCAATCACAAGTCAAACACAAGTCAATCACAAGTCAATCACAAGTCAATCACAAGTCAATTACAAGTCAAACACAAGTCAATCACAAGTCAATCACAAGTCAAACACAAGTCAACATAAGTCAATTACAAGTCAATCACGAGTCAATTAGTCCCTAGTTAACCCAAGAGCTATCCAGGTGAACCCTGACAAAGACAATACTTTCTTATTGTTCATCCCCCTCACTTGTGACTGGACTTGTGAATTGACATGCGATTTACTTGTGACTGGACTTGTTATCGATCACAAGCACCTCGACTACAACACTTAACATGGTCCAAAAAGGTGTAGCATGACAGGTGTCACAGGTAATTAGTTTTTAAAGAGCAGCCTAATGTTGATTGCACACGTGACTTAAGGTGTCAACCTCTCCACAGATACCTACGTCAAGACGTACCTGCTAGAGGGCGACAGACAGCTGGTTAAACGGAAGACCAAAGTGTTACACGCTACGTGTGAACCACACTACGCCCAGACCCTCAAATACTCTGCCTGTGATATCACTGGGAGGCGATTACAGGTGAGTTTATCAGAGGATGCAAGTACATGACGGGGTAGTTCTGTCATGTGTTCACACTGCATATTCCCTTTAATACACCCAACATTTGGATACCAGGTGCATTTTAAATGTTCTTGGTGATAATAAGTGAGAAGTATCAAGATTTAGTTCTACTTAGAACCTTACATTTGAACTTAAATGCTATCAAGATCATATGAGTAAAGTCGAATAGACATATCTACAGTGTAACCCCTGTGGTGTTGTAGTTTTGTTTAGCAGCATATGGATGTCAAGTAGATAACAATCGTTCCTTGTGATGAGAGAACAGTCAAAACGTTAGCAGGCAATCACAGATGGTTCACAAACGAACCCGTCATTCATAGTTTGTATTGTGAACCTCATATGGCTTCCGTCGTCACACCAATTGACAAATAGATCAAAATGAAGGAACACTGGTTATGTCTTTCTAACGCTCGACCATAACTTTATACTCAGGTGATGCTGTGGCGTAAGACGAAGATACGAGAGAGCAACCAGTGTCTCGGAGAAGCTCGCATCACCTTGGACATCTTAGAGGAGACAACCCACTCCACTGCGTGGTATACCCTCTTCCCATCTGGTGCCTACGAGAGCCTCAAGTCATCACAGAGTTTGGAGCTCCTGAAATTCTGAGATTAAAGCCGAATTGGCGTTACAACTCAGCAAGAACCAGCTCACCTGAAAAGCGAGTGTCATCCCCTTTCAGTTTGATGACACCCTCTGTCACCTTTCAGATGTCGATTGGAAACTTTGAAAAGCTTCACAAAGCAAGATAACTGGCAAACAAATCAAGTAACGTTGACTATGTTGTCCCTTGATCTCCGTGATGCTGTGCTTGTATCTGCACTTTATCGTCGACAAGCTTCTGACACGCCTGGGTTTAAGACTTCAAAGGAATTACAGGCAACACAAACTGTTGATATGTGACCATGCAGCCAGTGGTCCTGAGACAAACGGATTATACTCGCGTAATACACCTGATATTTTTTTTTTCGACTTGCCGTTACAATCCCACCAGAGCCAACAAAGTATTAAACATTCCTTCAGGTATTTTGTGGAAACTTTGATCACACTCTGCTGTAAAGCAACATCAGAAGGTCAAATTCGGGGTCATTTATGGGAATTATCAGCATGAACGGACATTTTTCGACACAGGAACGGCATGTGGTACACAATATACAAACGGCTGGAGCTAGAGACTGACCAAATGTGAAACTTGAACGAACTACCGAGAAGACTCATCACAGTTAATGAACTCGGAATAGTCTTTCAGGGAAGTTACAAAATCAAGTCGGGAAAAAGACATTTGGGGGACAAAAAACATAGAAGAGGAATTACAATTCTACAGGAATGGGTGGCTTAGAAACTTTATAAAGAAAAATCGTTACGAACAAATGTTTAATTAAAATGTTTTAAATGAAACCTTTATTTTTATCTTACAAAATATTTTGTTCTCTATAATGTCTTGATATTTGTATTGCTTATTTTTGGATGTGTTGAGTGTTTTGGATATTTTTTTCTTTCAATTAGTGAAGATGGTCATCTGTTTGCAGTAATTTGACGCTTGGTGCTAACTTCAACGAACACGTTTGGTGCTGATGTAGAAAGCATGTTATCATTCGGTAGAGATAGTCCTTTGAACTCTTTATTAAGATGAGTTGCCTTGTATATAGTGACGTAATAATACAGCTTATGTGTGTTTCTACTGAATGGCTGACAAAATCAGTATAAAAACAAGTATTTCTGTTGTAAGCTTTTGAGAATGCCTTGTATATTTTTTTGAGCTTTCAATTAAAGATTTTCAATGTTTCATTGCATAATGCATTCACTCGATTTAGAACTTGCCAGCGAATCCTTCATTTTAAGATCATATAAAAAATTTCATATTTACACAAATATTAGCCCCAACAGGTTGAATGTGATAGATACTTTCTGTGAGAGCTTGTTTATATTGTTTATACATTTTGTATGAACTAATTAATACTTACATCTTGTACAAGCGTATAATGAACAAATTTGTACATTTATGACATTAATGCCCCGGTATGTATATTTTTGTGTTGAAAGTTGTACATAATTGTGCCTTCTAAAGAAACGAGTAAGCTTTTGCTGCCCTTTATAAACCAAAAAAATAAGAATTGTCGTCAATTTTATATAAGGATTGTCGTAAGTATCTCCTTAATTCATAAAGTACCACAAAATAGTATTTTTGAAGATAATATTTCCAGCTGTGCCTACACTCGCAAATCTGAGCTTAGAAACTGTCGTAGTACACAAACTAAGATTGTTTTTCAAATGTCCCTTTTTGTTGAGTTATACAAAGTTGTACAAACTTCGGAGGATTTAATTCGGCCGGGTTTTGCCGGTCCATCTGCTTTGCTTTGCTTCACTTTCTTGCGCATTAAACTCGCTACACCCTCTCGAAATATACTCCTGACATTTCCATTTTCACTCGTTCTTTCCAATAAACGTAAAAGCCATATACCATTCACGGAAATAATACGTGGCTATGGAGAGTGTGGCCTAGTGGTTAGGGTTCGACACTCATGAGAAGAGGGTCAGGGGTTCGAATCCAATTGCTGGACATTTTGTTGTGTCCTTGGGCAAGCCACTTCACCCTCACTTGCCTCTCTCCACCCAGGAGTATGAATGGGTACCAGCATTAGCTGGGGAGTAACCTGCGATGGACTAGCATCCCATCCAGGGGGAATAGAAATATTCTCAGTCGTTTACTGCCAAGGAAACCGGAGATAAACGCCGACCTGATGGGCTTTATTGGCTTGTGACAGATTTTACTGTGAGTTCTAAACGAGTATTTCGTGTAAATAACACATGGTGTAAATTTATGCCAAAAGTAACTAGGGAAAATAATGCCACTGATATTTTTTTTTAATAATTCACAAACATTATTTATTTGGCGATTCAATAACTCTACTTTACTAACATGAAAATATACAAATGTTACCGACTAATATTACATAACGTGCTACCTTCAATTTATTATTTGCATAATTATATAGGCCTTACTTCAATACACAAAATGCTAACCGACAAATATATAACTACGTTTCTGTCCTGTGCATCCCTGAAGAAATAAATTTCATGCAGACGCTAGAGCTGCATAAGCTTTGCACAAGGCGGAGTAGGACTTGTCAATTTTTTCATTTTGTCAATTGGTGAGGTTCTAAGCCCTTTATACTTTAAAGCAGTTAAACAGCTGGATGCCAGTCTATTTTTGACATAGGTATTGAAAACAGGCTTCGTCGAAGCGTGCCATTTGCGAACTGAATGGGAATGTCTAGTTATCCAGACGTCATTATCGTTACACATGCATGCGTACCGTTGGTTTCAACGTTCGCGTGAAGGAAGTTTGGTTAGCCTAAACTTTATGACTCTGTGCACTAGTACCCCTCTGCACCAGGGGAAAACGGTGAACACTACATCCTATCATATCTCACGCGCGACCGATTCTTCAAACACTTTGTTCACCCAAGTATTTGTGTAATAGTATCTAACTATTAAACACCGAATACTTCTACGTACGTATTACCAAAGTACACAAAGTACAAAGTACACTGCCCATCTTTGAACCACTCAGTGATTGAAGTCGTTTTCGGACGTGAGTGCTTTCAACATTAAATTACCCTTTAAAGAACATCCAAGAACGTTTGTTTTTAATTTTGACATTTTAACTAGGCATATGTGCTGATTTACGCCCAATCGCGTCACAATGCGAACGCCGGTCATTGTGACATACACTAGACGTATTCTACTCACGGAAACTCATGTTTGTCTAACACCTAGTATAGTGTACATGTGGGTAACGTAAATGTATAGCTGCTCTAGCGGATGGCGCCATGTTTGAGGTCAACCTGCACGCTCTATCGCTTCCTCTCTTCATAGTGATTGTTGAACAGTATACTCACACTGCATAAAATGTGATGTTACACGCACTGTTTGTAACGGATTCTTTTTTGGCAGTACAGGTACCGTACGTTTAAAAGCTGGTTCGACGCACGGACAATCTTGCTTAAATCATGGATAAATACGTAACCATCGAAGAATGTAAGTACTAATGTAACCCTTCGCACAGTTATGTCATCACAAGCTCATAAAAACAATCGAAATTCAAGTACAAGTCAACCACACGCCCACAACCACAATCACACACCAATCGCCAAATTGACAATCTCGAGTGGCATTGTCCACTCCACCCCCTGGTAGTCGTGACCGTTCGTGTGATCATTTGACTCGTGATTGATTTGGTTATAAACTGCCAATTCCTGACACAGATCGGCAGATGTGGGGCGAGGCTAAACTCCTGCATAAACCAGACGAGGAGTACGAGGGGATCAAGTTGTACCCAAGCATGGCCAAGTCTGTGGAGCGTCTCAAGACTTGGACAGTCAGAGAAGACGATGTCTGGATCGTGACATTCATGAAAGCAGGTGAGATTAAGACACACAGATGGACGCACAGATAAAACAAACCGATGTAGGAAACATTCTATTATAGGGTCTTTTTAACCAGTTTGCTCTGTTGTCGAGTGGTTCAGAGGGCAGCACTAAAAAATAGGAAGACCAACCAAAGAACCCAAATCGTTTCTCGAAAATCCTTGTTGCTAACAACGCTGCGTTTCTGAATAGCAAACCCACACTGATGAAAGCCTTTAATACGTTAAGCAGTATAATTATGTAGAAACGTGTTGCTCTTGAAAAATGCACTGAATTGTGAGATTGTCAAAACGACTTTGAAGTATTAGACTATTGGTGAATTGTTTTCAGGGGGGGGGGGTGGTTTCATCATAACCGTTAATTGTTCAAATTCTTCACTTCACATGAACTCCTTTATCAAAAATAAAAACACTCGACATGTTGACTACATTGGTCAAGGTGTACAATAATAACAAGATTGTTGTTTTATTAATAAGTGATGTGTGATTTCTCAGGCACAACTTGGGCCCAAGAGATCGTGTCTTGCATCATGCAGGACGGAGACTTGGAAGCAGTCAACAAGAGACACGCGGCATTCCGAGTGTTGTTCATTGAAAGTGACTTCCCGGAACAAATTCGGCGTCTAAAAAACGTAGGTATCCCATCAGTAGTCCTTGAAAGTCAACCTGATCAACAAAATCTTATTATTCGTCAGTTCCTGATCCCATAGTTATCCTAGGAGCTCTTGTTTACGATCTTACATTGCAGCTCCCAGACACGCTCCAGATAGCGGACGAGACGCCATCCCCTCGGATGCTCAAGACCCATCTCCCAGGCCCGCTCCTACCTCCACAGATATGGCAGAAGAAACCCAAGATTGTCTACGTCTTGCGAAACCCCAAGGATCTCGCGGTGTCCTGTTTCCACTTCTCCAAAATGGGCGAAACGGATCCCAAGAAACTCGCCCAGACGTTTGGGGAATTCTTGGAAGAAATGCTGGCAGGAAAAAGTAATGCTGTCTACCTTCTTTTGGTTTTATATACCACTGATTCAGCTTTTAGCTTGACTTCAAAATTTGAAGTTAGCTAGCTCGCCTGCTATAGAGTACATGGACCATAATGCACACCATTTCCACAATGACATCAAAAGATAATGAATACGTTAAATGTACAATTCGACTTCCTAGCTTCCATATCTGTTTTGTTTGTTTCCAAGATCACTACGGACCATGGTGGGACCACTATCTGTACTTCTGGAGACTGAGACACGAAGAGAACATTCTTATCTTGCGATTCGAAGACATGAAACAGGTAGCCATTCATTGGACCGTTAACCGACTAGGATTACAAATTGTATTTTTATTTTAATTTCCTGCCAAACAGTTAAAATACTCAGATTCATTAATTATTTTTAGGACCTGCGAAGCAATGTCCAGAAAGTCAGTAAATTTCTCGGCAAGAATCTCTCCGATGAGAAACTCGACGCCATCACGGAGCACTGTACGTTCGGCACCATGAAGAAGAACAAGATGTCTCACAATGACGACCTATTTGATAAAAAGAACTCACCTGAAGGAAGCTCCTTCATGAGGAAAGGTAGGTTTAATTTCTTTCTGTTTAAGAAACCAAAGGGTTCTTCCTTGAAGTCCAAAAGCTCTGTGGCGTGGAAGCCGGAACCTAGAGTAAAGCTAAAGAGACAATGTGTAGCAGTGCAGTTTTAGAGGTATTTACTTAATCCTCGTCGTACCCAGTGGGACATATAAGGCTGCAACAATCGACCTCCATCCATTCTGGAAAGCTGATATCAACATTTAACCATTTAGTGGAACACTGGGCACTCATAACCCCACCACTTTGAATTTGAAGCTGTGCATGCTCTAGAATGGCCAGTGACGCAAACTGTTTACTGGTGACTTGAAGATGCACTTCTGGTGTACGTAACTAAAGCTTTAGGAACCATGTAGATGAAGTCCCGTGACGTGAGTCATCATTCGTAACATTTCCTAAGGCGTAATAATTCGGAGAGTATACCTGAAATACAAATGTCAATTGTTTTCACTTTTAGGAAAGGTAGGCGACTGGAAGACCCACTTCACAGTTGCGCAGAACGAAGCAATGGACGCCCTCATTCGAGACAAGCTGCACGGAACGGGGCTGAAATTTGACTACCAGTAGACAATCAGACTACAGCACTCTGTCAGCATTATACATGTTTATGACGGGACTGCAACTGCCAAGACAAGAGGTTGATGTCAAGAGGCAATTTTCCACCACCTGTACACATGGAAAAAATTCCTACTTGCAAGCTAACAAACTATCGTAGTACACAAACACAAACTAAGATTCCTTTTTTTGTTGAGTTATACAAGTGATTTTTATACAAACTTTGGTGGAGTTAATTCGGCTGGGTGTTGCCCGCCTTTACCTGCTTTGCTTTGCTTCGCTTTCTTTTGCATTAAACTCGCCACAACCCTCTCAAGATGAACTCCTGACGCGTCCATGCATTTTCACTTGCTCTTTTCCAATTACGTATAGAGCCTGACCACTCACGGAAATGATACTTGGCTGTGGACTGTGTGGCCTAGTGGTTAGGGTTCGTGACTCATGATCAGAGGGTCCACCTAGGAGTATAAATGAGTACCGGCATTAAGTGGGGAGTAACCTGCGATGGACCGGCATCCCATCCAAGGGCAATAGAAATATCTTCAGTCGTTTCATACATATGACACAAGATACACGCCAGCTTGTTGGGCTTTATTGGCTCGTGACAGACTTTACTATAAGTTCAACACGAGTATTTCGTGTAAATAACACGTGATGTAAATACCAAAGCAACTAGAGAAAACAGCACCACTGAAAAATTAACATTCTTCATTTGGCGATTCAATAACTTCATTTACTCGCATGAATAACAAAATGTAAGTTTAATAATATGAAAGTGCTACTTTTTTTAAAAACATAATTCCATTTTACATGTACAAATGCTAGCCAACAAATATCAAATTTTCTTTACCGTTTTGTCCTGTACACTCTCTGAATAAATAAATTGTATGCAGACACTAGAGCTGCATAAGCTTTGCACAAGGCGGAGTAGGACTTATCTATTTCTTTATGAGTTGGTGTTCCTGTTGAAGTTCATTTTTTTTCGTGAATGTGGCCTTAATCTCGTTATTTTATTTTATTAAAGCAGTTGAATAGCTTGACGTCAGTCTATTTTGGAGAAAGGTGAACAGCAGGCTTCGTGTGTATATGCCATTTGTGAACTTATTGAGAATGTCTAGTATCCCGACGTCATTATCCTTATACTGGTTTAACTTTGTTTTCGTTTCGCTTGAAGGAATCCAAAGGTTAACCTAAAATATGTCAATAACTCTGTGCAGAAGTACCCCCTCAACGGTAGAACGGTGAAAACTACACATCCTATGATATCTCACGCGTGACCAATTCTTTACACAATGCACCCAAGTATTGAGTGTGTAATATTTATCTGATGAATAAACACAGTATACCGCTACGTACGTACTGTACTTAACTGTGCAAAGAGTGCAAAGTGCACTACCCATGGACATATACCATCCTCCTTCGAAGCACTGAAGCCGTTTTCGTACGTGTGCTTTCGCATTTGAATCACCCTTTAAAGAACATATCAAAGAATGTGGCTTCTATGTTTGATTGTCATTTTCACTTTTTAACTACAGGCATTAGGCATGTGCTGATTATACAGCGTGCAACTCTCGCCCGTTCGCGTTCACTATGTAAACGTCTTTGTAACCGAACACCATACGTAGTCTACAGGCATAACAGCCTTGTTTAAGGTCAACCTGCACGCTCTAATGCTTCCCCTCTTAATGCTGATGTTCGAACAGTTTACTTTAATATATCACACTGCACAAGCGAGTGTTATCCCCATTCAGTTTGATGACACCCTCTGTCACCTTTCAGATGTCGATTGGAAACTTTGAAAAGCTTCACAAAGCAAGATAACTGGCAAACAAATCAAGTAAGGTTGACTTTGGTGTCCCTCGATCTCCGTGATGCAGTGCTTGTATCTGCACTTTATCGTCGACGAGCTTCTGACACGCTTGGGTGTATTCAGACTTCAAAGGAATTACAGGCAACGCACACTGTTGATATGTGACAATGCAGCCAGTGGTCCTGAGACAAACGGATTATACTCGCGTAATACACCTGATATATATTTTTTTTTCGACTTGCCGTTACAATCCCACCAGAGCCAACAAAATATTAAACATTCCTACAGGTATTTTGTGGAAACTTTGATCACACTCTGCTGTAAAGCAACAGCGGAAGGTCCAATTCCACGTCATTTATGGGAATTCTCAGCATGAATGGACATTATTTTTTTCGACACAGGAACGGCATGTGGTACACAATATACAAACGGCTGGAGCTAGAGACTGACCAAATGTGAAACTTGAACGAACTACCGAGAAGACTCATCACAGTTAATGAACTCGGAATAGTCTTTCAGGGAAGTTACAAAATCAAGTCGGGAAAAGGACATTTGGGGGACAAAAAAACATAGAAGAGGAATTACAATTCTACAGGAATGGGTGGCTTAGAAACTTTATAAAGAAAAATCGTTACGAACAAATAATGTTTAATTAAAATGTTTTAAATGAAACCTTTATTTTTACCTTACAAAATATTTTGTTCTCTATAATGTCTTGATATTTGTATTGCTTATTTTTGGATGTGTTGAGTGTTTTGGATATTTTTTTCTTTCAATTAGTGAAGATGGTCATCTGTTTGCAGTAATTTGACGCTTGGTGCTAACTTCAACGAACACGTTTGGTGCTGATGTAGAAAGCATGTTATCATTCGGTAGAGATAGTCCTTTGAACTCTTTATTAAGATGAGTTGCCTTGTATATAGTGACGTAATAATACAAATTATGTGTGTTTCTACTGAATGGCTGACAAAATCAGTATAAAAACAAGTATTTCTGTTGTAAGCTTTTGAGAATGCCTTGTATATTTTTTGGAGCTTTCAATTAAAGATTTTCAATGTTTCATTGCATAATGCATTCACTCGATTTAGAACTTGCCAGCGAATCCTTCATTTTAAGATCATATAAAAAATTTCATATTTACACAAATATTAGCCCCAACAGGTTGAATGTGATAGATACTTTCTGTGAGAGCTTGTTTATATTGTTTATACATTTTGTATGAACTAATTAATACTTACATCTTGTACAAGCGTATAATGAACAAATTTGTACATTTATGACATTTATGCCCCGGTATGTATATTTTTGTGTTGAAAGTTGTACATAATTGTGCCTTCTAAAGAAACGAGTAAGCTTTTGCTGCCCTTTATAAACCAAAAAAATAAGAATTGTCGTCAATTTTATATAAGGATTGTCGTAAGTATCTCCTTAATTCATAAAGTACCACAAAATAGTATTTTTGAAGATAATATTTCCAGCTGTGCCTACACTCGCAAATCTGAGCTTAGAAACTGTCGTAGTACACAAACTAAGATTGTTTTTCAAATGTCCCTTTTTGTTGAGTTATACAAAGTTATACAAACTTCGGAGGATTTAATTCGGCCGGGTTTTGCCGGTCCATCTGCTTTGCTTTGCTTCACTTTCTTGCGCATTAAACTCGCCACACCCTCTCGAAATATACTCCTGACATTTCCATTTCACTCGTTCTTTTCCAATAAACGTAAAAGCCATATACCATTCACGGAAATGATACGTGGCTATGGAGAATGTGGCCTAGTGGTTAGGGTTCGAGACTCATGAGAAGAGGGTCAGGGGTTCGAATCCAATTGCTGGACATTTTGTTGTGTCCTTGGGCAAGCCACTTTACCCTCACTTGCCTCTCTCCACCCAGGAGTATGAATGGGTACCAGCATTAGCTGGGGAGTAACCTGCGATGGACTAGCATCCCATCCAGGGGAAATAGAAATATTCTCAGTCGTTTCATGCCAAGGAAACCGGAGATAAACGCCGGCCCGATGGGCTTTATTGGCTTGTGACAGATTTTACTGTGAGTTCTAAAACGAGTATTTCGTGTAAATAACACATGGTGTAAATTTATGCCAAAAGTAACTAGGGAAAATAATGCCACTGAATTTTTTTTTAATAATTCAGAAACATTATTTATTTGGCGATTCAATAACTCTACTTTACTCACATGAAAATAAACAAATGTAAGTGACTAATATTATATAACGTGCTACCTTCAATTTATTTTTTGCATAATTATATAGGCCCTACTTCAATACACAAAATACTAACCGACAAATGTATACCTACGTTTCTGTCCTGTGCATCCCTGAAGAAATAAATTTCATGCAGACGCTAGAGCTGCATAAGCTTTGCACAAGGCGGAGTAGGACTTGTCAATTTTTTCATTTTGTCAATTGGTGAGGTTCTAAGCCCTTTATACTTTAAAGCAGTTAAACAGCTGGATGCCAGTCCATTTTTGTTTACGTGTATTTTTGAAAACAGGCTTCGTCGAAGCGTGCCATTTGCGAACTGAATGGGAATGCCTAGTATCCAGACGTCATTATAGTTACACATGCATGCGTACCGTTGGTTCAACGTTCGCGTGAAGGAATTTTATGGTTAGCCTAAACTTTATGACTCTGTGCACTAGTGCCCCTGTGTACCAGGGGAAACTGGTGAACACTACATCCTATCATATCTCACGCGCGACCGATTCTTCAAACACTTTGTTCACCCAAGTAGTTGTGTAATAGTATCTAACGATTAAACACCGTATACTTCTACATACGTATAACCAGTACACAAAGTACAAAGTACACTGCCCATCTTTGAACCACTCAGTGATTGAAGTCGTTTTCGTACGTGAGTGCTTTCAACATTAAATAACCCTTTAAAGAACATCCAAGAACGTGGCTATATGCTTGTTTTTAATTTTGACATTTTAACTAGGCATAATGTGCTGATTTACGCTCAATCGCGTTCACAATGCGAACGTCATTGTGACATACACTAGACGTATTCTACTCACTGAAACCCATGTTTGTCTAACACCTAGTATAGTGTATACATGTGGGTTCCGTAAATGTATAGCTGCTCTAGGATGGCGCCTTGTTTGAGGTCAACTTGCACGGTCTATTGCTTCCACTCTTAATGCTGATGTTTGAACAGTGTACTTTAATATACCACACTGCACAAAATGTGATGTTAAACGCAGTTTGTAATGGATTCTTTTTTAGGAGTACAGGTACCGTACGTTTAAAAGCTGGTTCGACGCACGGACAATCTTGCTTAAATCATGGATAAGTACGTAACCTTGGAAGAATGTAAGTACTAATGTAACCCCTCGCACAGTTATGTCATCACAAGCTCATAAAAACAATCAAAATTCAAGTACAAGTCAACCACACGCCCACAACCACAATCACACACCAATCGCCAAATTGACAATCTCGAGTGGCATTGTCCACTCCACCCCCTGGTAGTCGTGACCGTTCGTGTGATCATTTGACTCGTGATTGATTTGGTTATAAACTGCCAATTCCTGACACAGATCGGCAGATGTGGGGCGAGGCTGAACTCCTGCATAAACCAGACGAGGAGTACGAGGGGATCAAGTTGTACCCAAGCATGGCCAAGTCTGTGGAGCGTCTCAAGACTTGGACAGTCAGAGAAGACGATGTCTGGATCGTGACATTCATGAAAGCAGGTGAGATTAAGACACACAGATGGACACACATATAAAACAAACCGATGTAGGATACATTCTATTATAGGGTCTTTTTAACCAGTTTGCTCTGTGGTCGAGTGGTTCAGAGGGCAGCACTAAAAAATAGGAAGACCAACCAAAGAACCCAAATCGTTTCTCGAAAATCCTCGTTGCTAACAACGCTGCGTTTCTGAATAGCAAACCCACACTGATGAAAGCCTTTAATACGTTAAGCAGTATAATTATGTAGAAACGTGTTGCTCTTGAAAAATGCACTGAATTGTGAGATTGTCAAGACGACTTTGAAGTATAAGACTATTGGTGAATTGTTTTCAGGGGGGGGGGGTGGTTTCATCATAACCGTTAATTGTTCAAATTCTTCACTTCACATGAACTCCTTTATCAAAAATAAAAACACTCGACATGTTGACTACATTGGTCAAGGTGTACAATAATAACAAGATTGTTGTTTTATTAATAAGTGATGTGTGATTTCTCAGGCACAACTTGGGCCCAAGAGATCGTGTCTTGCATCATGCAGGACGGAGACTTGGAAGCAGTCAACAAGAGACACACGGTATTCCGAGTGTTGTTCATTGAAAGTGACTTCCCGGAACAAATTCGGCGTCTAAAAAACGTAGGTATTCCATCAGTAGTTCTTGGAAGTCAACCTGATCAACAAAATCTTATTATACGTCAATTCCTGATCCCATAGTTATCCTGGGAGCTCTTGTTCACGATCTTACATTGCAGCTCCCAGACACGCTCCAGATAGCGGACGAGACGCCATCCCCTCGGATGCTCAAGACCCATCTCCCGGGCCCGCTCCTACCTCCCCAGATATGGCAGAAGAAACCCAAGATTGTCTACGTCTTGCGAAACCCCAAGGATCTCGCGGTGTCCTGTTTCCACTTCTCCAAAATGGGCGAAACGGATCCCAAGATACTCGCCCAGACGTTTGGGGAGTTCTTGGAAGAAATGCTGGCAGGAAAAAGTAATGCTGTCTACCTTCTTTTGGTTTTATATACCACTGATTCAGCTTTTAACTTGACTTCAAAATTTGAAGTTAGCTAGCTTGCCTGCTATAGAGTACATGGACCATAATGCACACCATTTCCACAATGACATCAAAAGATAATGAATACGTTAAATGTACAATCCGACTTCCTAGCTTCCATATCTGTTTTGTTTGTTTCCAAGATCACTACGGACCATGGTGGGACCACTATCTGTACTTCTGGAGACTGAGACACGAAGAGAACATTCTTATCTTGCGATTCGAAGACATGAAACAGGTAGCCATTCATTGGACCGTTAACCGACTAGGATTACAAATTGTATTTTTATTTTAATTTCCTGCCAAACAGTTATAATACTCAGATTCATTAATTATTTTTAGGACCTGCGAAGCAATGTCGAGAAAGTCAGTAAATTTCTCGGCAAGAATCTCTCCGATGAAAAACTCGACGCCATCACGGAGCACTGTACGTTCGGCACCATGAAGAAGAACAAGATGTCTCACCATGGCAACCTAATTGATCAAAAGAACTCACCTGAAGGAAGCTCCTTCATGAGGAAAGGTAGGTTTCATTTCTTTCTGTTGAAGAAATCAAAGGGTTCTTCCTTGAAGTCCAAAAGCTCTGTGGCGTGGAAGCCGGAACCTAGAGTAAAGCTAAAGAGACAATGTGTAGCAGTGCAGTTTTAGAGGTATTTACTTAATCCTCGTCGTACCCAGTGGGACATATAAGGCTGCAACAATCGACCTCCATCCATTCTGGAAAGCTGATATCAACATTTAACCATTTAGTGGAACACTGGGCACTCATAACCCCACCACTTTGAATTTGAAGCTGTGCATGCTCTAGAATGGCCAGTGACGCAAACTGTTTACTGGTGACTTGAAGATGCACTTCTGTTGTACGTAACTAAAGCTTTAGGAACCATGTAGATGAAGTCCCGTGACGTGAGTCATCATTCGTAACATTTCCTAAGGCGTAATAATTCGGAGAGTATACCTGAAATACAAATGTCAATTGTTTTCACTTTTAGGAAAGGTAGGCGACTGGAAGACCCACTTCACAGTTGCGCAGAACGAAGCAATGGACGCCCTCATTCGAGACAAGCTGCACGGAACGGGGCTGAAATTTGACTACCAGTAGACAATCAGACTACAGCACTCTGTCAGCATTATACATGTTTATGACGGGACTGCAACTGCCAAGACAAGAGGTTGATGTCAAGAGGCAATTTTCCACCACCTGTACACATGGAAAAAATTCCTACTTGCAAGCTAACAAACTATCGTAGTACACAAACACAAACTAAGATTCCTTTTTTTGTTGAGTTATACAAGTGATTTTTATACAAACTTTGGTGGAGTTAATTCGGCTGGGTGTTGCCCGCCTTTACCTGCTTTGCATTGCTTCGCTTTCTTTTGCATTAAACTCGCCATACCCTCTAAAGATGAACTCCTGACGTGTCCATGCATTTTCACTTGCTCTTTTCCAATTACGTATAGAGCCTGACCACTCACGGAAATGATACGTGGCTATGGGGTCACGGTGTGGCCTAGTGGTTAGGGTTCGGGGGTTCGAATCCAGCTCGAATCCCGCTCTCCTGTCCTCGGGCAGGCCACTTCACCCCGACCCCCACTTGCCTCTCTCCACCCAGGAGTATAAATGAGTACCAGCATTAGCCGGTGGACCGGCATCCCATCCAGGCGGAATAGAAATATCTTCAGTCGTTTCATACATATGACACAAGATACACGCCAGCTTGTTGGGCTTTATTGGCTCGTGACAGACTTTACTATAAGTTCAACACGAGTATTTCGTGTAAATAACACGTGATGTAAATACCAAAGCAAAAATAGAGAAAACAGCACCACTGAAAAATTAACATTCTTCATTTGGCGATTCAATAACTTCATTTACTCGCATGAATAACAAAATGTAAGTTTAATAATATGAAAGTGCTACTTTTTTTAAAAACATAATTCCAATTTACATGTACAAATGCTAGTCAACAATTATCAAATTTTCTTTACCGTTTTGTCCTGTACACTCTCTGAATAAATACATTTTATGCAGACACTAGAGCTGCATAAGCTTTGCACGAGGCGGAGTAGGACTTATCTATTTCTTTATGAGTTGGTGTTCCTGTTGAAGTTCATTTTTTTTCGTGAATGTGAGGCCCTTAATCTCGTTATTTTATTTTATTGATGCAGTTGAATAGCTTGACGTCAGTCTATTTTGGAGATGGGTGAACAGGCTTCGTGTGTATATGCCATTTGTGAACTTATTGAGAATGTCTAGTATCCCGACGTCATATTATCCTTATACTGGTTTAACTTTGTTTTCGTTTCGCTTGAAGGAATCCAAAGGTTAACCTAAAATATGTTAATAACTCTGTGCAGAAGTACCCCCTCAACGGTAAAACGGTGAAAACTACACATCCTATGATATCTCACGCGTGACCAATTCTTTACACAATGCACCCAAGTATTAAGTGTGTAATATTTATCTGATGAATAAACACAGTATACCGCTACGTACGTACTGTACTTAACTGTGCAAAGAGTGCAAAGTGCACTACCCATGGACATATACCATCCTCCTTCGAAGCACTGAAGCCGTTTTCGTACGTGTGCTTTCGCATTTGAATCACCCTTTAAAGAACATATCAAAGAATGTGGCTTCTATGTTTAATTGTCATTTTCACTTTTTAACTACAGGCATTAGGCATGTGCTGATTATACAGCGTGCAACTCTCGCCCGTTCGCGTTCACTATGTGAACGTCTTTGTAACCTAACACCATACGTAGTCTACAGGTATAACAGCCACAAAAACCTGTCGCGCCTTGTTTAAGGTCAACCTGCGCGCTCTAATGCTTCCCCTCTTAATACTGATGTTCGAACAGTTTACTTTAATATATCACACTGCACAAGCGAGTGTTATCCCCATTCAGTTTGATGACACCCTCTGTCACCTTTCAGATGTCGATTGGAAACTTTGAAAAGCTTCACAAAGCAAGATAACTGGCAAACAAATCAAGTAAGGTTGACTTTGGTGTCCCTCGATCTCCGTGATGCAGTGCTTGTTTCTGCACTTTATCGTCGACGAGCTTCTGACACGCTTGGGTGTATTCAGACTTCAAAGGAATTACAGGCAACACAAACTGTTGATATGTGACAATGCAGCCAGTGGTCCTGAGACAAACGGATTATACTCGCGTAATACACCTGATATATTTTTTTTCGACTTGCCGTTACAATCCCACCAGAGCCAACAAAGTATTAAACATTCCTACAGGTATTTTGTGGAAACTTTGATCACACTCTGCTGTAAAGCAACAGCGGAAGGTCCAATTCCACGTCATTTATGGGAATTCTCAGCATGAATGGACATTATTTTTTTCGACACAGGAACGGCATGTGGTACACAATATACAAACGGCTGGAGCTAGAGACTGACCAAATGTGAAACTTGAACGAACTACCGAGAAGACTCATCACAGTTAATGAACTCAGAATAGTCTTTCAGGGAAGTTACAATATCAAGTCGGGTAAAAGACATTTGGGGGACAAAAAACATAGAAGAGGAATTACAATTCTACAGGAATGGGTGGCTTAGAAACTTTATAAAGAAAAATCGTTACGAACAAATAATGTTTAATTAAAATGTTTTAAATGAAACCTTTATTTTTACCTTACAAAATATTTTGTTCTCTATAATGTCTTGATATTTGTATTGCTTATTTTTGAATGTGTTGAGTGTTTTGGATATTTTTTTCTTTCAATTAGTGAAGATGGTCATCTGTTTGCAGTAATTTGATGCTTGGTGCTAACTTCAACGAACACGTTTGGTGCTGATGTAGAAAGCATGTTATCATTCGGTAGAGATAGTCCTTTGAACTCTTTATTAAGATGAGTTGCCTTGTAAATAGTGACGTAATAATACAGCTTATATGTGTTTCTACTGAATGGCTGACAAAATCAGTATAAAACAAGTATTTCTGTTGTAAGCTTTTCAAAATGCCTTGTTTATTTTTTTGAGCTTTCAATTCAAGATTTTCAATGTTTCATTGCATAATGCATTCACTCGATTTAGAACTTGCCAGCGAATCCTTAATTTTAAGATCATATATAAAATTTCATATTTACACAAATATTAGCCCCAACAGGTTGAATGTGATAGATACTTTCTGTGAGAGCTTGTTTATATTGTTTATACATTTTGTATGAACTAATTAATACTTACATCTTGTACAAGCGTATAATGAACAAATTTGTACATTTATGACATTAATGCCCCGGTATGTATATTTTTGTGTTGAAAGTTGTACATATTGTGCCTTCTAAAGAAACGAGTAAGCTTTTGCTGCCCTTTATAAACCAAAAAAGTTAAGAATTGTCAATTTTATATAAGGATTGTCGTAAGTATCTCCTTAATTCATAAAGTACCACAAAATAGTATTTTTGAAGATAATATTTCCAGCTGTGCCTACACTCGCAAATCTGAGCTTAGAAACTGTCGTAGTACACAAACTAAGATTGTTTTTCAAATGTCCCTTTTTGTTGAGTTATACAAAGTTCGGAGGATTTAATTCGGCCGGGTGTTGCCGGTCCATCTGCTTTGCTTTGCTTCACTTTCTTGCGCATTAAACTCGCCACACCCTCTCGAAATGAACTCCTGATATTTCCATTTTCACTCGTTCTTTTCCAATAACGTAATAGCCATATACCATTCACGGAAATGATACGTGGCTATGGAGAGTGTGGCCTTCTCCTCCACTGTTTGGTACACTTTGTCTCGAAGTTTAACTCAAGTTTAATGTTGTACAACGGCAAAATGCTATTTTAGTACGACTTTTCTCAGGACGAGTATCACGTGATTCATAGCTGCCCTAGATCTGAAACCAAAATAATTTATAGGAAGCCTCTAGTCCTCAATTACTGACCATCAAACACAATTCGTACATGTTGCATTTTCGGTGCACTTTTTCCTGAAATCCGCATTAAATATATAAAATAAAGTAAATTTGGCGGTGAAAGCCCATTTTGTCATGCCATTGTCACGTGACAGATACACCCCACACACCTGAAACCAAAATAGAGTGTAGGCGGGACACCACTCTTTAAGATGTCATCGGCGATTTGACTTTTTCTCCTACACGGTTTGGTACACTTTGTCTCGAAGTTTAACTTAAGTTTAATGTTGTACAACGGTAATACCGCAAAATGCTATTTTAGTACGTTTTTTCTCAGGACGAGTATGACGTGATTCATATCTGCCCTAGATCTGAAACCAAAATAATTGATAGGAAGCCTCTAGTCCTCAATAACTGACCATCAAACATAATTCGGACATGTTGCATTTTCGGTACACTTTTTCCTGAAATCCACATTAAATATATAAAATAAAGTAAATTTGGCGGTGAAAGCCCATTTTGTTATGCCATTGTCACGTGACAGATACACCCCACACACCTGAAACCAAAATAGAGTGTAGGCGGGACACCACTCTTTAAGATGTCATCGGCGATTCGACTTTTTCTCCTACACGGTTTGGTACACTTTGTCTCGAAGTTTAACTTAAGTTTAATGTTGTACAACGGTAATACCGCAAAATGCTATTTTAGTACGTTTTTTGTCAGGACGAGTATCACGTGATTCATATCTGCCCTAGATCTGAAACCAAAATAATTTATAGGAAGCCTCTAGTCCTCAATAACTGACCATCAAACATAATTCGGACATGTTGCATTTTCGGTACACTTTTTCCTGAAATCCGCATTAAATATATAAAATAAAGTAAATTTGGCGGTGAAAGCCCATTTTGTTATGCCATTGTCACGTGACAGATACACCCCACACACCTGAAACCAAAATAGAGTGTAGGCGGGACACCACTCTGCAAGATGACATCGGCGATTTGACTTTTTCTCCTCCACTGTTTGGTACACTTTGTCTCGAAGTTTAACTTAAGTTTAATGTTGTACAACCGCACAATGCTTTATAATAGTACACTTTTTCTCAGGACGAGTATCACGTGATTCATAGCTGCCCTAGATCTGAAACCAAAATAATTTAGAGGACGCCTCTAGTCCTCCATAACTGACCATCAAACATAATTCGGACATGTTGCATTTTCGGTACACTTTTTCCTGAAATCCGCTCTAAATATAAAATAAATGTAAATTTGGCAGTGAAAGCCCATTTTGTCATGCCATTGTCACGTGACAGATACACCCCACACACCTGAAACCAAAATAGAGTGTAGGCGGGACACCACTCTTTAAGATGTCATCGGCGATTTGACTTTTTCTCCTACACGGTTTGGTACACTTTGTCTCGAAGTTTAACTTAAGTTTAATGTTGTACAACGGTAATACCGCAAAATGCTATTTTAGTACGTTTTTTCTTAGGACGAGTATCACGTGATTCATATCTGCCCTAGATCTGACACCAAAATAATTTATAGGAAGCCTCTAGTCCTCAATAACTGACCATCAAACATAATTCGGACATGTTGCATTTTCGGTACACTTTTTCCTGAAATCCTCATTAAATATATAAAATAAAGTAAATTTGGCGGTGAAAGCCCATTATGTTATGCCATTGTCACGTGACAGATTCACCCCACACACCTGAAACCAAAATAGAGTGTAGGCGGGACACCACTCTTTAAGATGACATCGGCGATTTGACTTTTTGTTCTACACTGTTTGGTACACTTTGTCTCGAAATTTAAGTTTAATGTTGTTCAACCATGCTATTTTAGTACGATTTTTCTCAGGACGAGTATCACGTGATTCATAGTTGCCCTAGATCTGAAACCAAAATAATTTATAGGAAGCCACGAGACCTAAATAACTGACCATCAAACATAATACTGACGTCCTTCATTTTCGGTACACTCCTCGATGAAATCCGCATTAAATATATAAAAATGTATCACGTCAATAATGTTGTTTATTGGCCTCCGTACTTTATGAATACGCGGCTGAATACGCGGCTGTGATATCTGGCCGAATACGCGGCCAGGTTCACTCAGGTTGTGGCCATTTGCGAACTGAATGGGAATGTCTAGTATCCAGACGTCATTATAGTTACACACGCATGCGTACCGTTGGTTCAACGTTCGCGTGAAGGAATTTTATGGTTAGCCTAAACTTTATGACTCTGTGCACTAGTACCCCTGTGCACCAGGGGAAAATGGTGAACACTACATCCTATCATATCTCACGCGTGACCGATTCTTCAAACACTCTGTGCACGCAAGTATTTGTGTAATAGTATCTAATGATAAAACACCGTATACTACTACGTACGTATAACCATGCAAAGAGTACAAAGTACACTGCCCATCTTGCTTTGAACCACTCAGTGATTGAAGTCGTTTTCGTACGTAAGTGCTTTCAACATTAAATTACCCTTTAAAGAACATCCAAGAACGTGGCTATATGTTTGTTTTTAATTTTGACATTTTAACTAGTTAAACGCACTGTTTGTAATGGATTCTTTTTTGGCAGTATACAGGTACCGTACGTTTAAAAGCTGGTTCGACGCACGGACAATCTTGCTTAAATCATGGATAAGTACGTAACCTTGGAAGAATGTAAGTACTAATGTAACCCCTCGCAGAGTTCGTCACCGTTTTCACGAAGAGCCACATATGTCGATTTTGAAGCAAAAGTGTTTTCGAGATAATCGCAAAAGAAGTTTCTCATATTTTAAAACTGCAAAAAATACCACTTTGCAACAACTTTGTGAAGCAAGGAAACCATCACACTGTTCTGTGTGAGCTGATTTTTTACATGAACCCAGTAATAAGACTTAAATCAGCAGTTAATTAGTGAAAATTAATTAGTAAAGATATGTGGCTCTTCGTGAAAACGCAAATTCAGGTTTCCGACATATTGGCCCTTTCTGTTCAATGTGTATTTCCATAGGCGCGCGTGATTACGCGCGCGCAGCTGAAAATGTAACAAAGATATGTGGCTCTTCGTGAAAACGCAAATCTTATTTGACCTACTTTTACGTATTTCCGTGCAATGGGTTTTGTACGCGTTCAAAGGGCCAAAATGTATGTGGCTCTTCGTGAAAACGCAAAATTCATTTATTGAGATTTTGGCCCCTTGCAACATTAATGTAACTTGGAAATTAATGATGTTTTGCTTACAAAAACATGTCAAAATGGTTAAGTACATTGTTTTAAAGCAAAATATTGATAAAAATCAAAATCGAAAAAAATGGTAATTTTTGACATATGTGGCTCTTCGTGAAAACGGTGACGGGTTATGTCATCACAAGCTCATAAAAACAATCAAAATTCAAGTACAAGTCAACCACACGCCCACAACCACCCACCCCCTGGTAGTCGTGACCGTTCGTGTGATCATTTGACTCGTGATTGATTTGGTTATAAACTGCCAATTCCTGACACAGATCGGCAGATGTGGGGCGAGGCTGAACTCCTGCATAGACCAGACGAGGAGTACGAGGGGATCAAGTTGTACCCATGCATGGCCAAGTCTGTGGAGCGTCTCAAGACTTGGACAGTCAGAGAAGACGATGTCTGGATCGTGACATTCATGAAAGCAGGTGAGATTAAGACACACAGATGGACACACATATAAAACAAACCGATGTAGGATACATTCTATTATAGGGTCTTTTTAACCAGTTTGCTCTGTGGTCGAGTGGTTCAGAGGGCAGCACTATTAGGAAGACCAACCAAAGAACCCAAATCGTTTCTCGAAAATCCTCGTTGCTAACAACGCTGCGTTTCTGAATAGCAAACCCACACTGATGAAAGCCTTTAATACGTTAAGCAGTATAATTATGTAGAAACGTGTTGCTCTTGAAAAATGCACTGAATTGTGAGATTGTCAAAACGACTTTGAAGTATTAGACTATTGGTGAATTGTTTTCAGGGGGGGGGGGGGTGGTTTCATCATAACCGTTAATTGTTCAAATTCTTCACTTCACATGAACTCCTTTATCAAAAATAAAAACACTCGACATGTTGACTACATTGGTCAAGGTGTACAATAATAACAAGATTGTTGTTTTATTAATAAGTGATGTGTGATTTCTCAGGCACAACTTGGGCCCAAGAGATCGTGTCTTGCATCATGCAGGACGGAGACTTGGAAGCAGTCAACAAGAGACACACGGATTTCCGAGTGTTGTTCATTGAAAGTGACTTCCTGGAACAAATTCGGCGTCTAAAAAACGTAGGTATCCCTTCAGTAGTTCTTGAAAGTCAACCTGATCAACAAAATCTTATTATACGTCAGTTCCTGATCCCATAGTTATCCTGGGAGCTCTTGTTCACGATCTTACATTGCAGCTTCCAGACACGCTCCAGATAGCGGACGAGACGCCATCCCCTCGGATACTCAAGACCCATCTCCCGGGCCCGCTCCTACCTCCCCAGATATGGCAGAAGAAACCCAAGATTGTCTACGTCTTGCGAAACCCCAAGGATCTCGCGGTGTCCTTTTTCCACTTCTCCAAAATGGGCGAAACGGATCCCAAGATACTCGCCCAGACGTTTGGGGAGTTCTTGGAAGAAATGCTGGAAGGAAAAAGTAATGCTGTCTACCTTCTTTTGGTTTTATATACCACTGATTCAGCTTTTAACTTGACTTCAAAATTTGAAGTTAGCTAGCTCGCCTGCTATAGAGTACATGGACCATAATGCACACCATTTCCACAATGACATCAAAAGATAATGAATACGTTAAATGTACAATCCGACTTCCTAGCTTCCATATCTGTTTTGTTTGTTTCCAAGATCACTACGGACCATGGTGGGACCACTATCTGTACTTCTGGAGACTGAGACACGAAGAGAACATTCTTATCTTGCGATTCGAAGACATGAAACAGGTAGCCATTCATTGGACCGTTAACCGACTAGGATTACAAATTGTATTTTTATTTTAATTTCCTGCCAAACAGTTAAAATACTCAGATTCATTAATTATTTTTAGGACCTGCGAAGCAATGTCCAGAAAGTCAGTAAATTTCTCGGCAAGAATCTCTCCGATGAGAAACTCGACGCCATCACGGAGCACTGTACGTTCGGCACCATGAAGAAGAACAAGATGTCTCACCATGGCAACCTAATTGATCAAAAGAACTCACCTGAAGGAAGCTCCTTCATGAGGAAAGGTAGGTTTCATTTCTTTCTGTTGAAGAAATCAAAGGGTTCTTCCTTGAAGTCCAAAAGCTCTGTGGCGTGGAAGCCGGAACCTAGAGTAAAGCTAAAGAGACAATGTGTAGCAGTGCAGTTTTAGAGGTATTAATCCTCGTCGTACCCGGTGGGACATAAGGCTGCAACAATCGACCTCCATCTGTCCCTATTTATGCATTGTCTCACGCCATGTGAAGCCCATCTCATTAAACTGAGTCAGCTCAGAAGTCACTGTCCTTGTGCCAGGTGGTTTTGGGTGGTTCAGGCTTCCTTTTACCAGGTGGTATCCATCTCAGAGCCAGGGCCGGATTAAGTGTTCCGTAGGCCAGCTATAGACACTAGTGTTTCGTAGGCCCTGTACTCCCGCTCTAGTTAGGCTACAGTACCTATTTCATAGTGCTGGCAAGCGCTGGAGCCTTGCTTAAAAGATAAAATACAAACAAAAGAGGGACAATAGGGGGTCCAAGTTTGCAGGTAAATACTCACTTGTGTGCGTGTGTTTTATGGCACACTGTGGTATTTTCGTAGGCCCGAATTTTTTTGTAGGTCCTAGGCAGGCCCACTGTGCCTATTGGATGGTCCGGGCCTGCTAAAAGCTACCTTAGGAATCCGATCTTGGTTTATCCTGAAGTTTTAGAGGTGCACGAGGAAACTTATTCCAGGCGTCAGTCCGGGTGGGATTCGAACCCGGGTCGCGGGGATGAAAGTCGAGGAGAAGATGAGGAAAGGAGGGATCCGCTTCTGGAAAGCTGATATCAACATTTAACCATTTAGTGGAACACTGGGCACTCATAACCCCACCACTTTGAATTTGAAGCTGTGCACGCTTTAGAATGGCCAGTGACGCAAACTGTTTACTGGTAACTTGAAGATGCACTTCTGGTGAACGTAACTGAAGCTTTAGGAACCATGTAGATGTAGTCCCGTGACGTGAGTCATCATTTGTAACATTTCCTAAGGCGTAATAATTCGGAGAGTATACCTGAAATACAAATGTCAATTGTTTTCACTTTTAGGAAAGGTAGGCGACTGGAAGACCCACTTCACAGTTGCGCAGAACGAAGCAATGGACGCCCTCATTCGAGACAAGCTGCACGGAACGGGGCTGAAATTTGACTACCAGTAGACAATTAGACTTCAGCACTCTGTCAGCATTATACATGTTTATGACGGGACTGCAACTGCCAAGACAAGAGGTTGATGTCAAGAGGCAATTTTCCACCACCTGTACACATGGAAAAAAAATACCTATTTGCAAGCTTACAAACTATCGTAGCACACAAACACAAACTAAGATTCCTTTTTTTGTTGAGTTATACAAGTGATTTTTATACAAACTTTGGTGGAGTTAATTCGGCTGGGTGTTGCCCGCCTTTACCTGCTTTGCTTTGCTTCGCTTTCTTTTGCATTAAACTCGCCATACCCTCTAAAGATGAACTCCTGGCATTTTCACTTGCTCTTTTCCAATCACGTATAGAGCCTGACCACTCACGGAAATGATACGTGGCTATGGGGTCACGGTGTGGCCTAGTGGTAAGAGTTCGGGGGTTCGAATCCAGCTCGAATCCCGCTCTCCTGTCCTTGGGCAGGCCACTTCACCCCGACCCCCACTTGCCTTTCTCCACCCAGGAGTATAAAAGAGTACCAGCATTAGCCGGTGGACCGGCATCCCATCCAGGCGGAATAGAAATATCTTCAGTCGTTTCATGCATATGACACAAGATACACGCCGGCTTGTTGGGCTTTATTGGCTTGTGACAGACTTTACTATAAGATCTACACGAGTATTTCGTGTAAATAACACGTGATGTAAATACCAAAGCAACTAGAGAAAACAGCACCACTGAAAAATTAACATTCTTCATTTGGCGATTCAATAACTTCATTTACTCGCATGAATAACAAAATGTAAGTTTAATAATATGAAAGTGCTACTTTTTTTAAAAACATAATTCCAATTTACATGTACAAATGCTAGTCATCAAATATCAAATTTTCTTTACCGTTTTGTCCTGTACACTCTCTGAATAAATAAATTTTATGCAGACACTAGAGCTGCATAAGCTTTGCACGAGGCGGAGTAGGACTTATCTATTTCTTTATGAGTTGGTGTTCCTGTTGAAGTTCATTTTTTTTCGTGAATGTGAGGCCCTTAATCTCGTTATTTTATTTTATTGATGCAGTTGAATAGCTTGACGTCAGTCTATTTTGGAGATAGGTGAACAGGCTTCGTGTGTATATGCCATTTGTGAACTTATTGAGAATGTCTAGTATCCCGACGTCATATTATCCTTATACTGGTTTAACTTTGTTTTCGTTTCGCTGGAAGGAATCCAAAGGTTAACCTAAAATATGTCAATAACTCTGTGCAGAAGTACCCCCTCAACGGTAGAAAGGTGAAAACTACAAATTCTATGATATCTCACGCGTGACCAATTCTTTACACAATGCACCCAAGTATTGAGTGTGTAATATTTATCTGATGAATAAACACAGTATACCGCTACGTACGTACTGTACTTAACTGTGCAAAGAGTGCAAAGTGCACTACCCATGGACATATACCATCCTCCTTCGAAGCACTGAAGCCGTTTTCGTACGTGTGCTTTCGCATTTGAATCACCCTTTAAAGAACATATCAAAGAATGTGGCTTCTATGTTTAATTGTCATTTTCACTTTTTAACTACAGGCATTAGGCATGTGCTGATTATACAGCGTGCAACTCTCGCCCGTTCGCGTTCACTATGTAAACGTCTTTGTAACCGAACACCATACGTAGTCTACAGGTATAACAGCCACAAAAACCTGTCGCGCCTTGTTTAAGGTCAACCTGCGCGCTCTAATGCTTCCCCTCTTAATACTGATGTTCGAACAGTTTACTTTAATATACCACACTGCACAAAATGTGATGCTAAACGCACTGTTTGTAATGGATTCTTTTTGGCAGTACAGGTACGTGTTATAAGCTGGTTCGACGCCGCAAGGACAAGCTTGCTTAAATCATGGATAAATACATCACCTTCGAAGACTGTAAGTACTAACATTAAACCCGGCCCTCGCAGAGGTATGTCATCACAAGCTCATAAAGTGGCATGCTGGCAATATTTATACAGTCGGTTAGTAAGCACACTTTTCATTTGACCTAACCAAAATCAGGAATGACCTCATGTGACTGACCCCTGGATGACATTTGAAGTCCCCCTACTCAGAACTTGTCACCAGTTTAGTCGACATTGAAGTCTGACTTTCCATATGACAGCACTTTTCAGCAGACCTAACCAAAATAAACACGGACCTCATTTGACCCCTAGATGACATTTGACCTCAAATGTCTCAGGTCACCTGAAGTCCCCCTACCCAAAGATTATTGTCACCAAGTTTGGTGGAGATTGAAGTCTGACTTTTGATTTGCCAGCACTAAACAACTAGCCTAACCAAAATGTAACATACATACACACATGCATACACACAAGGAATACGCTATCGTAATGTCCCTCTACTATCTTAAAAGCCAAGGGATAAAAACAACCACAAGTCAATAGAAGTCAATCACAAGTCAAATACACACCAATCGCCAACTTTTACAATTTCCAGTCAAGTAATAACAACACTGACAACGGAATTCCTTTGGCAATGTCCATCCCCTGGTAGTCGTGAACGTTCGTGTGATAAACTGCCGATTCGTTACGTAGATCAGCAGCTGTGGTGCGAGGCTGAACTCCTGCATCATCCAGACAAGGAGTACGACGGGATCAAGTTGTACCCAAGCATGGCCAAGTCTGTGGAGGATCTCAAGACGTGGACAGTCAGAGAAGACGATGTCTGGATCGTGACATTCATGAAAGCAGGTGAGATAGACTGACAGACAGACAGACAGACAGACAGCCCGACAGAAAAACAAACCGATGCAGGACACAGACTCTGATATGGTCCTTTCAGCCTGACCGGTTGGCTCTGTGGTTGAGTGGTTAAGACATACATGGTTAAGAGAACAGCGCTATTCGAAGCCAAACCAAGGTAACCAAATCGTTTCTTGAAAGTGCTCGCTGCTAACGACGTTACGTTTCTGAAGGTCAAAATCCACAGAGGTAAGTGTTGTAATACGTTACAGCAGTAATTCCAATACATAATTTATAGTACAGTTTTCTCTTGAAAGATGCACTGATTTGTGAGATTGTCAAAAAGACTTTGAATTACAGTGTATTAGACTATTGGTGAATTGTTGGCAAATTGGCAGCAGCAATCAGGATGAGTGGTTTCATCATAACCTGGCATTTAATCCAATTATTCACTTCACACGAACTCCCTTATCAGAAAAAGATCATGTACTCGACTTGGTGACTACATTGGTCAAGGTGTAAAATAATAACCGGATTGTTTTTAACAACAAATTGATATTTCTCAGGCACAACTTGGGCCCAAGAGATCGTGTCTTGCCTCATGCAGGACGGAGACTTGGAAGCAGTCAACAAGAGACACACGGTATTCCGAGTGTTGTTCATTGAAAAAGATTTCCCGGAACAAATTCGGCGCCTGCATGATGTAGGTATTCCATCAGCAGTGCTTGACCAGTCTGCGTGATTAACACAATATTAACTATTAAGCCAGTTCATGATTCCAAATAAACCTTCGGGTTCTTGTACACGAGGTTCTTGTTGAGTGCCGTGGCCTAGTGGTCTGGAGTAACGAACTCAACGTCTGTGGGGTTTCTGCAGGTTATGGGTTCAAGTCCAGCCTTGGGATGTGGTGCGTACACCTGTCCTTGGGCAGGGCACTTTGTCATTAATTGGTTCCCCTGGCAGTAAATGGGAACCACTAAGGGGCAGATATTGTTACTGAGATTGATTTTAACCACTTTGCACCGAGTGTGAAGCATTTGAGCTGCTTACTCCCGAGTGAGCTGAGATAGTCTTTGAAATATTTAATATGCTCAATGAGCAAGGGTAGTAATGCATGTATTGTCTTACATTTGGGTGGATTTGAGGTGGATTTGTGCGCTTTGTAAATACGGAATATTATTCATTATATTATAATAGCTCCCAGACACGCTCCAGATAGCGGACGAGACGCCATCCCCTCGGATGTTCAAGACCCATCTCCCGGGCCCGCTCCTACCTCCACAGATATGGCAGAAGAAACCCAAGATTGTCTACGTCTTGCGCAACCCCAAGGATCTCGCGGTGTCCTTTTTCCACTTCTCCAAAATAGGCCAGACGGATCCCAAGATACTCGCCCGCACGTTTGGGGAGTTCTTCGAAGAATTTCTGGCAGGAACAAGTATTGCCTTCTCATTTGTTTATTTTGTGTACCACTGATTAAGCTGTAAACATGACTCCAGAGTTTGAAGTTAGGTTCTCGGCTAGAGTACATAGACAGCACGAGGTGTACGCCTCACTGAAGAAACTCGGTCAATATTCTCCCAATTACATCACAGCTAAATACTTTAAATGTATAATCCGTTTTCCTTAATAGATATCAGTTTTGTTTGTATCCAAGATCACTATGGACCATGGTGGGACCACTATCTGTACTTCTGGAGACTGAGACACGAAGAGAACATTCTCCTCTTGCGATTCGAAGACATGAAACTGGTAAACCATTGATTGGACCGTTAACCGACTAGGACTGCTAACTGTAATTTTCTTTTTATTATTTCCTGTTAAAGTTATTCATATATATTATTTAGTAAACTGTATCATTTGAGTTGACATGCAATTAATTATTTTACAGGATCTACGAAGCAATGTCCAGAAAGTCAGTAAATTTCTTGGCAAGAATCTTTCCGATGAGAAACTCGACGCCGTCACGGAGCACTGTACGTTCGGCACCATGAAGAAGAACGAGATGGCTCACCTTGACAACCTGCTTGATAAGAAGGACTCACCTGAAGGAAGCTCCTTCATGAGGAAAGGTAGGTTTCATTTCATTCCGGTGAAAAAAAAACCCCAAAGAGTTCTTCCTACAAGCAGTGTGGCCCGGAAGCCGGAACCTAGATTAAGGAGACGATGTGTAGCAATGGCCAGTTTTAGAGGTACTTACTTCCTCTTCGTCCCCGGCCCAGTGGGATTAAAGGCTGCAACAATTGACCTCCATCTGACCCTATAACATTGCCCCACCCATGTAAAGCCCATCACAGTCAGCTCAGAAGTCACTGTCCTGCGCCAGGGGGTTTTGGGGCGTCCAAGGCTTCCTCATACCAGGTGGTGTCCATCTCATCAGAGCCAGAGCCGAATTAAGTGTTCCGTAGGCCCTAGGCACCAGTGTTCCTGAAAGTCCAGGAAAGTCGAGGAGAAGATGAGGGAAGGAGGGATCCGCTTCTGCAAATCTTAAAAGCTGATATCATCATTTAATCATAGAGAAACACTGGGCACTCAAAACTCCACCAGCTTGAATTTGTAGCTGTGTATACTCTAGAACGGCCAGTGACGCAAAATGTTTAACGGTGAAGATGCAGGTCCGGTGGACTGCTCGTAACTCAAGCTTTGGGAACCATGTAGTCCAGTAAACCATCATTCGTAACATTTCCTAAGGCGTAATAATTCGGAGAGTATACCTCAAATACAAATGTCAATTGTTTTCACTTTTTAGGAAAGGTAGGCGACTGGAAGACCCACTTCACGGTTGCGCAGAACGAAGCAATGGACGCCCTCATTCGAGACAAGCTGCACGGAACGGGGCTGAAATTTGACTATCAGTAGACAATCAGACTTCTGCACTCTGTCAGCATTATACATGTTTATGACGGGACTGCAACTGCCAAGACAGGAGTTTGATGCCAAGAGCCAATTTTCCACCACCTGTACACATGGAAAGTAATACCTACTTGCTCACATGCCAGACTTTATTGCATTGAATTGTCTTCTCCGTAATCTTATCATGTGGTCGATTTGGACCTGAACAACCACTGCCAATCTATGAAACATACTGATTGTTGGCTGAAAAATAACCATGGGTAACTTTTCCTGCTTTTGTGGGAGACACGAACTAATCCAAAGGGACATTATTTTACCCCCTCCCCCCCCCTGTATATGTACGGTTTTACAGTGCTCCAATCCTTCGTGCGATGACAAAAGAATTTAGGTGTCGCTTTTTTTCCTTGACTAAGAAATGATATTTTGTTTATATATAAGCCCCTGTCACACCTTTGCGTATCCTAATTCCTTATGAGTTCCTTATCAAGAATTTTCAATACGCAGCCGTACGCTCAATAAACGTCAAAATGTTTTGATCACTTTGACTTATGTGCGACGCACATCTAGCGTACAAGTATCGAATTCAGCGCATCCATTGCGTATGAGATGCGTATGAGTTGCGTATGCAGTGCACAGCATTATTTTTCGGGCTGCGAATAGGTCAGTATGCAGTGCGCATGCCTAGCGTATTCCGGACACACCTGACTTATGCCGACCGCATGCTTGACGCACTTTTGAGCGTATTCCCGCCGCATTTCCACCGCTCGCCGTTCAGCGTGCAATGCATCTGCGCTGCAAGTACGCTATGTATACGTCCAATACAGGCGGCTCATATGCTGACGGGGTGCGTCACGAACTCATAGCGTACTTGTAACGCACTCGACCGATGCGGGACCGATGTGCCGCGTATTTATAACTTATGACCATAGATATATAATAAAAAAGACTAGATCGGACGCGCGTTCGAACGCGCCATTCACTGTGCACAAAACTTTTGGGTTCTTCATGGACGCGCTGCAAAGTCACGTGAATAGGGCCACGCGCAAAGGGCAGCTGCTAAATGTTGGACGGAAAAATGTCGCCAACACCTGAATTCAGCTATTCGTTGAAGTTCTTAACAACAGATTGAAATTTTTAACTATTTTCGACATTTCACATTCCTTCGAAAAGTTACACAAGGGTTTGCATCTGTGTCTTATTTGAGGCCAAATTGGCGACTGTATTGAAGGTAATTGATTTTCAGTCAAGAATACTAATTTGTAGCGAAAAGTAGCCACACTGTGCTCTTATATCTTTATAAAGGCAAATATCAGGTTTAATGAGATTTTCCCCTCTTTTTTAAAATGTGCAATAAATATCAACCGTTACTTGCCTATCAGACAAAACATAAACTTTTAATTTTACCAACATCAAAATGAAATAACAGAAAAAAACACGCACTCGGAATATTACGTTGCTTTAATACTGCTAAGCTCAATGGGAACATTACATTTGAAATGAATGAATGACTACAAAAACAATCTCTGGCCATCTGTTGTGATTACTGAACACACTGATACTTGAATAACGTTTAGATAATAAACAATTTATATACAACTCGTTAGCTAATAAATACACTGATGAAATGGCAGTTCCATATCCGTAGCCATTATTCCAGATGTCAAGAATATCATTGCTCATGAAAACATACATTTGGTTAACACGTTGTTACCATCCGCATATTTATGTGAAGGTCTAGCCAATGAAACTACCAGCAGGTGAGTATTGCTTCCCATAAATTTATGAACCAGAATAAGTAATTTCAATATAGCTTCCTCATATGCATGAACGCAAACAGACGGCTATTCAATCTTTCAATTTCTGAGGAGCAACAAGTAGATGATAACGAAATACTGAGCGAAACTTGTTAAATTTTAGTCCACGCATGAGGCATGGTTATGCGTGCATGGCCAGCTATCTCCTCACTGTACGCACATTAGCAGTGTAATCTTCTTTCTGACGAATACGCTTTCGTCAAGCAGTGCAAACTTCTTCATCTGTTCACTATGAGTATGACTGTGATTCGTTGAGCAAGGCTCCAGCAAAGTGACTTCCAATTGCAGAATAGGTAACTGTGTTTCCATGGTTTCCAGCTAGTCGGCCGTCTCTGGATTACAAGTTGCTCCTCTTTCCGGCCTTTATCAACCCTTCTACTCTGACGGATAAGATCTTTTTCGACGTGATCGTCGATTTTCCTGTCGGAGTAGCCTTCCTGCTACTGCCGAGGGAAGATTCATTTCTGGTGGTAGACTTGCTCTATTTCTTGTGTTTGTTTTGCCGATACAGCCTGCACTGAAGTAATATCTTCGATAGGGGCTTGGGTCGGTTCTTTCCTTGTCGTTGGCAGCTTTTCTCTCTCGTGCTGAAGACCATACACGAGACTGTAGTCTTTCTACGAAATAAAACAAATAAAGCACATGATAGGCCTTGAAATGCATGACAATAATCATCGATAGCCTATCCTGGCCCCATCGATAGCCTATCCTGGCCCCAAGGCTCATTGTAATATTTACAGGCGTCAAATGAGTCGGGTAGTCTTCAAAGATTGACGGTTCGGCATCGTCACGCAGACGTGTTTTCCCCCATTCCACCTTGACTTGAAGCACTCTGCAGGGAAAATGTTGGATTCCATTTGCTGCCATTTGGAATATTTCTCCTTATCCCTAATCCGCTGAAGCCAAACTTTTAATCTCTTTGGATCGCCGTGAGGGAACCTGGGAAGTAAAATTAATAAGCCTCGATTGAATTTTTTTTTTGTAGTTTTAGCAAAATGCACACATATTTGTAGGACTTTATCCTTCAAGATAAACAATGAAAAGGAGATGGGAGTTGCCTAGATACACTATACACTACAGATCAAACAGCATCATATCTTTACCGTAAATCAACATTCCTGAAGTCTACCCGAAATTGAAAATTTTGTGGATTTTTTAATATTTTGTTCGTGTTGTTTACAACACATATAGTGAGTGAACAGACTTGTGGCAAGTCTTTCTTAACAATGGACAAATTAAAATAAAAAATGACTGATCATCACATAGGCCTACGCCTTGAAATTGTGTTCAAACTAGGAGAATGGTGCATTTTCTTTAATCACCCACATCCCACAACAAAAAGTGACTCCCAATACTTGTTCCCCGCGGACTATTATTGAAAAGCAGGAGAGGGGAGGGGTGACGTTAAGCCAGAAATAATTGTTAGTCGATGTTCAGGATCAGTACCATCTTAACTTTTAAAACAATATACTGTCAATATTTTAAGTAGGCCCTGTGCGGTTATTACAAAATTCGGAGGATCCTTTGGATCACACATGGGGGATTTTTCTCCACACCCCTTCCTGTGATTTATGTCCATTGGCATTGCGTAACGTAGCCTATACAGTCGTTTTCCTTGCTCCGGATAGCAAACATCATTGAGGCTGCTTTCAGCTCAATTACTCCACGAATTCAAGTGACATTGGTTCAGTAGTTCACCTTGAGTGATGGAGATACTACATAATAATATTCCAAATTAAAGGCTCTTTGTATTTTGACTTTATGATGTCAAAAGTGCAGTGTCACTTTTTCTAGTTCCGGATCGGTTCAATCAGTTCCGAATCGATCAAAAACTGATTCGCGCAAAAAAATAATCACGCGAGAAAATCATTTTTTTTTCAGTCAGAACTTACCGAATCAGGCACATTTTCTGATAAAGTATTATTTAATTTTCCCAAAAAAGTTCATTCAAGAGAATTCCACCAAATTTAACAAAGATAAAAATTTAAATGATTTTGAAACGTTTGTCTGCAGCGCAACGGCACGAACTCACGCACAGACCGAAAATATTTTGACACAGCACACGGAATACGTCACACAAAATCCATTAATGCGCGTGTAGTTGGGTCGTAAGGGACGAATAAGTACACGCGCTATCCGGAACTAGTCAAAAGCATACGGTCATTCGTTTTCGAATTTTCAAAAATAAGAGACTCTACAACTTATATTGATTCAACAAACATTCGATGGAAGAGTTTATACGACTGTAGTGTGTAAACAAAATATTCGAAATCACACGGTTCGAATGATGTACCGAGGAGAAAATTGTTCGTCGATTTGCAGCTCCCGCGATTTTCTACAAACCGTCCAAACAAGTTTAAGTGCGAGTCGGAAATCTGGCCGAAATTCCTCTTCTTAACATTTTATCGAAAAGATCTTCATGTATCAAGAAGCTTACATGTTCCTTTTCAAAATGCACTTCGTCAGAAAAAAAAATATTGGAGACTAATCCGAAACAGGTAGGTTTTTATTTGAAGCTATCCGGAACTAGGAAAAATCCGGAACTATAGGAAAATGACTGTATTGAGTTAATTTTTATAAAAGCTAGCTGTCTTGTTCGAAATACGGTCACGATAGATAAATTCTATTAAGTTACTCACACATGATGTTAACTTCTTTAGAGACTGTCCGGCCGACCGGGACCCTTTCTCCGTCTTATTTGCACTTTGCTGCTCAGTTTGCCAGCATTTTCAAGTCCTTTCCTCCTAGCCTACCACGGCAAGCAACAATGGAGAAGTACAACTACAAGTGATCGTCACGCCGAATAATTTTTTTACCCTATTCACGTGACTAATGGCAGCGTCCTGTCAAAACGCGCGTATTATACGCGCGTCCGATCTAGTTATTTCAAGTTCTAAGTTCTATATCTATGGCCCAAAACTATCCTGCGTACTGGGCCGTACCATGCGTATATCTGCGTACATAAAACCTACACAAAACGATAGATATGCATATGAGGTGCGTATTGTGCGTACGACTGCGTATGAAAAAAATTGTCAATGCGCAACTCTTAAGGAATTAGGATACGCAGAAGTGTGACAGGGCCAATAGTTCTGTTTACAAGCAATCAAGACTGAATGCTGAATTAGGTACGCTTTGTTTACGTGTCAACAACAGGGAAGCGCCTGAGCTTCCACTTAGTTCAGAGTGTTTGCACTGAAGAGAGATTAATGATAATGCGAGGTAATGGACTAATTTGGCGGGGCGGCTTGCTTTTCATTCATTCGTCACCAAAAACTTGTCGGATTGATTCTTTGTCGGATGACAAATTCGCTAATTTCCGTTTTTGACCAACAACGATTGGTGAGCGAATTGGCGCACTCAGGATTTGGCGGGGGGGGGGGGGGGCTCACCATTTTGTTCAATTTTCTTTTAGAAATTTGAATTAAAAAAATTAATGTTGCCCAAAATTGGGCGGGGACGGACTATTTTGACATTGGTGGAGCCATTTACACCCCTATTATACTACTCAAAAACAGGCCACATACATATCTTCACGGTCAAATCGTGGGACTAAAAAACAATTGACCAACCAGGCCCCCCCCCCCCCTCTCGGGTGCGCCACTGGGTGAGCGTGAAATTTGTAGAGAGCATGCAATTGCAGACGTCATCTCGATAATCTGACACAGGTAAAAAGTACATGATGAATTACATTTTGTAAATTGGCATAATAAACGAACCATAACATTCTATGTAATGGTAGAGAATTGGCCTACATGTATTAAACCTCACCATGAATTGTAGGCATGTGAGATAATTTGAGATATTTTTCAGCTTCCAGGTTTAGAGCTCGGCGCTTCGCAAATTAAATTTTATTTTCCTTTATGAGCTTTAGGGCAATATCATTTGTTGAGATTCCACTAATTCGGTAGAATGTGTATTTTTTGGCGATAATTTTAAAAACAATCATCAAAAAACGCTAAAGTTGATTAGAGCACATTGTGGACCCTGCTCCCGATGATCAGAAGTCAAAACTTTAACCATGCACCCCCGAATCTAACGATATCAACTGCTGTGTACTGTTGATGGCTTTAGGAATGTATACAGCCCTGCCAAGGATTGGTATTCTATACTAGGTGCAAATAATGTACGTGTCATTGGTACTTATTGGGAGTTTATGTGATTCCTATTACGAAAAGTGCGGGGAAAACTTGGTTACAGAGAAAAATGGTTCGTCTGTGATTGACATTGCACTCATGTTTAATACTTGGAAAAAATGAACAGTATTGTCTTCAGTCGGCGTTTATAGATATGCCTCACGTATATTTACTAAAGAAAATATACAACATTTGCCCACATCAACAAATAAAACTACTAAGTTTTTACGAAATACCTTACTAGGATGTTGGTTAATGACAGTCTAAAGCATCCTGTAAAATTATGGCACCTGGTGTGAAGTCATTTTCAAGAATGACCACCGTTGGAAGAACCTAACTATTTTTTAACTACTGCTCCAAATTTACCATTTTTTTCCCAGTCATAATTTTGTTTGCTATTGGTTACATGTTCATGAACGGGTGCAAGCCAGCTAGACTGGTTCCCTTACCTTACAATTTTTCGGCATCTATAAATTGGTCCATTTCATCTTTAGCGGAGTCAGGGAACCAGACTACTTGAACGTTTTTGTTTTTATTGGCTTTTCCAGCATTTTCGCACACAAAACTTCAAAATGTCAGTGTAACAATGTTTGATCTATTATACAAACCCCTCAAATAGCTCATTTTTAAAAATTGCTGCAAAAACCAATGATGTACATTCCCTTTAACCTGGTACACCTGCGTCATGTTGTACCACGTATGTTTACTTAACCTGGTACACCTGCGTCATAATTGTACCAGGTACTTGCTATTGAGTGGGGTTCAAGGTGCGCATTCACTAAGTGCATTTTCTATGAACTTTTTTGGGGGGCACAGTACGGGACCATAGGCAAGTGGTGGTTGTTCAATGTACATGAACTTCGTGCTACATGTATAACGGTAGGAGCTCGAATGCAACCAGCGGCATTATGTCCGGACCGCTATTCGCACCGTTCCTGCAGAACTGAAACGTAAGTATTTTACTGAAATGGGTAGATAGGACAGATATTCATTTGAACTAGTTTCCTTGTATCTTAACATGACACATAGCTGGTCCAAATCTGGTACCGTGGTTTTTGTTATAAATGTAGTTGTCAATTCTTTCTGTGTATTGCAAATTTCGAGTCTGTAGTAGATAGGTAGACACAGTATAAAGTACTAACCAACGTTGGCTTGCATTAATTTACAATTTTTGTTAACACTCAACTTGAGAAAAGTTGATATTTCTTGTATTGACAGACATCGCAACAGGCTAAAAGATATACTGACGGTTCTAGGCTACAGCCATGGAAAAATACCTCACCTTCGAAGAATGTAAGCGTCTCGTTTGTAATTTTACAAAGCTTGTACTAATTGCAACTTTGGAAATTAACATCAACAAGAATAGCCATGGAGTTTTATTGTGATGAGTAATATGTCTATGGCAAGTGACATTATGGGGCCTTGGGCAATTCACTGCACTCATGCAATCCTTAAAAAAATACTAAAGTAAGTGACTTTTTAACCAGGTTCATTGTTACTAATTCGACAGTTAGTCGTTGCTATGTAAAAGCACAAACCGATGGTTTTTACCTTTGAACTAAATTCCCATTCACCATAGATTTTTCAGTCCATAATCTTGACTAGGCGTATACATTGTAGTTAGTTCAATTTTCAGTTATACCAAGGCGCCCCTACATTGCATAGCAGTGACGTAGACAGGAATTTTTCAGTTGGGGGGGGGGGGGGGGGGCGGCGCTGGGGGCTGGAACATTTCATGGGGGGGGGGGCGTCATGTAGATCAATGATAATTTTTAGAAACTCAAAATCTCAGGGGGGGGGGGGGGGGGGCGACTGGGGGGCGGTCGCCCCCACCCCGTGGCTACGCCACTGTTGCATAGTCACGTTCAATCATTTTAAAGTCAACTTTGTTTACGGTCCGTTACAGCTTATAAGACCACCAATGTCTGGTCAATGGGGAGTTCGGCAATTGGAGACTTTTGAGACTCTTGGTTGGTGGCAGCAAACTCAACGGTAATTTATAATGGTTTACGTCATTTTGAGCATGCGCACATCTGCCACCGAGCGTCTCCAAAGTCTCCCATTGCCTTAGTGGAATTTCCTGGCTTTGGGTAACATTCCTCACTCGGGTATTACAGATGTGAAGCTATGGCATCTGCATGATCAGATGTTATTGCCTGACACGGAGTACCAGGGAATCAAATTGTGGGCGGGAATGGAGAAGGCGGTGGATGATCTCAAGACGTGGCCGATCAGAGAAGACGATGCATGGATCATCACCTACATCAAAGCAGGTGAGACTTAGAGACCATACGCCCTCAACGGTATCAAAACACAAACTATTGGAGGACCGATGATCACTATATGCTGAATTAATGGCACAAGACTGTGAACCAAAACTTGTCGACCGGCTCTGGAAACAGTGTGAATTGTTTTCTAGGCTCATCAATAGCACGTTGATATTATTGCCACTTTGAGCACTCTGCAACGTCTTCACTCTTAGAGCACATTGTACATCTGTATCCTCGACGTCGTATCGTAATAGCGCCCCCACATGACTGCAATCACACGACGTAGCAGACTAGTTTGAAAATGCGGTCGCCATTTTTATTGTATTTGTCAGGTACAACTTGGGCCCAAGAGATCATGTCCTGTGTGATGCACGATGGAAATTTGGAAGAAGTCGACAAGAAACCCACTTCGTTCCGAGTGCCGTTCCTTGAGACTGACTTTCCGGAGGAGCTGCGGCGAACCAAAAATGTAAATTTTCTGCTCAAAACAAAATTTAAACGGCGTTGCTTCCCAGTTCAAGGAATAGGTGACGTCATCCGATGAAAACATCTATTCATTTGCACACCAGTTTTCATAAGATGCTATGTGTTACCATTCAGTACTCCAGACTCAAGAACCACAGAGTTTCAAGAACATAGGTCTGGAAGCTAGATAAGGTAATATTAAAAAAAAAAATGCCCGGATGTCTGCGTCCACCTAAAGAAGAAATCGGGCATGTGATTACTGTACACTCACAAGACACAGATTATCTGATCAACCACTAGTACAAATCTTTGGCCATTGAAGGGGGCCTTCGTGATACAATTGATAGCGTGCCCGGATTGGTCTATCCAGTAATGCAAACGTGTTTGTTATCTTGGAAGTGCATGACGTCTCTTTGTTTATCTTTACTTGCAGCTGCCGACAACTCTGGAAATAGCGAGTGAGATCCCTTCACCTCGGGTTCTCAAGACCCATCTGCCGGGCCAGCTCCTTCCTCCCCAGATATGGGAGAAGAAACCCAAGATTGTCTACGTCCTGCGGAACCCCAAGGACGTCGTGGTCTCCTGTTTCTACTTCTCCAAACTGTCCCAGCAGGACCCGGCAGTACAAGCCCAGGCATTTGGGGATTTTTTCGACGAGATGTTGGCAGGAACAAGTAATCTTGCCTTTCCTCCCTTTCAAGACCATTCATTCTTTAACGGCCGGCGTAACGTTCATATGTTACCGATTGATGTTTTGGTGTTTGGAGATTAGACCACCACTGAAGATACTTTGGTTTTGCGAACTATACCAAGTACTGTACTGCTAAACGAAACCAAAGCATTATGAACTCGAAAGTACCATCAGGTTCCTTAACCCTAGCCATGCTCAGTTATTAAAACAAGAGTCAGCATAATTCAAAATGAGCCCTCGAGTGTCAGGCTTAATGAAGTGCCTTTTTATGTCATTATCAGTGATAACATTTTCTTTTGACAAATGTTTGTTATTATTCATCCCAGCACATTATGGACCCTGGTGGGACCATTACCTGTACTTTTGGAAACGTCGGCATGAGAAAAACATTCTCCTGTTGCGATTCGAAGACATGAAACGGGTAAGAAACCAATCGAATGCAAGACTTTGCAAGTACATTGCGGCATGTGTGTATTCCACTTTGATAACTTTAAAGCTTTTTTCAGGAGGAGTACATGCTTTTTCGTCTTACTGACACATTATGTGTCAACTGGGATGGGGAAGGCCGCCCGTCACAGTGTCTGCAAATCTAAGAGTAATTACAAGACAGAGATACTTTATGATGTGTCATCAGTTCCAGACATGGGGGACTTTAGGGGGTCTAACTCCCCCCTTTGGGTCACAAAAATAGAAACAAAAACATGCAGAAAAGCACAACAAATGCCTGCTTACCCCCCCTCCCCCTTCTTGGCATCTATCCCCCACCCACCCCCTTGATCCCAACCTAGATCCGCCCACTCATCTCAACTCTAGAATAAGAGTCTAGAGCATTTTGGTATTGTTTTAGGACCTGCGAGGCAACGTGGAGAGGATCAGCCGATTTCTGGGCAAGGATCTCTCTGCCGAGAAACTGGATGCGATCACAGAGCACTGCACATTCGCCAACATGAAGAAGAACCCAATGGCAAACTTGGAGGGTCTCTTCGACAAATCGGCTCTAAAGGAAGGAGCCGCGTTCATGAGGAAAGGTAATTAGCAAAGCCTCATTAATAATAATAATAATAATAAAAATATAATAATAATAATATAGTGCTTATATAGCGCTTTATACCAAAGGTCTCAAAGCGCTTCACAATTATTACCCCTGTTCATCAGACCAGTTTCTGCAGCAGCTCAAGATCAGCGCAATCTGGTCTCTACCTTCACAGGTACCCATTTATACTCCTGGGTGGAGAGAGGCAATTGTAGTAAAGTGTCTTGCCCAAGAACACAAGCACCATGTTCCCCGTTCGGGTTCGAACCCACGTACCGCGGCAAGTGAGCCGAACACCGTAACCATTGGACCACAGCGCTCTACAGGTTGTCACCGTGAGACGCTTCGAAATCATAAAACCTTCAAAAGCAAATGGAATTTTACTCACCGGGGACTTGACAGCTTAATATCTCGAAACCCGTCCGTCTTTTATAAAATCCACTGATAATTCCACGTGTAGAGATCTGGAATCGTGATAGATAAAACCGTTTTGGTAAAATTTCACCGTGGGCTTCAACTTGGATGGAGTACAAGAGAAATATATAAAAAAAAGACTTAAAAATGAATAAACATCGAACAAATTTGGATTTATTTCTCCATGCAGGAAAGGTAGGCGACTGGCGGAGCCACTTTACGGTTGCGCAGAACGAAGCGATGGACGCCCTCATTCGAGACAAGCTGCACGGAACAGGACTGAAATTTGACTACCAGTAAACATTTTGACTACACATTCTCTGTACCTTTATTCGAAAGTTTCCATCAAAATCGAATATGGCCAATCAATATTCCTGAAATATCTTAGAATTTATTTATTGCCCTTAATTGACCTTTCCCAAGGAACGCCATCTTGAAAATCAAAGCGAGGCATAGAGTGCCCGCTAAGGGGGTTCTATTTTGTCTACAGCTAATACGCCCTAGTACGTTCAATTGTGATCTCGAACTGATTACTCGATATTTGAGTCAAATTGCGGGTCCTGAAAAATGGTACTCGAATACCATGTACTCGAATACCACGTCCTCTAAAACTATAAACTGCAGTAGAAAACAAAGCTATATGGTATATTCTATAAACTATAGAAGTTTCTACCGAAAAGACTACTCTAGATTTGATATTTTTGTTTCGACAAGTCACTAGCTAGCTAATCATTTCAGCTCTTGAAGCGAAGTCAAACGACATTTGGAGGCAAACATTTTGGGCAAAAACATGAACGTGACGGCCGCATCCGAGTGGAAATTGTACTTCCTAAACGTGACTCGAGATGATTGCACTGACAGACAGAAACACCAATGTTTGCATTGCCTTGTCCAATTTTTAATCATGATCAGCTAAATGCTTATGACAAATGACCGTATAAGACATGAGGCAATCGCATCTCAAGAGAGCGAGCGTGATCGTGAGGAACAGGCCGGCAAGAGAAAATATTGACACTGCTTTACTTGAACGGAAATCGAACTTATTATAACATCATGAAGAAAGTACACCATGAACCTGATGCAGTCCTCAGCAAGGCAACTGCTATGAAAAAAATGTCAATTGCTTAGTCCTGAAATAAGTTTCAGTATTGATTTGAGGCTTTACATGGTGGTGATATACTAATGAATGAAAGGTTTGCGGAAACACCATGTGGGAATAAATTTCTCTAAAACTAAAAGAATGGTTCTGAAAAGAACCAGAGGTATAAATTTTAGAGCCATTCTCTTTAGTTTGAGAAATGTATTCCCACACGGTGAAATAAGTTTCGTTTAGCAAAAATGAAGTAGGCCTAATAGTCAAATAAAGTATAATTTTATGGAATGTGATTGGTTCTGAGCTGTTTTCTTGCCTATGTCAGCATGTTGCAAAGATGCTTGGTAGCCCTATACGAAATTCGGTTCTGATCTGAAAAAAAAACACCACGGTTTGCGGAAGGGAAGTTTCATGGTTCGTGGTGTGTGTGCCATGTTATCGGCCACAGATGGTAGCGTGGAGTGCCACTTGAAACTGACGTTAATGGGACGTGGTAAAAAAAAACGCGGGAAACTGCCATTCATTTTTACATCGCGGCCATAATAATTCTTGCATGCATGCAAGCCATGGAACGCTATATGCAAACACTGCAACCACGTATCACGTTAATCAGCACACAGGGTTATCTGATTGAGCTCATGGTTATTGAAGTGCAATTGTGCAATTTACTGGCAATAATCTTTTGATTTTTTTTTTTTGCCTTGTAGACCTCATGCGGACTTGTGCACTAATATGATCCAAGAGTATACCCGAGTCGGTGAGCTTGTCTTACATACGCAGTGTAACAAAAGACGTCCACATAATGTAGGTAGCAGCGACGAAGTGTGGACTTGCCCACGTCCACACAGTGTTTCCCCATTTCTGGAAAACAGGTTTAGAGGCATTTTTGGGTTAGGTTTATCTGTAGCAGAATGAAGAGAAACACTAAAGGGAATCATTGAAAAAAAATTGGGTTGTAAGAGTTTTCACAGTTTGAGAAAAATGAGTTTTTCCACTGGTGTTCCTTAACTACACGAAAAGAAAGGAAAGTCCACACTAGGTATGTGAAACAAGTCTGGGTGTGTTGGCGTCGGTAACTTTTACACATTATTTTACGGCATCGTTTGGTGCCACTGCTCTGTCGCATGCATGCAGTGTTCACGAAACAATAAATAACAAGGAGACGAAACGTTGTAGTTGAAACGTTTGAATAAAAAAAGACGAATAAATGGCTTTTAAGCTACTAAGGCTGATTGGTTTTTACACAAACATTCTGGAGGATACACACAACACAACCACACATGAAAAAGCTGTTTCTTGTAGCGGTATCTCATACTGCAAAAGCTATGTGAATTGTCCAGTTGACCGCATTAATCAATAGGTTAATGTAAACACAACTGTGCATTCTGTACGTCCCGCGTAGGTATAATAATTTCAAAAGATTACGGTGAATTACTTCATCTTTCTGCAAAAAAAAAAATACAATAGCGTTAACTACGCTGTATAAAGTTATCAGACCTAATGGAAAACAACGCCATTGTCCCAGTAACAACACAAGCACCGTTGTCCGTCCATTGTCCCTTTCCTTTCGTCCCTAGATGGTTGTACTTTCCCTGCGAATATTGTCCGGCGCACACAGAGCAACCTTGGTTATCTCGCCAGGCAAGATAAAGCTTCTAATTACCCCGGGTAAACAGAGAAGCTGACGTCATGGTACTGTAGTCTTATCGGCATCAAGTTCATTTGAAATGGAAAAATTTACCAGGTTTCAATTAATAACCCTGCAAGCTTAGTCTTATACCTCACATAATGACGATGCATACAAAGATCGAGCGACGAGGACGTATTTAGCGCAACGGCAACGACATATTAATAAAAAACAAAACAAAACAACAAAAACAACAACAAAGAATTGAACAAACACAAAAACCAGATCCAAGCAACTAAACAAAGATATGTTACAATAGCTCATTAATTGTTAAATACAAAGTCATAAATGCTTTTTACACTAATACATTATTTAAAGAAAAAAAAGTATTTAAGAAAAAAAGTTAAATGCAAAGTAGTATAAAAACTAATTCATTCTATAACGCTGTTCGCACATCGTTCTGGTGTGTATTCCCTGTTTGTTATTCAACAATCCTATAATGCATTATTGTTTAGAATTCTACAGTTCCCGATACCGTAATCTATGGGAGTTATATTTAGTTTCGGATTAAATTGATGAGTAAGTATACAAGCTATTTTCTTACATTGAGTTACGGGGTAAGCTCTTTTGTTGCAGTTACTTTGATCAGTGATAGTTTTATTTTGACCCAGATTGTGAAATAATTGCATATTAATCAGATATTGTTGTTTCAGCGATGGTATTTAATTCCAGATGTTCCGTTCAATGGAAGGTCTAGTACCACCACCATTTTTAAACAGCACTTTACCAATTAAACCCAATAAATCAAAGTTTACCACGACGTAGTCAGTTTGCAAATAAAGAAGACCACAGCTGGTAAAACTGGTCATATAGAGCGCGCAACAATATATTCAATGGATTCATAAAGGCTATATTGTCTATATTGTGATCCGTGGAGCATTCTATTTTCCCTCGACTTCGCCTCGGGAAAATAGAATGTTCATGGATCACCTCGGGAGGCTAGTTTTACTACACCAGTCGAAGCATTCAATATTTGTATACTATGATATAGTTGGGACTATAATATAGTTAAGAATATGATATAGTTAGGACTATGATATAGTTGAGGCGCAACAGCGTCACTGTATACTGTAACATAATTGAATGTGATCAATTGTTATGTGGGTCTAAGCTGAGTAAATGCAGATCTAGACTACCGAACCACGTTATGGTGCATGGAAAAGCCGATTGGTAACATTGGGTCAACCATTAACGAAAGTAATTTGATTGTTCGTTACGTTTGCCATTATCCTTCCAACAAGTTGACCAGTGCTTTATCATTCCCTTTGATATCAGCGTAGCGTTTCGTTGGGTGAAACATCGTTGCAAAAATAACAACACCAACGAAGCTATTTTAAAGGGGGAAAAAACGGATCAAAAAAAAGTGAATTTGTGCTATCCCCTTAGTTTTTAATGCATTCAATGAATGTAATGGGAGCGAAGGTCCATTTATTACAAGAAAACGCGTATGGGAATCGGCATCTGAAATGGCAAATTCGTAATTTGATTTGACCATCGTGATGGAGTTTGCCGATTCAACAAGCGTAAGTGGGCAAAAAGCAATGCTTGCGTCAAACATTAACGCAAGCAATTTGGTTGTTGGATTCGCCTCAATTATTTCCTAACCAATGGATCACGATAAAAATTGGTTTTCAAGAAGGCTGTTGAGTTGATGACATTTGGGAGGAACTTGTACATCGCGTGTCTCTTGTGACTGTTCCATGTTTTATTTCTTTTGCTTAGGAATGAAATATTGATAATCAAGTTTTTATGTTTTACCAAATGCAAAATAAACCTAAAACAAGTTCGCAAATCAGTTGATTCTGTCCACATGCGCATTTTTGTACGTAGCCAATGAAGCTATAAAAAAATATTTTAGCGATCTTTGCAAACAGCTCATAATTTATGTCCAAAATGATTCCATTTATTTTAGCATTTTGTTATTACCGCATGTTATAATTCACCCAAAGTATCACAATTTTAATGATCAATGATGTTAATATTTAAGAAGACACATATCAAAGATCGATCAATACATAAATAAATACTAGAGTATTCGTTTAAACTGTATTCGTTTAAATTGAAACTCAAAATTAATGTTACGGTAACATTTATCTTTTTTAACAACAGCTGCTCGAATCAATAGACATTGAATAAAATTTCAACTGTCTGGTTGGAATGCAGACGGGAATAAAATGAAGCGAAGTCTGGCGAAATTTTAAATACAAGATACATATGACGTTAACGTAAAATCGGTATGTTCATATACTAAAAGTCGAAGAAACTAAACGTACACTTATGTTGTCTTGAAGTAGTCACAACCGAATTTCACCATTTTCAATCTCAAAAGCCGATATTGTCCAATCATGAAAAACAGCACAATAATAACACCTAATTTTGACCAGAGCACAATGCAAACTAACGATGAAGAGATAGGACATGCTAAATTATGTTTCACAGGTAATTTAGGTTGATTCCCATAGGTCTGGTAGGTTTACCCGAGCTATATAGGGCTAACAAAATTGGACTAGCATTACATTCACTGTGTGGACTTCCGAACAAATGATGTCCACATAATTTATATAAACCAGGTAGCAGCGACGTTGTTTGGACTTGCCCACGTCCACACAAGGTACTCTCTCTGGAAAACAGGTTTAAAGGCATTTTTGTGTTAGACTAATCTGTGGCAAAATGAAAAGAAACACTAAATGGAATCATAGAAACAAATTTGGGTTGAAAGAGTTTTCACAGTTTGAGAAAAAAGAGTTTTGTCACTGTTTTTTTCTTAATTACACGAAAACAAAACAATGTCCACACTAGGTATGTAAACCAAACGTGCGTGCACAACGTTAACGAGGAGTGTAACGGGCCATCAGCGGTGTGCCATTTGCCGGCTAACGGCAATTTACCATCCGCGAAGAAAGAGATGATGACTCTCAGCTCAATTTCACTCCACAACAATGTTATAAGGAGAGTATGGAGCTATACAATTTCTCAGTCAAAACTTTCTCAGTAAACATATGTAACGAAAAAAAAATAATTCTTTCCGGAAATACATTGATAAATTAAAAGTTCACTTGTTTTTTTGTTGTATTACACGATTAAAAAAGATAAGATACAAACATTACACAAAGAATTAACAACACACAACTGTCGGTTTTAAGTTCAATTAAGAAATGTTGTTTTCCTCTGTTGGAAAGTAAATGCTCTCCGGAAGGCCCGTCGGTACCGAAGACTGACGACACTGTAGACCATGGGGTTCACTGCGGAGTTTAGATACGTCAAGATGCTAAACGCGTTCAAGATGTACGACCGTGGGCGGTAGCCTAGCAAGTCATGACCAGTATTCATGGATATGGTCCTCGCCAGGTCGTAGAACTTCCTAGGAGCCATCAAGACGAAGAAGATGACTCCATTGACGACCAGCATCCAGGCGACCTGGTTGCGCGTCCGCGTGATACGCGCTTCAAGCACGGCGTTCTGTGGTCCGATGGGCATGACGCGCATATTCAGCGCGCGGACGATCCGGACGAACAGGACCGAATTGGCGGAGGCGATGATGACGAAAGTGATGGTGTACCACAGCGAATCCCTCTGGTGTACTGTGACCAACTCATAAGTCGTCACTACCTCAGATATGACCTTCAAGGTGTACATGCGATCCGGGATGCCGTCGAACTCCGAGTATTCGGGCCATACGATACAGGTCAGACGAAAGTCACTAACCCATGGTCCGACTGTAATGACCACCACAGCCGACAAGACCCAAGTGCCTATACTCATCTTGATCGCCCGGCTACGATTCCCCTGACTCCAGTGCGCACGAAAATGAAGAGGTTTGAAGATGGCGAAGTACTTCTCCAGTGCCACAACCGACACAAGAATCATGGTCTCCGTGTGGACTAACTGGACGACGAAGTACAGGGCGACGCTGCCTGCGTAGCCCGCCACGCTCATGTCCATAGTCAGCGGGGAGGCACTGTAGTAGACTAACTTCTGGATCTCGGTGAGAACCAGGAACAAGAGATCAGACGCAGCAAGCTGGACTAGGTACAGGTTTGTCACTGTCCTCATGCGAGGCACACGGGCGACGACGAAGAGGAACGACACATTGGTGAACAATCCCAAAGCGACAATGACAGGCAGAACGCAGACGATGACAACTCTGTCGAAGGTGTTATAGATCAGCGCGTTGGGCTGACCGTCCTCCCCAGCGGAGAAGTTTAATGTGTTACCATCGTCACACATTGGTGTCTCCATTCTGCCGTCACTTCTGTTCGCGAAATAGTTCTGAAAGACAGCGTTTGCAGTATTTGGACCCAAGAACATCATTTGAGTGATTAAGATAATCCAAGACGGGCTCTGCATTGTTTTACACTCTCCATTAGAGCCGTGAATTTCACAACACGGACTGGTATTTTCATCTTCCGCGAAGCAGTCTGACTAGAGGATTTTGCCAGTTAATGTTGTTTCACAAACATCCCTAAAAATGTATTCACTATCCAGTACTGAACGAGATTATTAAACGAGCATTGTACCAACCACAAAAAACATATCACTAAGCGTCTTCAAGTATCCACACCCATTCTGACAACTCGAGGCGACCACTTTTTCTATTTGGCGTAGATTAACAACACCACAATCTCACACAGCACTACGGCGATCCGTTCTGATGAAGGAGACACCAACAAAAGCGCTGACGCACCATCACAAACTCCACCGGTGGAAACTCCTGCTTCCTACACCGTGTCCTCCCGTCAGCTCACGGCACATCATCCGACGAGAGAAATTGCCGCGTACAGGACTTTGTGTTATACCAGCAACCGAACTAATTCAATTAATGGTCAATGATTGATCCGTAGGTCGTTCAATTGAGGAGACGCCGTGTACGGCGAGATAACTCCAGCCTGATAGATGCTGTACTTTGAACGCGGCTACGGGTGATTACAGACCGCTCCTTGGTAGCGGAGAAATGTGCGCGCGTGACGGCCAAGCTTCTGAGACTAACTCCAGTCGGTGATGGGCGAATGGCGTGCTTTTATGCCCGTGGGCAGCGGCGCTGGAATGCCATCAAACGCGCTTTTTTTTTTCTTAAATGCGACCAACCTCCAAATTTAAGCTGATGAGCGTTCTCATCCATCATGTCGTTGCTTTGACGGGAAAGTGCCAAAAGGGAGTGGGAGTGCAAGTAATATATTTCCGATTATCTGTCTGAATATCAATGATTGTTATGATAATCTCGTCACGTGATAAGACCACCGCTTACGATGGTTGGGCCTACCAGCCCGTTGAAGATATCATCTGCTGATTAATATTAAAATATTAATGAATATCAATTATTCCGTGTCACGTGGTATAAGACTACGTCTTATCCTATTATTAGATCTACCAGTCCTAGGGAGCTTTTCGTAGTATTAAAACTTAACATTGATGAATATTAACGATTCCCTGTCACGTGGTATTACTACAATATCGCTGTCATTAGATCTACCACTCAAAAAACTCTCTATAGACTAGAATTCAAATATTGATGAATATTAAGTTCCTTGTCATGTGGTGAATATCGAGTTTCTTGCAGTGGTTATACCTATACCAGCCCAAGATACTCATACTGATTAATATTTGAATATTTGAATATTGATTAGTTAGAGACTTCATGTTCAACAACGAGTTGGCTCAAACCTTCATACAGTTCGGGTTTATATAATGTCAAAAAAGTGTCCGTCTGACTATTTTTGAAATAACTACAAAACCATGACGTCAATTTTGAAAAATGTTTGGTTGTGCAGATACTCCTAGGCCTCGGCCTCAACACCTATGAGTTTCACTTAATTTCAGTCACGCATCACTGCACAATATTATTGTCAATTGATCACAACATTTTTGGATGCTGTGACCAAGTTCCTTGCCTTATTCAGTTTCAGTACTGTGTTAGGTAAGCTGTGTAAAATCCTTCATGTTGTGAAAAAGGCTGCGATTGGGATTGAAATCATTTGCCTGGCTATCACTGTATCAGTCATCTTGGCAAGACATCCGTTTAATGCTCAAAGGCAAACTTCAAATCCCAAACCACATCAACCTTTTTTCTCAACATGCAGGATTTTACACAGCTTACATAAATTAGCACTGAAATAGATAAAGGCATAGAACTTGGTCACCGTGTCCAAAAATGTTGTTGTGCTCAATTGACAATTGTGCAGTGATGCGTGACTGAAATTAAATGAAACTCATAGGGGTTGAGGCTAAGGCTTTATGAGTACCTGAACAATCAAACCAATTTAAAATTGACGTCATGGTTTTGTAGTTATTTTAAAAACAGTCAGACGGACACTTTTTGACATTATATAAACCCGAACTGTATGAAGGTTTGAGCCAACTCGTTGTTGAACATGAAGTCTCTAACTAATCAATATTCAAATATTCAAATATTAATCAGTATGAGTATCTTGGGCTGGTATAGGTATAACCACTGCAAGAAACTCGATATTCACCACATGACAAGGAACTTAATCTTCATCAATATTTGAATTCTAGTCTATAGAATAAACACCGATATCAAACAATATTTAACAGAACCCGGTGATCTAAACTCCACGTTAACTACGTCACAAAAGCAACCAGTAGAAGATTTGTCCATCAGCTCCCTCAAAGTGCACCATCCAAAAATATTAACAGCTTAAAAGGGAAATTAAAGGCACACACACACAAAGCCGACGCCAAGAAGGCGCTGAAACCTTGTTTGCCAACCAAATTTAATGCACGAAAATGCAATTATTGGGTGGTTATCAATCACAATATAATATTTTGTACGGAGGGAGATCGGCATTAAAGGTTAACACAACCGAAGTCAATCCAATTACGCGCGCTTTGGGTACAAAAGGCGTCAAGACGTAATGCTATTCAACGGCCGCGCCGTGAGGTGAACGGGTTTGACATCTTAGAATTTACCAAGAAATGTTAGAGTGTAAAATCAAAGCTGTACCTTTACTGGAGCAACGCGGCCTTTTGATTACTTTTGCTCACAGTTTATTCTTTGTATACACATGAAATTTACTCTTAAAACTTTAATTCGAAACTGATGATATCAGGAAATGCGTGTATGAAAAAATAGTCTAAGATTTTATATTGGTAACAGATTGTATAGATGATTCGAGTACCATTTTCCTTATTGTTCAAATTGTTTGAGTTTTTCTGTAACAGTACTTTTAGTTTGCTGTTATTAGTGTTGTCGCAAGGACACAACTATTTAGCTCTTTATAGAATAGAACATTAATTAACAACGGCAAAGCATTAATCTTATTAGCCATCTCTCTCAAATTGCAAATGCGGCGGAAATACTTCACATTGTACTTATAATGTCATTCTTGAACGAGTCTTTGGCTGCAACATTCGGTTGCCGAGATACGAACCCTTCGGGCCAAATGCCAACCGAGTCGGAGACGTGGCAGACGCAATAGACCAAGGGTTTCCAATAGAACGTTTGCACTGCGGCCATATTTGAGGTGTGTGCTTGTACATTCATTGTTATTCATGAATCAACATAACAGGAAACACCTCCAAGATGGATGCCGAATGCATTCAGTCTATAGCCCAGTTGCCATAGGTTTTGGTCATGTGCTAAACGTTGGCTTCGTCTGTACTCCAGCTTCGTTTTCTTGTTTCGTTATCCCTTAAACCTTTTTATACTCGAACGAAACACAAATCAACACCATTTTTGAACACATATCAGAGGGTTTGGTGCTCCTAAGGAACAACATGCATGACACTGTGTGCCTGCGGATTTCCAAAAGATAAAATCCAGCATGTTCATGTTGTTTTGATACACCATTTACCACTGCAGTTTTCAGGGTAAGTGCTTTAGAGAGTGATGTACATGTAAATGATTAAATGAACATAGGGCAAGGGCAAACCAAAGTGCATCAGACATTACCGCCTAAACCTTAGGCTGTACATTATAACTCTTTCCAATACAATGACTGTTCTTAATGCCGTCAGCCTTTTATTGATCAACACGAATGTCTGCATATTGCATTATTTTACGAGTCAGATGCACTTTTGAGTAATGAACGGAATCATGATCGATTGTTCGGTGGAAATGATTAACTGTGCTTTATGAAATATAAATATTAAAAGTGGACGTAGTGAAATGACTCGTTTAAACACGTACCTGCGATCAATTATGTGGAGTTGACTGTTAATGATCTGAAAATATTGATATATTGCAGTTTAAGTTCAATTCAACTGTAATTATTTATAGGCGTGTTACTTTTGTAAATAATTAAAATTAGATTTATATAGCCATGCTTTTCATCAAAATCATCCTGCCACGCCAAACTACATTATTCTAAGTTGAAACCAAGGCAGCGGTATACTCTTGGGGGCGCTATTCACCTTCAGCACTCGCCAACATTTAGACATTTATTTTGCCGGCTTGGATCGACGGTATATACGCAGCGCCCTCAGGCAGCTTACTTAATTATACCCAAGTTTAATAGAAACTTGCTCAATTCGCTCTTTTCACGCTTCCGCCATAAGCATGCGGAGCCTCGATCGGGCAACTTTACACAATTATTATAGATACAGCCGGTTCAGTGATTCCCGTGTCGGGGTTCAGTGATACCCGTGTAAACCCGGGAATCACTGAACCGGCTTTATTCACTGTGTAAAGTTGCCAGATCGAGGCTCTGCATGCTTATGGCGGGGCGTGCAAAGAGCGAATTATGTGTCCATAATGTGGTACGTTTTAAATGAAGCTGAACATCCCCACAAAATTCCCGTTATGAATTTAAAGTGTTGTACAGGATTTGTTAGTTCTTCTTAACCATTAATCATCATACTAAATTATATTTTTACATGGTACTTTTCTCCAGCTTGCGACAACACAGGAGCAATCTATTAAAGTGCAAATCAAGACTCTACTTTAGTCATCAAATGATCTTATTAACTTCAACCATGCCAAGAGCATGAATGAATGCACACGTAGAGACAACATCATGCTGATTGTACGTCCGTCAATTAATCTTCATACTTTTTTTTCCAACCAATTGCAAGTAGAACCACAAACACGAATATTACACGACTGATCATTTAGCAGACAATGCGCGACGTGTTGCACGTTGTCAGACAAACGGACGAGCAGTTTTCATTACTGAGGCCGGTACGATGTCAATGATTAATGTCGTAATCTACGGCTTCATTTTACACAATGCAGCCAACTCAAGTATTGAAGTCGGACAGGAAGTTTTCTGTTTCAATTTTATTTAACCATAAGTGAGACGTGAACGCACCGTATTGTTCAGTCACGGTTAATACTAACCAGCGACGATACCGGACAAACCGTAGTGCGGATGTGTGCCACAACGCGGCGAAACTGCACGCATGCAAGACTTCTCACTTGGACACCGTGGGTTCTGGACCAGTCAAGTCATCGTCATGGGTGAACCGATGCACCAGTGGGAAACCTGTGAGGCTATCACTCCACGGTTTAACGAGACACTCACTGCCAACGATACTGACCACAACTTGATGAGGTACTCCGCCTTCGACACGGCACTCATAGTCGGCATCATGCCTGCTCTGCTCTTCTTAGGTCTCGTTACCAATTTGTCCTTCCTGATCGTTGTGGTCTGTGTTCCCTTCATGCGAACTGCTACCAACTACTACCTATCACAGCTAGCCGTTGCTGATATAGCGCTGCTGATCACAGCAGTTGGAGAAAAGCTCTGGTACTTCATCGCCTCCCCCTTCGCGATGGATACATCGGTGTTGGGCCAGGCTGGCTGCATCTGGGTGCCCATCTTGAAGAAAACCTTCTCCTGGGTGTCCATGTTGCTGGTGACGCTGCTCAACTTTGAGAAGTTCTACGCCGTCTGCTGGCCGCTGAAACACCGCACCGCACAGTGTCAAAGAAAACAGGGGATCCGACGGCGTATCTTCACAATATGGCTCACAGGTGCGGCGGTTTCTCTCTTGACTGTACTCAATAACGGTAGGTACGCTACCTTCCGCGTAATTGACGGGCAGGATAAGCTTACAGGCCAAGACAACCTGTTGGAAATTGGTGTTTGTTGTCCCTTAACTGCCTCTCTCGACATTGCTACGCTCTCAATCTACGGGGTTTTGTTCGTCACCTTTTGGCTGTCCAATATTTTCATGTCGGCCGGGACAATCCGAGCGATTAAGGGCAGGAAGGTAGCGGCGTGTAAGGAGCAGACCATTAACCTGCCTGCCAGGCGTATACAGAGCAACAACCTGATCGCTCGGATGGTCATCGTGAATGGTATGGCCTACTTCTTGCTTCTCATACCTCGACACAGCTATAATATCGCACAGGTGGCCAAGCTGAACCTTCTCCACGAAAGCCAGCGGAATATCGTTCTGAACATCACCAGGATTATCCTTTACCTCAATTCGGTTATCAACCCTGTCATTTATGTCCTCGTGAATCCAAGGTACCGCAGGGCATACAAGAGGGTATTCTGGTGCCAATCTAAAGCAACCAGAGAGACTGCACGGACATGAATAGTGGGGACACGGGACTGTTACGTCTGCGGTTCGATTCCAACCAACAGAACATCACTAGGTCAATCATGTATCTAAATTCGGTTACCAAACCGTTCACTTACGTCATTGTTAATCCAGAGATTTTATAGAATGGTCATATATATCTAGAATTGAATTGACATGAACTGTTGTGGGCCAAGCGACCCTGGAGGTCTGCGGTTCGATTCAAATACAATCATCCCGATCTCTGCCAAAGACGTTAATTCGCCATCACTAAGTCAACAGCGCTTCATGCACAAAGTTATATTATAGTTAAAACAAAAAGCAGCTTTAACTCAGACATACCAAACAACGCAAGACTATATGCTTTACAAAACACAGTGCTAGTGGGTACGAGTACTTTAGAACAAATCGTTGTTTTTAATTTAAAAAAAAAACACTTATAGGTACCTAGCAAAATAAATTAAAAATATAAAACAATACAATAGGTAATAAACCTTTTGTCTTAATAATTTACAAAACTATGGGGAAAATACAAGTTTTTCCGCTTTCTGTAATAACATTATTTTTTTTTAATTAAAATGTTGTCCACTATGGCAGGTGTACCCAGATGATGAATGACATTTTTCGATAGGACTGTTTCAAAGGAAACACGAACACTGATTACTTGAACATATTGCGTGGGATATCAGCAGCCATGTGTGTTCAATGTTTGTGCCCGTGTAGTGGACTTATCTCGCTTCTAAATAGTAATGTATTCAGAGTTGTTTAAAAGTACTGTATTCCGAATAGGTATTTATATAGACTGACACGGTCGTTTATGAGTCGTTTGTGGGTATTGGAGGTTTTAATGATTCTGCTACTAGTAAGTTTAATTAAATGGACATTAATTCAGCGAATATTCCAGAGGTTGAGTCGGAGGCTGCAATATCAGTCATCCAATACTCAGCCAGTGTTGAGAAAAGCAAGATATTTTCTGTGAAAAACAAAACAAAATAAAAGAAAAGAAACAAAGAACAATTACTTTTCCCACTTAAATTGTCAAGGCAAAAAGAGGGCAATGGGTAATGAAAAAAAAATGCAGCTGGTATCAACAAAACTTATTTTGATCTAAGGCTCGCTCGAGTTCATTGTAAGAGTATCGGAGAATTTCAGGTGAGGGTACTTGACCCTCAATCGAAGACAAACGGTAAGATTTATTGTCCCACTAAATGGCCACTGGCCATGGTCTTCATTCGTTCCGTGTTGTATTATTAATAAAAATCAATGTCTATCCGGGAAAGTATCTAGGATCCATTGAACGATATTTAACAAGTTTAGCGTTGGAACTGATAACCGCGCACAAGGAGGAATGCATGCTTGCCCTGTATTGCTAAGCGGCGGCCACGAAGGATGGACAGGGTTTATTATCTCGGACCATTTAACCTTTTCAGTGAAGTTTACCCTACTAATTTGATTTACGTTCGATCGTTCCAATGAGAATTGAAAGACCAATGACACATTTTTCAGTTACCGAGCTGTATGAGATAACTGGTGATTAATGGGAGTGCTAAAAGCATGGTGGTGCGCGTGCAGGAACAATGCGCCTGGTGGAATTTAAGGGGAAATATGGCGTGGAATTGGGATGTATTTTGATTAATTTATTAACTAGTAATAAAACTGAACTTATCACTGTCAATGTTTGGGTGAGGTAGGTGGATCCACCTTAAAGAAAAATCATACAGCAAAAAAAAGGCACGAAAGGTGATTTTAATTCTAAAGAAGCAGGGACGGCTACATTTCTGTGAAATAACCACAGCTTTTGTTTTGTTTCACACGAATTAGTATTCCACAAAAGACCCCTCTATTTACTTTCTATTCCATGCTGAAGCCAGAAGGGTATATCACTGGCCCTGAGTTGTTTGACTAGCCATCGATTTTGTGATTAATCAATGCCATCTGAGTGTGGTGCTTTCCTCAGCTGGCGTTTTGGGGCGTCTAATCTTCGCTGGATACACTTTATCTTGGTACGATACTCATTAGTACCTTGCAGTGTCTGACTGGCTTGTTAGGTTGAAGCCTCACATGACTGGACAAGTATGATAATTTCAGTTTGCTTGCCAGAACAGACTAAACACTATTAAAATATACGACTGTGCATATCCTCACTATTACATTGTTTATTGCCAAAAAATTCACCGACACTCATGTGATTTAAAATTACTGTACCTCATGCATATTCACGATCGAGAGCTGATTTCTAACTGGTCCATTCACCACCACGTGGCAGATGCTATTTGCTGTTTACCAAGCACGCGCTAGTATTCACGCACTGAGTAAATACCCATGTGTAGTAGAATGTCGCACGGGTTACCCGTGCGACAGCTTACTACGCATGAGCTTTAAGAAGCAATTGTAGAACTGTCACACGAGTGTATAGTACACATGAGGGAACATCACCCTAGGTACACATTAAAAGATGGTTGCATGCGTAAATGTTAATTAGCGTTTCCCCAAGCTCAATGATGCTGAGCTGGAGAATATTGTGGATAATCCTGTACTAAAAAAAAATTGTCCAGAATGCGGTATAAACTCTGAGGAATTACTGTACTGCAAACGAAATGAACTTTCTGAGGTTGAGCAATAATATTCCTCTGGTAAGCTGGACAACTTTCCCTCGGTATTGGAACTTTCCATACCTCGGGGAGCTAACATCGACTTTCCACCCTCCAACCATGTTATATTTGTATACGGTTATCCTCTACATTACAAAAAAGGTAATCTATATGTATTATGGATGATGAAAGGAATTAGATGTGTCCCACATGCACCACTACAGTGAAATGGGTGAATGTATATTAGAATATTTTGCCACACAATTTTTCCATCTGATAAAAAGTGCTACAGCTAGCGAGAGCTTGTGAGGACTTGTGAGGTCTTGTAAGGACTTAATTGTGATGAACTTGTGAGGAGCTGTGAGGACTTGTGAGGGCTTATGAGGACTTGTGAGGGATCGTTAGGCTTGTAAGGACTTGTGGTGGACTAGTCAGGACGTATAAAGACGTGTGAGGACTTGTGGGGACTTGTGATGGACTAGTGAGGACGTGTGTGGGCTTATGAGGACTTGTGAGGACTTGGGATGGACTTGGGATGGACTAGTGAGGACTTATGAGGGCTTGTGGGGACTTGTGATAGACTTGTGATGGACTAGTGAGGACTTGTGAGGGCTTGTGAGGACTTATGAGGGCTTGTGAAGACTAGTGAAGACTTGTGATGACCTGATGACCAGTGAGGGCTTGAAAGGATTTGCGAAGACTTGGAAAGACTTGTAAGGACTTGTGAGGACTCGTAAGGACTTGTGAGGACTGGTGAGGACTTGTGATGGACCTGTGAGGACTTGTGATGGACTAGTGAGGATTGTGAGAACTTGTGAAGGCATGTGAGGACTTGTGTGAGGACTGGTGAAGGACTCAAAACTACAACACTAACACAAGATAATCAATCTGTCAGACAATCTATCACCCAGATCAACCTGTCAAGACATTCACCCACCTGATTCAGATGTGCTACTCTGGTTGTCCCCACACTCGCTGAGCTTCGTCCTTGCCCGTGGGAAATCCTGGAGGACCAATAGCCTCTTGATGTCTCTTAAGCGAATTACAGCCTCCTTTGACACCTCATCATTTGACAACTTGTCAATCATTGTCTGGAATTGTTGGGAGTGGGAGTGCATGGACTGGGCTTTGCTTGCTGAAAAAAAGGGGTGTAAATTTTGAATAAAGATCACTTGTGATTTCTTTATCGGTAATAAAAATTGCATTTATTTTTTCATCCTGGACCAGGTGGTATGCCAGTTTGTCATGTACTCACGAAAGTGCTGATCACTTGCTGCACAAAATTTATCATACGAGAGCTGTAAGACACCAGCATCCTTGGATATGACGATGTGGGCAGGAGAAAATGACAGATCCCACATTGAACCAAACCTGTGAAAATCTTCTGGATACTTACTGTCACAGCTGTAAACCCTCCAAACTGCCTCAACGAACTCAATCACTTCCCGAGTAGCCTCATCTCCAGAACCCTCATCACCATCATCATCTCCCCTACCAGGACCCTGTGCATCCACATCGCATGTAAACTCCGTGGCTTTGACTGTTGGCTTGTTTTGAAGTCTACCGAGCTTGGCCCTTTTCTTTCTCAGTTTCCTTCTCTGGTTCTTGGTCAGTAATGAAGTGTTTGTTGGTTGTGATGATGATTCCTTCTGAAAAGTTTGACTTTGTGCATCTCCTTTGCTCGTAGTGAGGCTTGTTTCAGCTGATGACTCTGCAGTCCCCTTTCTGTGTTTCTTCTTCCTCTTCCTTTTTCTCGCAGGTCGCTCCTCATCTGTGAATGCGTAAAGTTTCTTAATTCAGCATCCCTGATTAAATTACCATTAATAATCACTAAAGCTTCACCCCTCTTCCCCAACATACATGCATGAAGGGGGGGGGGGGGGGGAGAATACATATGAGCCCTCCCCCAACTCCCAGAAAATGTGGTTTGGTGCACATTACCTTCAAAAACATCTGAAGATTCTGCTTCAGAACAGCTAGACGGCAATTTTTCTTCAGGACTTTCTCTGCTAGCATGGCTGAGCTGTGTCTGAGCCTCCGGTAACCCATCAGATGGGGGTTGAACGGTGTACAGCTTTGTACCAGCTACTCTTGATTGTGTACTTTTGGTGCATTTTGTCGTCAGAGAGTTTGTTGGAGTTTGAGGTGCTGTTTCATCTTTTGAAGTGTTTTCAGGCGGGTAGAGTCTTTCAAGTACATGAGCTTTAAAAACTGTAAACATGGTAAACAAATTAAAAATTACCAGACATTTAAGATGTACCCAATGGGTAAGATGCAGAATAAACCGAATATTCGAATATTCATTAGACCATCAACCGAATATTCGAATAGCTTTTTCTGCTGCTTAAATATTCGAAAACAAGATAATTACAACAAGGTCTACACACATGACTGTGATCATGGTGATGTTATTTTATCATAAAGTTGCGGTGTTTTTTGTCGACGGCCGCTCATTGTTTCTATCCTTTTAGCAGGTTAAAGACCTTGACAGTTACAAAAAACTTACTACAAAATAATACTATAAAAAGTTAAGTACTGATCGCCGCATCTTGTCTTAACTAATAACTGGCAACTCTGCGTGCAACTTTTGTCCTGTGCGGCACATGCATCATGTGCATGCAGCTAGCAGCTTCGAATATCCGAATATTCTGTCAAAAAGTCTCGAGTAATCGAATACTAAATTATTCGAAAATGGACAGCCTAGCCCTAGCCTAAGCCGTCATGCATACGGTATTCCACTCTTATTGTAATGTAATGCACTTTTTTTGAGGAATTGTGTAGGCCTAGGGGGGAGTACTACTAGTGAGTGCTAGTATTAGTAGGACATGTGATGTGTAACTCAGCCTCAGTTACAAAATTTTGCCTGCAATTAACAACCCAAACATGCCCAAGAGGGCTGCATGCCAAGCATACCTGACTCTCGTTTTCTTGTAGACTTTTTCACATTCATTCTCTTGGTGTGTTTAAAATCAATCTTCTTGTCACGGTTGATTAATGATAGCTAGAAATAGCGAAAATGTTTGATTTAGAGGGCATGTTGTGCCCATTCTTGAAAATCACGCATTCTCGAGAATGGGCGTGCACATTCTCGAGAATGGGCGCGCATTCTTAAGAATGAGCGCCCATTCTTAAGAACGAGCACGCGTTCTTAAGAATGAGCGCTCATTCTTAAGATTGGGTGGGAATATCACGTGCACAATTTATGAATTTTGCCCAATCTTAACAAACATTGCACGACATAATTATGTTAAATGAATTGTATATCGGTTAAAAGGGAAACAATTCGTATGAAGAGGAAAGAAAATGTGCTATGCTTCTGTACTCGTATAACTACGATAATTTGAATCAAATTAAACCTGATATTATTGCTTTTTTCTGCCCACTATGGGAAGTTTTGTAATAACGGAGGACTGGGAACTAGTCTGGGAAGTGCTTTGTTGAGGCTAGACAAGTTACAAGTCCCTGCATGTATCATATGCGTGCCACGAAAAAAATTGCTCTTTTGACTACAGCTCTGCGACGTTATGGTGGGATGTGAACAATAAATTGGTGGCAATTTAAATGGGAAATAGCATTAGCACTATGGGATGTCGCAGTATTCATTCTCATTCTTCACATTCTTCATTCTTACGTTCCCCCCCCCCCGCTTTCCATGCTTTTATTATCCCAAAAATCAGAATTCCTTGCACTAGTATGTCTCTTATATTTTCCCGGTCCCCCCCCCCCCATATTAATACGCCTTTACTTATCATATCCACTCTACTTTTCAGCGCCTTGCGTTGCAACAGTATAATTATTGAGAATCAGTGAACGAGGATTCAGCTAGACTTGCCAAGCGCAGCCGGTGCTCGGCATCGACAAGACTGTTATCTTGTCGCGCATTCTCGAGAATGTGCGCTCAATCTGGAAGAGTTATTTTTTGCCAAGATTGAGCAAGGATCCAGTTGCACATTCTCAAGAATGTGCATGCCCATTCTCGAGAATGCGTGATTTTCAAGAATGGGCACAACAGGCACGCAATGCGCCATTTCCAGTCATGCCACTGCCAGTCGTGTCGTCTGCTTACTGTACTCACGATCGGTCCAAACTCTTGGTGGCGCTGTTCAAATGTTGTTGTTCTTGAGTTGTTGTTTTGTACATGTACACATGTACTGTAATGTATTTCGTTTGTTGGAATTTAGTTCGAGCATATGGAGGTAGGAAATTGAACGGCTATATATAGCTCTTCTCAACATATTCTGTTTTTGAACGAACAAACTTAAAGTTTGGAAATATACCATCCATTACCATTTTGTTTGTTGGAAAATTCATGTAAATTCGTAGTTATTTCTCCATGGTTTGAATAATGAATTGAAATTTTAATTTCCACATGCTCCAGCTCCAGGAAATCCTCCCCATGTCATGAGCCTAGAATTTAGAAAGCTGGAAATTTAAAGCTAGTAAATTCGGTGCTTGAAAGTTGCACTTACTTTGTTAATGTTAGTACTACTACCATGACTCCTGTAATGCATGTACATGCTTTTTATTGTCTTGTCAAATGAGAATTACTTACCTCTCTGTTTTCTAAGATACCCTCCTCACTGAACTAGATGCCATGGCAACCAAAGACTGTATCCATCCAAAAATTAAAAAACGGCAGAGATACTCCCCCTACACAAGACAGAAATCTGCAGGATCCAGCAGCAGTACATCTGCCCAGAAAGACGACTCTGCTACGATTACCAGCACACAATGCAAGTCACTTGATGACAAAGGAGGAGACCAATCTTCAGAAAGTACCCAGATCTCCAAGACTTATCCCTGTATCTCAGCCAGACAGCCTTATGCAGGTTTCATCCTGAATGGTCTCAAGACGATTGAGACGAGATGGACGCCCGTCTTCCAAGAGCTGGAGGGGAGCACGGTGGCGATTCACGTGGCTTGGAGGGACTGGGAGGGCGAGGAGGAGTGGAGGACAATCTTGGGGATGAGTCACAAGGAGGTGGAAAGTGAGAGATTTCTTCAGGATGGAGAGAGGCATGGGAGAGCAGTGGTAGCAGGTTAGGAGAAAATTAGCCCGAGTTCGAAACAAAATAGTTTCTCGTCCCCGCTTTTGAAAGAACAGACATGATGGAGGTGGTAGCTTTTTTTCTCGAAGATGGAAGATTTTCCAAGATGGCAGATGGATTCTTCCATTTTCCATTTGACCAAAGGAGCCGCCACCCTTTCTATGTAGCTACAATTTTGTTGGAAGCAAATAAAACGATAATTTATAGGTAATAGATTTGCAAAATATATTGCAAATGTATGACTGAACAAAAAAGAGGCGTGCAGGAAAAAGGAAGCGGGCGGGGGCAAGAAATTGATTTACATTTTTTACTTGTCCTTTTAGCCTGCAGAATCCAACAAGAGAAACCATTGAGCGATCTTATAACATGCATGGCCGTCTTAAATCATCTCAGGAGTCAATATAGCTGTTATGAGCACAAACTTCATGAACCATACAAGGCGAAGGTCGATCAACAGTAATAATCGTTACTTCTCCAGACTGATGTTATTTTGTAAAATTTATTTATTTATTCATTTTTGTATATCAGGTTTGGTTGATGTTGGTGAAACTTGGCAGTGCCCGGCCGACATTGAGAATGTGGAGCAGTCACTGGAGTGGGAGACGTGCGCCCTCTTGAGACCCTTGAACGACAAGTTTCTAACCAGGCTGTCCAATCCCAGATGGTTGAGGCGGCCAGTTAGGATCAGGGGTCAAAGGGGAATCTGGGAGGTCGAGATCCCACAGGACTGCCTCTGATGGTTGCCTGGCTGAAAAAAGGCTGCCATGCGTGGCCAACAGGACACAATGGAATATAGAACAGTCTGTCGCCAATTCTCATTGGACCCTGTGCATAAACCCAAGAGGGCACTATGCTGCCTACTTACAAGAACCAATTGGGGGCAATGTGATGCCTTACGTGTATGCTGTGTTGAAAGCTCCATATAGGGCCTATAGACTGTATTGTTTCCAGTCACGAAGGTTAATTGGTAAATCTTTAAAACGCATTCCCGTTCTATTTTCCAGTTTCACCAAGAAAATAGATGTTTTTCAAATTTTCCTACAAATATGAAAGTTATTCACTTTTGAATGAAACATCAAACAAAACAATCCACCAACATTTAGTTATTGAATTGTTCCTTAACAAAAGTTACTGGCTACCAGACAATAATTGGGCTCTCGCAGGGCGGGTTCATTTGTGCGCAAAATGATATTCCTTTTTCAGAGGGTCTGTACCGCGGAAGACGCTCAAAATCGTAGTCGAGTAGTTTTTTAGATAAACCAAAACATACAAATTGAGCCTTTGTTAGGAGAAAAAAAAATCAAATTTTTGAAGAGCAATGGGGTATCACCTTCAATAATCAGGTTTAACTCGAGATAAAAACCAAAGTGCACCAAAAATAAAAACTAAAAGAAAGCTGGCTCCGTTATCCTGACTTTTTATTATTTTGTCAACGTTCCTGCCTTGTGTACATTAAATAGTGAAAAATCTTACAAAAGTTTAAAATGCAGTCCTCAGCTAGAAAGAAAATTTCCAAAGGCTACATGAGCTTTTTGTTTTATAATTCGAATTATTACTGAAATAATTTAGCCCTAATTCCATTATTTTGCAAGTAATAGTTGAATTTAAAAAAAGAAAGAAATTGCAGAACAGCTAAACAAGTTATATGTACAAAATCAACTATACAAATGCATTTTAAAACAATCAAAGCATAATTTAATGTGTGATATTTTTGAGATTTTCTTTCTACAGATGCATTCATTAACTTGAGGTATAAGTTTCTTTGTTTTTCCTGCTCAAAGAACAAAAGAAATGTCAGCAGTCCATCTTGAGAAAATTCAACGTCTGTTTGCTAATAGGCGAAAAAAGAAATTCACATTTTTCTCTAAAGGAAACCCACAAAATGTTTTTATATGCAACCGAGATCTGTGCAAGCACATACATGCATAACCTTTATTTCAATAATGCTTCTCTATTTTGTCCGACAGTGAAACTAAAATAAGTTATTTCATCAACTTATATTTTCTAATATCACCTAATAATTTTCATTTCAATTTGTTTGCATGTACATTTCTCTGAGAATGAATTTATTCACGAGTCACTCCTCAAAGGTACTTGGACTTTTTGAGTTTATTGTGCAGTGGCTGTGGTCGTCGTTGTTGGCTGTTGTAGAAACACTTGCTGGGTCCCTGATTGTGTCTGGATCTGGTAGATTGGCGGCTGTCCAATGAGAAAAAGGGAAGAAAAAATAATTAATTTATACTCAATAAATGAAACGATTAACAATAATGCATATTTATAAAGCGCACGTATCCACCAAATGTAATCTTAGCTCCCTTGGGAGTATACAGCAAGATGCTGAAGCAAACCATCTAAAATCAACCACAATAACCATTGCTGCCCTCACGGGTACCCATTTACTCCTGGGTGGGGAGAAGCAATGAGTGACCCCAAGCGCCTTGCCCAAGGGAACGCGCACCATAACCCCAGGCTGGACTCTAACCCACAACCTGCAGCATTACCGGCAGACCACGAATCAATGCTCCAGACCACGAGGCCACTGCACTTCACATTAAAATCGAGGGACCTGATCGGAGCACCTGATTTTCCAATAACTGAAAAGTGCATTCATGGAATGCAAAATGAGTGTATAGGGAAAATATGAAAAAAGACTAATAGTTGGGAGAAGAATTTTTAATACGGTGACTGTATTTGTATCCTGTGAATGAGGGTGTACGGGGGTTGTATAGTTACCTGAGAGTTAGCGATTTGGGTGACAAATTCTTGTCCCGTCTGCTGTATACCCTGCTGCTGTTGCTGGCCCTGTGCTTGCCTTACATACTGTATTTGTTGGCCAACAGGTAACTGGACCTTGAGAAACGAAGTGAAAATGCGAATGCTTAGATTGCAGAAGTTTATATATGTACGATTGTACAGAATGGAGATGGGAAACTGATCCAATGGGATTTGGAGCAACATCCCGACCGGAAAGAAAAACAACTCATCCTAGCCCTAAACTTGCATCGGGTGCACTCGAGTAGCTCACCCGGATTGACTCGGGTAAAAGGCAGCCGGGCTGATCGAGTGCAAACACGGGCCATCATGATCCTCACATGACATCCGTAGCTGTGTCTGTAGCCATTGACAAAATGCCCTTTTCGGACTGACTCTTACCTTTCCTTCCTCCATGGCCTTACTTTGAGATTTACTGCTTTTCCTTCAATCACAAAAAGTAACATAGTCGGGCTGGAATTAGCGGCCACTAAAAGTCGCAATGAGCAAATCGAATGGAACAGGGCTAACCCGAGTCATTCCGGATGAGCTAACGAACGCACCCATAGTTATGTATCCAGCATAAGCCAGGAACCAGTTGCAAATGTGACCCGCTCCGCAAAAATGAGTCTGTTGTGGCAAAACTGACATTTTGAGTTAACTACATAAATAAAATGGGAATGAAATAAGCTTTCATTTGGTATATCACGGACCTCTCTAGGACATTTGGTTGCATTGTTGTGCTTGTTTCATTCTGTCAAGTTTTTGCAAAGCTAGAAGTGTCTCAATGGAGAAAAAAGGCTTTGAAAAATGACAAATACACTGTAACTAACCAAGAAAAGCACCAAAGATTCATATTTTCTTTCTTTTTCTTACAATATTTACATTTCTGTGTAAGATATTGGAACTAAAACTATCAAACAACCAAAATAAAACAAAAACAAAAAATCGAAATTTTGAGCAAATTTTTACTGTTTCCATTTCAAAATGGCAAAAGCTTGAATTCAAATTATGCGACATCAGACTCATTTTTGCAGAGCGGGTCACAAATAGTAAAGTCTGCATCATATTCTGGCTGGTACAGTGTCTGTGCAAACTTCTATGCTCAGTAAATGTGTGTACTTAATAGATCCATGTAATTTGTTGGCATGCCTTGCGATTAAGTTAATATAGTACACACAGTCGGGTTCAGACGTCGAGAATTAGTGTTTTCATCTTCCCTCCATTCCCCCCCCCCCCACTCCTCCTTCTTACCTGTTGGATCTCTCCCGTGTTGGTAATGATATGCTGGATGTTACCAGCAGCCTGTCCCGTTTGCTGTAGTTGTATGGGCGTCCCCTGCGCTGAGAGGAGCTGAGCTGTAGACACCTGAGGGTCAGTGCCTGCCACCTGCACTGTCTGCAACTGTGTGAATTATGAGGAAACAAGGCAAGACTAGTCACGCTGGTCCAAGAGCCCACAACATTTTATTTAATTGATTCAGAAGAGCTATTCACGGGAAGCTTCGTCATGCATCTGGTTCAAACAAATTGTGCGCATTCATTGGCGATACAGGGGTAATCCTATACAGTAGAACTGCCCGACTTTCGTGTGAAAACTGTTGTCTCTCTGTAACAGAATCATACTGTACAGTATGGTAAAGAAGCATTGACGTGACCTATTGGTGAGCCTACACATTATAGACTGTAAGTAATAGACTGCAAACCACATGCACAGTCGCACTGTAGGTTGACGTTGGTCGTACCGGGGACAGTCACTCTGCAATAATATTGCACCACATGAATTTTTGCAGTGTTTCGGTTTATTTTGGTTTATTTTGGGTTTTCACAAAATGGCTTAACTGACCCGACCCGACCCGAAAATCGCAAATGCAAAAACGACACGGACCCGACTGAAAAGATGTAAAAAAACAAAAACCCTGAGGTCGGTTTCTGGTAAGGTTGATTTCGGGTAGGGTTTGCACAACATTATTCCCGGCTGACTTTTGGTAAGGCCATAAATTTATTAAAGCCGCATCCGACTAACTTGGCTACGGCTTAAAAGTACACACGGGTCTATGGGAAGTGGCTGCAGCCATCGACTGGACCAAGGTCTCCGTACCTGTTGAGGCTGTGTGGTAGCAATGAGCGTGCCAAGATTCTGGGGTATAACTGTAGCAGCGCTGGCGGTGACTCCTGCGGTGGACGTCGGAGTGGATTGGTTCTGAGCTAGCTGGAAATAGTACTGGACCTGCTCTGGCATCATGGCTGCTTGCTGGACTTGACCATCCTAGAATTATCGGAGGGAAATTATAACTGATTATTTCCCTCAAACTATTTGAAATCTTGTCCAACAATTTGTGTAAGAAGCGCCTCGCTTAACAATTCTAACTGATTTCTTCCAGGGATGAAAAGTCTGAAAATTGATAAAATGTCTGAAGATACATATCTTTCTATACTGATAATGTCTTTCTCTCAGATTCAAAAGTCTGATTTTAGACAAAAGTCTTGCTCTTCTTGCTAACGTCAACTGACCACTACTAAACAGAATGTGACATTTAAGGTAGGCCTAATTTAAGGGTTATTTTGATGATAAATTTCAAAAGTTTGAATTCAGGCACACATGATAAAATTCTCAAAGTTTTAACTCCACTAAATGTCTTGAACGATTTTTTAAAGTAAGATTTTGTTGGAATGGCTTACCGTTCTCTTGGTTGTTTTTAACTCGTCTCTTGGCACAATGTCGATGAGAAAATCAAACTGGTCGTACTTGGTGATCGCCATGGCAATATCGTTCCTCTATATGAATAAAAAGGTGACATCAAAAAACCGAACGAATTACACAAATGCAGAATACCCACTAGGGATACAAATATGGACTAAACTCTTTGAATGATTAACCTCTACTGCACCAAATTTCTATTATATTTGATTTAAAAAAAAACAGAAACGAACTTTTAAGGTTTAAATTATCTTTTTCTTTTTTTATGTCTAGGTATAGATGTTTACATTCATAACTGTTTACATGTATTTGTTGTTTGTGTTTTTAAGTCTTTTTTGACATCTGAAATAACTTTTTTTTCTATCTAACAATTACAGTATTTTTTCCTGAGAAACTACAACTTAAGTCAAGTCTTTGATATGTTCTTTCGAAAAAAAAAGATTTAGAGTCGATTAAACTCACTTTAAATGGAGAAATAATTTACCTGTAATGTTCGTCTTTTGTTGTCTTCTGTGTGCAGCCACGCTCTGAGGGAGAGCTCTGCAATAAACATCTCAGCTGCCTTGGAAAACAGAACTGGGGCTTCGGCACTTATCATCTGAAAAATAAACAAAAAATGATTGATATAAATATTACTTGAGCTATAATCTCGGAATTTTATCTTCGCCAAATAAGCCACAAATAAATTTTATTTTATGCAGATGGAGAATTTCAGTTATTGCCTACGTGTCACTTGAAGCATTTCACTTTCTTAATTACATTAGTGCCCTTTTTTACAGGGAAAAAACTTTAAAATTTGCCTTTATCTTTCAAATTTCCTTAAGTTTTCCACAATGTTCTCTTAGTGTTTGTTCTGATATTTAAACAACATGTAATGTTTATTCTTGCATTGTGTGAATTTTTGCCAGAAACATTAGATTCCTACAAATATCATCGACCTTTTCTAAACTGGGGAAAATTAATCACAAATTTTTTTTTTACCTTAACCTCCTCGTCAAGTTTCATAATCTTCTTGATTCTTGCAAGGGGCAATTCCTGCGTCTTAAAATCACTCTGAAAGAAAGAAATGAATGAATAAATAAATAAATAAATAAATGAGGTCATCCATTGTTTGATATTTAATAACTAATAAAGTTAAAATGGAGTTGTATTTGGATCATGCTCACATATTTCATATTGTTGATGTTATCTGTCTGCGAAATCCAGAAATTCTCATGAGACTGTAGGGCCGACGAAGGTTCTTCGGACGTTGTAGCTTCATCCATTCTGTGGAAACAATATACGGGAAGACAATTTTAGTGACACTTTGGCCCTGTGAGTAACATCATTCTTACAGGTTTGCAATTCATGCATTCAAAAATTTCAGAAGCCTCCGCAGAATTTATAATTTATATAAATTAATTTTTTTCAATGTAATCTTTGTTACAAAAATATTAAAATAAATAAAATTCCTTAAAATAGGTAGAAGAAGCTTAGGACATAAACAACTAACATAGTACATTTGTATAGTAAATGTGCTTCAATCTTTCATCTTCCAAAGAAATTTCAATTCCTTTTGCTTTCCTCTTATGCATTAAAAAGAAAAACCTAAAAAAAAAAACCAAACAAACAAAATGCAGATTGAGTAACCACATTTATCCCGTGATTTTTATTAAAAATCTGATTAAATGAAACGCAGAATGTTAAAATGATAAAAACAAATTCTGGTACTACGGCCTAAGTGACAAAAGTGTAGGCAAGTGGTGAAAATTCTGAACGAGACAACAAATTTGTTTTAAAGATCCACACAAATTTCACCCCAAATTCCAAATTATGGCAAGAACATTACTTCATAACATTATGCTCTTTGCGTAGTATTCCTCGAGTCTTTTTTGCAGGACTTCTGGCACAATTAACCCAATAAATCAAAGACACCCCTTGATTAGCCGAAAGTGCTACCGTCCCAAATTACTGCGCCCAATCCGATCCAAGAATTGGGACAATGTTAGCTGGTTGACGGACGAGGAGTAGCATTGTCAACCACAGGGCATAGCGCATACAGGGGACCAGCGAGATTTCACAGACGACAGGTTGACCAATCGACACAATGAAAAATGGCGACGTCCAATCACGCAGCAATAGCCGAAGCAGTCGGCAGCCAATGACAAACTCCCCGCGAACTCTGGCTCAGAAATCGCCCGAATTCGAGCCCCTTCGTGTCTCAAAATGAGCCCACGATAGCACCAATCAACGATACATTAAACAGCATGACATTAACAGTTACGACATTTCAGAAAACGTAGAATTTTCCTACCTGATTGGGCAGTTTTATCGTCGCGAAAAAGCGGTGTTGCTCGGTTCTGAAAATATGCGACTAGACTATGCGCGCTGCTAGCTGCAATTAATTGCACAATGGCTCTTTCCATTGTACTTTAGGGGTGAGAACTCCAAGTTGAGGTAAAAATCAAATAGAATTTGTTTTCAAAATGCATGACTGTAAGTGTAAGCTTATTTGCATTAAATTGAACATACAAAAAAGAAACCTGGAGTACGATTGATCAGGACTCCCAGTTGGCGAAAAAAAAAATCATCTCACATCTATTGCACACCCCTTCAAAATATAGTGGTACATGCTGATCTGCTCGTTAAAAAAATTTACATAATATATGTGCATGTACATTATTTTGTACTTCAAAATTTGACTGGATTTACTCCGCCCCCCCCCCCCAAAAAAGGCTGTAATAATATGAGGCAATTATCTTATAATTGAAAATATCTCAATTATAGTAAATGCAGTTCTGTTTTGGTTTTTATTAGATATACTTGGCAATGATAATGGATTATTCGTATTGTCAGTTATCAAATTAAAAAGAATCCATTCACAAAACTTTTTTACTTTTAGTGTATGATATCAATTTTATTTGTCTCTCATTCCCACAATACCACATAATAGCAGTTACTTATGAACTTAACGGAAAGCAGAAAAGCGTTAGCATTAAGTACGCACACAGTTACCTTTTTTTTTTTCTAATCTAGGGATAGTTAAGAGTAACAATTTCAAAATCTCCCTTCTCCTCAGAAATCAACCAATTTGATATAATTATAATCTATGTACACTGTGTGCTATTCCAATAAGACCCACTGATCTGAGGTTTACATGTATTAATTGAGATTATCAAAATTGTTTCCCTCAAATATCAAACTTACTTCTCAATGAGATGCATAAATGAAATCCACACAAAAAACTGCGTAGTTTCCAGTGGTGTTGTGGCAAACTTCTGGACCGATATTACTTGCAAAACTCATCCAATTTTTGTCCAACTCTCAAACTTTTGTATCATGCAAAATGAATTCCCCTCGCTACTTGCACCTGTCCATATCCCCCAATTAACTTCATTAACAAAGATATTATCTTCAAAGTAATCTTTTACAATTAACAATTAACTAGTGCCTTCCGATTCTATTTTACAAAATCACACCAAGGGCGGATCCAGAACACAATTTTTTGGGGGGCCAAAATTTTTTTTGGGTCCCCCCAAAAAGTGGGTCTAAAAAATTACGGCGTGGGGTTCGGGGCCCGCTTAAGGGCCCCGAAAATTTCTGACCAATTTAACCAATTTTTTTTGAGGAAAAGATGGTAGTGTACTCATTGCCTGCCTTTATTGCGATGTCACATTAAAAATGGGCCCGCTTAAGGGCCCCGAAAATTTTTGGATTCTAGATGCTCTGTGGTGCGATCTGAGGCAATTTCTGACCACTTTAACCAATTTTTTTTGAGGAAAAGATGGTAGTGTACTCATTGCCTGCCTTTATTGCGATGTCACATTAAAAAAAAAAAAAAATTGGTTTCGTTTTTTTTGGGGGGGGGGGGGGCCGGGGGCCATGGCCCCCTTTGGCCCCCCCCCCCGGATCCGCCCTTGAATCACACCCACCAACCCATATCATGGCATATCAACAATATTCATTTTCAAGAATTGATCGAGAGGAATGGTCCCATAGTTATCTTCAAGCTACTAGCGAATTGTAGGCTTGTGACTTGCAATGTGAAGAACCTGCTATAGTAAAGGACAGTGTATTTACCAATTAACTGCAGTACACATCGGCTAAATTAAACCAGCTGTTGATAATCATGTACATGTGCACCTGTAGCATGCAGGTGTTTAAATAGCTGGTTTCTACAACAGCAAATCTGCTCTGATTGAATACTGTTTTTAAGTGTGCATGAACACCTAGGCAACATGCCTCCACTTTATACAAAAATGAATGGTTATATTCTTTCAAATTAGGTTTTGCCCTTCACCGACGTTTAACATCACCTATATCTCTACACGGCAATTTTAGTCGCTTCTATTTTTTTTTAAAACGTCGGTGAAGGGCAAAACCTAATTTGAATAATATCACCCCGGCGCCAAAAAAATTTTTTATCTTATAATAGGTTATATTCTTTTTACGCACTTTCTGCATTAAACTGTGCTGCTCCAACTCCCTGCACTTATTTATGGTTTATGCTGCGTTCACACTGTAGTCAATGGGATATTTACAATTTTTTTTAATATGTCAAATACAGGTAATGGATACTCACACACAACCCAACCCCCAAATGCAGATGCAAAAACAGACACAAATGTGCCGGGAGTGTTGACAGTTTAACATCACCTATATCTCTACATGGAAATTTTAGTCGCTTCTATTTTTTTTTCAATGAATTACTACATGTACTTATATCAATCACCAAAATTTAATAATTTCACAACTGTGATTACAGAAACAACACGACACCCAAATCAGCAGTCAAAATCTGAATTTTGTTGAAAAAAAAAAAAAAAGCTGTTACATTTGTATTTGCCGTTGAAGTCGACTAGTTCACAAGCGAGAAATTGTTCTCTACAATGAATATTAGAAGTGGACTCTCCACATATTCTGACAAACAATTTCGGACAAACGGAGAACAGCAAAAACAGTTCCACAGACCACATCAATAGCTTGTGCAAACAAAATAATGACCTGAAGACTATTCCGCTATGGTATCGACCGATATATAGTTTCTTATAACAAATATCATTCTGTATTTTCTCTGCCGTCAGCTGAAGTTGTCCAGATTAAATAGATGCTGCCATGCAGGGGAACTCGTTAAGAAGCCTAGGTTATTATAATTAATGAAAAAAAAAAAGTTTAAGGCTTTTGTTTCCATAGCAACTTCTTCAAAGTAAAGGCAAGAATTCCACACAGAGAAAACGGGGAAAACACGCGATGGAGATAAATTATGCAGATGTACCAGAAAAAAGTAATTTCTAGTTTAACGTATCAGTTTATGGTGAGACCGTCACAAAGTGGTTAACTTACAGCTTGAAAATTAACAAATTTAGACAAGTAAACAGTGCCTGTAGCTTTTTCACACTTTAAAATGGCAAAAGAATTAGACTTAGTATTTGGGTCGATTAAAATCTTCATAAAAAAGATTTTTTCACTCCCAGTATGTAACATAGCCTTCCCTTCTTTACCATTTTTTTCTTTTTTTCTTGCAATATTCAATATTCAGTTTTTCTTTCGTTTTCAATGTTATCTTGTGGTTTTTTTTCTTTCACCTTGCATCATATACATATCACTGTATTATACTTATATTATCCAACTTTGTATTGGTTCATTGGAGAGTTCTAAATAAATGTCAACTGAATTGAACTGAACTGAAATATGTTGAGACTGAAGTTGCTTAGCGTACACTTTCTTCAATACATTTGCAGTCGAGGAAATCTTTGTGGAATAAATGCCTTTACATTTGATGTGAACGAGAATCTACTCCTCGTATGGCGGAGGTTTCTCCGAGGGAGTCTTGATGGCATCATCATAATTTGGCAGCTTGGGCAGCAGGGCCTGCAAGGGAAAAAGGAGATAACATTTGAAATTTTATAAATAATATGTATTCATTACTAGGAACCTTCCTCACGCTTGCAAAATCTAACACTATATGGTAAACTCAACACCCACACTGTTGGATTCTGATTATGGTGGTATGCCTGACCCCATGTAAAGCATAATCAGTTTACTAGTGCAGTACTCACTCCAACAGAATCAAGCAAAACACGCAGTTGGATTTTGAAGGGTTTGGGGTGGTTGGTGTTAAGAACTAGTCTCAGTACCACCCCTTACCCATAGATCCCAGCACCCTAGCCAATTGGAGTCGACTTTACTTTTACTTTTATCTATTTTAAATGTAGGTCTTGTTTTTGTAATTTTAAGTTTCATTGCTATGACAGTGTTTTCTAAAATATCTAGTGTTTCTTACATTTAAGATTAATGTTTAATTCGAATTTGTATTTTTAATATCTTAGCTAAACAATTTTTGTAATGCGCATTTGAACATTTCATGGTATATGCGCATAATAAATGCAATTTTATTATTTATTATTATTATTACTAAATCGACTCCGATCAAGTTGGTAATTTTTGTGACTGCGTGGAAGGTTTTACCTCAGCATCCATGGCATAGTTATTGGAGCTCACGTTGTCCCCGATCTCACGTGCTGCAATGTACTTGTAGCAGGACCACACACAGGCAATGCAGTAGGCCTAAGAAATACGCAGTTCACAATAAAAATTTATTGGAAAAAGCAGCGTTTACATCAATCATCTAGTCAATTTCAACAGTGATCTACAATCACAAGAAAATCTTCACATAAAACCTAACCAAACGAAATACGACATCAGTCAGAAGAGCGTTTCTGGGCTCCATGTGTGAACAGGCGCTTTTTTTGGACAACTTTTGAGAACCCTGTGGATTGGACACAATGCGCACATGTACTGGTTCGCATGTGTATAGCACAAAGTATGCACAACTAATTTCATTCAGGAGGAGCACAAAGCCATAGCATCTTTGCGGAGCACCAGCTGTCGTTGGCTATGCGTTTGAATGTCACAGTAGTCTCCCCCAAATCACCCTATCTTACTATAGAGGGGTTACTTGTGTAGCCCTAACTCCCTAGCGTCTATTACTATGAGCTGGACCAAGTCCATCAAAATCCATCAATCACTGTGCATCCAATACAAAACTGTACACGACATAATGGAATCCACCACTGACGCACTGGTTGACATTCATGGACTTGCTACACATGGCTTTTATCACAATAGCAGTACAGGAACCTAGGCAAAATCAATCGCATACCCCTAGCACTGCTTCAGGCCATTAGGCCCAAGTCCATCATACTCCATTTAGTCACGCAAGGCCTTCTGGACCAAGTCCGCCAAAATCCACCAAAAAAAGGGGGCGGGGGAATGGATTTTGATGGAGTTGGGGTGGTTAGGGTTAAATAGGTAGTACGGATACTGCATAGCAGTCTCAGGATCCAAACTAGAGACACTTGAGACATGGGGGGGGGGGGGGTGGGAGTCTTCTTACCTTGACCATCATGATGAACAGGAAGAGCACCAGGGCAATCAGCATAAACCACTGGTTGTCAATATCAAACTTATTGACGGGGAAACGCTCCTTCCAGTGCATGAACTCCTGGTTGTAGGGAAACTTGCCCTGAAACGTACAAAAGCAAACGTCCTTCACTTGACCTCAACAAAAATCTCCAATGCCTTTTAATAAACCACGTGCGTAGAGCGCCCTCACTGGGAACAGGTCTTTGCACGTCGGCGATACGCACGAGTTAACACCTAGTACTTTCATTGTCACTGAATGGAAATAACAAAACCTGTCAGAATCTTCAGAGAGGAGGCTCTATGCAACAGGTCTATATAATAGTTTCTATTTTCCTTATAGACATTTTGCTATTTATCTGTTCAACAGCCCTTCGGGCATGTGGTATTTTGGCATGTGAAGAATCAGTTTGATCATACATGTTGATTGCTGTTTCGTCATACGCCCAGCCACCAGGCAAGTTTAGAAACAAGGTTATCAACCCGCAGCAGCTTGTGAAACCCATGTAGCCTTGACTTTTGCTTCTCAGTATGTTTCATCTTTTTGTTGGTTTCTCTGTTTTTTTTGCTCGGGAGTTATAAAATTGTATCTTACAGTGTCCTCGTAGTCGTAATCTGGATAGTAGGACATCAGGCCGATTGCAGTCAGGCATGTGATGAAGAAATCGAACAACTGCAGGCAGAAAAACGGCAGCAGGTAGCTGGACTGGTACTGTGGGCAAAAACAGCAGAAAAATGTAGTTTTAAAGAGACAGAATTTCATATTTTCCTATAAAATGGGGCAAATTGCTGAACATGATCACTTTACTGGCTGATCTTTGTTATGAACAAAGCGTTAGATTTAAAACAATGTCACCATCACAAGATAATTGGTCAATGTTAAAAAAAATTTGGAATGAACTAAAACCTCTACAATGCCCTTTCAGTTTCAGCAACTGAATAATAACTCTCCAGAAACAGGGAGTTATTCAAAGGGTTATTCAAGCTGGGAAATAAAGAGTTCATTACTTGTCAACAGTCACAAAAGGTTCAACTGAAGAGCAGTGGAGCATGGTGGAAGGTCAAACTAATCACCTTGAGTTGTTGACAAAAAGCCTGTGATGAATTTCGTCAACTTTCTCCGAGAGAGTGAGGCGGAGAATGACAGGGTTTGGAAGGACACAAGATTTAGGACTGATGTAAAAAATAAATCATGGAGACCAAACAAAAGCTACTTGCACCACACAGATTATCTTTGTTGTTAAGTTTCACAATCTTGTGAGATAGGGCAAGGATGGGGTACAATCCTCATTTTGATGGAGCCTACCTGTGCCACTCCCTTGATCATCATACTGGTGATGAGGAAATAGCAGAACACGATGACCAGTCCAACACAGTAGTCCGCTGTTGGTGTCAAAGCAAAAATTGAAAATTTTCTATCAAAACTCTTTTCATATGCATAAAATTTACATGTATCGTATCCATCAGCTTCCCACAATATTTTGTGAGATTAGTTTTCACGAGTGATCTTGGATGAGGGTCATTGGTATGAGCAAAACATAACCCTACACGTGCCTGTAGGCTAAATACCATTCTGGACACACAATCACTATACACTGGAGGCCCCCCCATTAAAGGGAAGATACAACATTTGCAAACATCACAAAACGAAATGATCAAATTATCACAAAATACCTCACTGGATTGTTGGGGAATGACGGTCTAAAGCATCCTGCAAAATCAAAGCTCCTGGTGTGCTGACATTTTCAAGAAAAATTGTATTTTTCCAGCCGACCAGAAAACTGTTTTTTTTTCTTCAAAAACTGCTTGCAAACTCTTTGCTGCAAAAACTGCAAGAAGTCTTTGCAATTGATTACACACCTGTGAAGGGGTCGAGCCTGCTAGACTGATTCTTTGACCTTACAATTCCCCAAAGTTTAAAAAAAATAAAAGCGCCCGCGCCCCTCATGTTTTTCAAAGAGACGGGATGAGCTACTCAATTTGGAAAGAATGTTGCAACCGGACGCCAGTTTTTTCTTCAAACATCATCTCAATGAAGGTCAGTCTTGACAAAAATGATAAGACATGAATCTGGGACTGAGAAACATTTCCAATTTTCTTAAGAAGTACTCAGAAAACTTTCTTGACTCTCCCTAGAATTTCTACACAACCGCTGAAGTGGCGTCAGGTTGCAACATTCTTCCCCTTCCCCTTACATGCATCGTGTTGGTTCTCAATGGAAAAGATGGAACCACCATCTTTATCAGTGTTGCCCTCATCACTGCCCTTGATGATCATGGAGGCAATCAATAGCATGGCACATACCTGCCCAACCTGGTGAAAAGAAAATATATTTTTTTAATTTTAGACTGTTGAACGTGTACAAAATCTTTTGTTAGTTTAGAAAGAACTTGAACTTAAATGTTTTCTGATAAACTTGCATTTTTCAGTAGGGTTATTATAAAAATCTTGACATTCTTTCTCATCATAGGCTAGAAAAGTAGAAATGCAAAACAATAGTAAAGTAATGAATGTTGACACACGAACCATCATCAACGACCCTTTCTTCCCTGCATGTATGATACACAGGCAGACACTGTCAAAAACTGCCAGATTGTCCATGGTCAGACACTAAATCATGTACACTCAAAAATCTGAGATCAACTTGTCAACCATGGACAGGGTTAAGCGCAATTTGATTTTGAATTTGAGGCACAATTGCAGAATACCCCGCCACTCGATCTATGCACCTCGTAGCCGGCTACGGAGTCACGGTTGATTGCCCTCAATAAACCTTCTCAGCACTAGGCCTACACACTCCACGTCATGCTCCACTGCACTCACACTCCGTATCCGCGTAGCCGACAACCGGGTAGTTGGTTTGGACTTCAAATTTTTTCAGCAACTCTCATTCATTTTGTGTTGCTTCGTTCTCAAGGGGACCCCCACTCAGTATCCGCATAACTGGCAATGAACTTGAATTGTTTCTTTTCCAGTGATTCCAACCGCGTAGCCAGAGATTTTAGGGGTGTATATCCGAGTGGCGGGGTATTCTGCAATAATACTAGGCCTACTCCAAATTTGAAGCTGAGAGTCATGGCTCATGTTGCTTGTTGTGCCAGCTTCAAAGTTCAAATTCAACTTCACTGTTCAACTTCAACTTCAAGTTCAAGTCTAACGTAAAGTTCAAGTTCAACTGAGGCTAGTTCATCATGATGCGTGGATTAGTCGAAATAAATAGTTGACAAAGTGTTAGTATAATGACGGTTAAAAAGTGACATATATAAAAAGCCTCTATTCTTACAGTAATAAACCATTTTCAAGGAAAATTTGTTGGTTGAGTTCTCTCCCCAATATCCCAATGACCTTACCATGTGCCATAACGCAATCAAAATGGAGCCCGTCCGAACGTGAAGACAGAAACAACACGAAGGGTGTGATTGTGAGTCTCGCCCCATTTTACCCGTTTTCGTGGGGCAAATCCCGCTTCTAGAAAGTCAAATATGCGACCCAGGACACAGTGTCAGTGTCAATGTTACTATGTATCGGACACCGACCAAAAAGTGGCCGATTTTAGGGGTTGAAAACAGTTGGTTGTTCCGTCCGAAAATTCCCAATTCAGCAAAACAGAAACTGATATGTTGACGTAATGTTCCTTCGTTGAGAAAATGTATATTCATCCGCTGGGGCGAAGTAAATTAACATGTTTGAAACAAAGTATGGTTAAAAAAAAGAATAAACGAAATCATAACCTATATGTATTTTTGGTTTATTTCAGTGTAACTCCCAATTCCTATATTTTGGAGAAATAAGTTAATATTTAAGAACTACTTTTTGGATCACGTGATGACTCGCGTAGGTCGCCGGCGCGCCATATTGGGCCAATGTTTTTGTAATTGTTGACAAAAAGATTCCATACTCTTCTTGAGGGCGCTACTCCAACTTCACAGAGAGTTGCAAAGCAAAAACATGTTGATTCAAGTTTTATGGGCTCAATAAACTTCAGAGAACTCTCCTTGAATTGATATCCATGCAGATATGTATGTGCCGGGCAGCTTGATGTAAACGAGTTCATGTCGCTTTTGCTGACATTTTGGGGTAAAAACTCTTGCTTAATTGGTTTAGGTTCACCAGAAAATCCCCTACCCAACACAATCGTGCTCCCTTCCCTAACTCTGAAACAAATTAACAAGCACTGGCCTATTTAGAGACAACAAACACCGAACAAGACAAAAGTCAAAGAACAAAGCTGATATTTATTGCAAACTTCGATTGATCTATTTCACCATCCACAAAAACACAGTCGAAGCTTTCTAATTGGGTATTATTAATATATCCTTTGATAAATCTATAATTGCAAATACATGTACATGTACATGAACAAACCACATTACAACAGTAACTATCCAGGTTAGGGATGGGGGGGGGGGGCTAACTCGGTCATTTCTCTGGGGACCCCCCCCCAAAAAGGCCCAATTTCCAAAAAAAAAGGCCCAATTTTTTTCCTTCAGTGAAAAAGGTGAAAATGGGAATGCTATTACTTCCCGCATCGGTTGAGAATTGCTAACGCTTTCATTTAAAAAATCCCCCCCCCCCCCAAAAAGAAATTAAATAAATAACTGGGGGGTGGGTGGGTTATGGAAATCAAGACTAAATCTTGGTTGAGATACATTATACACTGTACATATGTGCCCGACTCAAAAGCCATACCCCACGTTGAAAACAAGTAGGCTGAATGTGGAATGAACATTTGAATGCTCAATCAATGGGCAGCTGGAAACTTTTTGTTCCTCCTTCACAATTCAGACTTTGTAATTATCGGTCAACAATGTCAGCACTGAAATGTCTAGTTTAAGGAATTTGTTACATTTTCTGAGCACCAATGAATAATGCAAAATTGTTAAAACTCTCAAAACTCAATTTTCAATAACTTAATAATTGTATACATAGACGAACATTAACACATTAAATAACAAAAGCATTTATATAAATACATTTATCAATATAAGCAGTGCACAATGTGTCAATTGTGTACACTATAGCAATCAACAAATTTGAGGGAAAAAATACAATCTTCAATTCATTTTTTTCCAGCAATTTTCTCCAAATGTGGATACAGCCCCACAATACATGTTCATGCGTGTACATGCTAAATTAATATACCGCAGAAGTGCTGTGTTGATGATGAATCTTGAACTTTTCAAAATCCTTGGTATAAGCAAAACACATGTTGTAAACACAACAAAACTCCTTGCCAAAAAAAATAAACGGTTCTTGAACAATAACAATGTTTTGATTTCTGACTGCATACAACTTTGCACAGGTCTTTCAAAATTTCCTGATATGCATGTTTGTACAAAACAACACTTGGATGTACATAAACATTTTCAATAAAGCAATTCATTAACTTGAACTAGATATATTGAAGAAATAAAACGTCTTTCAGAGAATACAGACACTTTGGCAAACGCTGACTAGCACTGCATCTTTTAAAACTTTGCAAATTGCCCATTTATAACTTCTCATGACTAATTACACAATTTTTTTTTCACAAACTGGAGAAATATGTATTCCCAAGCAGTTTTGTCCAAGAGAGGGTCTCCAAATTTGGATCTCTGATACTGGGAATGACTCGGAGTCTCAGAGATATGTAGGAATTACCGTTTTTAATTTTTGAGTGATTCAAGTCTCTAAAGTAGCCATGAACTAATCTTTTCAAAATATGACCTTTGTTTTAGCAAGATATGTAGCAAGACATGTGACAGAGGGAACCCCCCCCCCTTTTGTGTTGGTCATTGTGTTACCAGAATCTCAGGAATTCTTTTGAGATATCTGGAGGAGGGGTGCAAGGTAGCAATAGTCTAGGGTATGCTTAGGGTATAGTGGCTTGGGGGGGGGGGATCCCTCTGTCACATATCGTGCTGGGTATATTTAGCAAATGCAAAATACATGTACAACCATTACAGATGGCAAAAGGGTCTATGTAGATGATAAATACTATGTGTACATCATTTCTGCCATATCGGACATCTTCTTAGGAATATGGACCAAATTTTCAAAGTACCCAGCCAAGTCATCGGCCGTTGTGTCATCGAAAGAGATGTCGGGGGTGAAGCGCGCTTGCTGGGAACAAGAGAACTCTGAACGGGGTGGTGAAGACGTCGCGTTATGACTACGAATTGAGACGAGGTTTTGAGTCCAGCCCTGATGTGGCAAATCGGATTTCAAGGCTCCGGATTTCATGACAGGTTTGGCTGAAAGCGCGTGTTTCTGAACGCTGCTGGGCGAACCGAGTTTGATCATCTGCCTCGCGCTGTCCCTGTAAGTGGCAAAAGTGCGGGCGCCGAAGGACTGGTTCCTGCCTTCTAGTTTGGCCTTACGGTGTCGAGTTAACCTCCTCAGTGGCTTTGTGGATGGCTTACACTGCTGGCTGGAGCTGGACGAGGCGCACTTACAGGGGAACAGGACAGAGCTGCCCATTTTGCTGGGCCACTCAAGCGATGATGCAGCGGTGGCAGCAGCAGCAGCAGGAGCATCACCCGTTTCCTCTTCAATCGTCGCCAGTGTCTTGAACGAAGAGAGCGGCTTGAGTTTACTGGTGCTAGCACCAAAGACTTCCTTGTCTTTCCAGTTGCTGCTTTTCTTGGGCAGGTTGGGAGCGGGGAATGCCTCGAAGCACATCAGCGGTTTGGTACAACAGGCCGACGTGTGTTCTTCTTCATGATCTTCCAACTTGTCCTGTGCTGTTTCAGCATTATTCTCGTCGTTTGCCTGGTTTTGGTCAGACTTGTTGGAACAAAAGCAGGTCGCTGTCTTGCACTTTCCCGTCTCAGTAGCACCGTTAGAATCGCTGAAGTTGCTGCCCAGGGTACAACAGCTTGTAGAGTATGGCTCAACTCTGTGCTTGGCACTTCGCTGTGTGGTCTTTCTTAGGCCTGTCTTTCTGGCTTTCGTCTCTCTGTCAACGGGGTACTCTGTGTGGGGCACCAGCAGGCTGACCGAACCAACTGAGGACCTGTGGGGCAAAACTCTGATATATTAGACTCAAAACGTCAGGTACAGTACACCTCAATGCTGACATACCTGCGACTCCACCAAACATCCCTGATTAACCAAACATTTGTTCACTGGGCCCGTAAGCATTGTCTAACCATTCATAATTAATACTCAGTGAAAGAGATTTGTTTAAAGTTAAACCTGGCAGCCCCAATGAATGATTAAAAAACATGCTAAATTTCTGAAGGGGGTTATGTGACTTTGGAATGTTTGGGTTCAGCGTACTGTTAAGGCAAAATTAAAAAAAAACATGTTTAGCGTCCTGCCTCTTTGACAAAAAGGAAGGAGGAGGCCCTTTTTTTTTTTTTTTTTTCAAAATGGCCGCCCGACACATTTTTCAAGACAACGCGGCCGGGCTATTTTTCACGGTCCTACTAAAGCGCGTCAACAAGCGTCAACAAGCGTCAACAAGCGTCAACAAGCGTCAACAAGTTTTAGTAGTCGTAAAGTGCGCGTCAACAAATTTTGTATAGGCTTTTAAACAATAAAAACAGCTTTATATGGTAGAAAAAGCAATAATGAACATCTTCTGCATATCAATTAAAATTAAAATTACTTAAAAAGTGGTTTTCCAGCGCGAAATCTACGACGGGTTTTTCGGTTTAGTATTGCCCGCCATCTTGTTTGAGATCTACATACTACGCATGCGTGGAGTGTACCATTCACGCATAGGGGTTTCTTTATACGTTACGAAATAAGGAAAACTATTTTTTTTTCAATTATAAATGATGCAAAACTTGGTCACGGTACTTAGCTAATTATTTGAAAAATATGCCGACTGACACTGTTCACAATGTCTGCCAAAAAATCCCAATGCAAAAACCAAACGGGGTTTCGCAAAGCGTAACGTATAAAGAAACCCTATGCGTGAATGGTACACTCCACGCATGCGTAGTATGTAGATCTCAAACAAGATGGCGGGCAATACTAAACCGAAAAACCCGTCGTAGATTTCGCGCTGGAAAACCACTTTTTAAGTAATTTTAACTTTAATTGATATGCAGAAGATGTTCATTATTGCTTTTTCTACCATATAAAGCTGTTTTTATTGTTCAAAGGCCTATACAAAATTTGTTGACGCGCACTTAACGACTACTAAAACTTGTTGACGCTTGTTGACGCTTGTTGACGCGCTTTAGTAGGACCCATTTTTCAAGATGGTTACCAGCTTTTTTCAAAATGGCCGCCACTTGGACTCAGGAAATGACATATTGGCTTCTTATGGGCAAGATGCAACAGAAAATGAGACCAAAATGATGTAACTATGCAGAACCGAACATCTCTTCTGCGCAATTGCACCATATTTAAAAAAAAAAATGTTTTTTTTTTACTTCGCCTAATAATAATATGCTGGATAGAATTTTCATTTTGATGGCAGGGGGAAACTGATGGCTCACCATGCTGGATCCACACGTAGCTTCTTGAACATCACCTGCAGTTGATCCTCTTCGACTTCGTTGTCGTCTGCCATTTTCAATTTCTTTTTTTAGGGGGGGGGGGACGGTTGACAACTTTTGCAGACTGCAGTTTCTACAACTACCTTCTTCTCAATTTACGCTTGACCCTACAAAACAAGAAAAACAACAAGCAATTTTAACAACAAATTTATCATAATGTAGAACTAGAAAAGCGCCCTCAAGTCGGCCTTGGAAGTTCTGAATGAATGCGGTAACGTGCACGTACAGCCGTCATGTACGCGAACGGGACGACCGCGAACGCTGTGTGAGTGTGAACATCAGAACAATACAAAATAAAACCATCATGGAAGATTGAAACACTTCAAAATTTAAACAACATGTGCTTATCTTCAAGATTGAAACAATCGCGTAAGTAAATTCACAAACCTACCTTTACTGAATGAAAAATATCTACTCACAAATAGACGATAAACACAACACAAACACGTTGACGTGACGCCATATTTGTTGTAGAAACAACTGCGCAGGCGCACATAATGACGTCTTTTTTGTTGACTCATTTTAGTCTGATAACCTTTTCAGGTTAACGTTGTAACCACCCAGATTACCCCAAGGTTACAGACTAATCAATTATGTTAATTAGGAACATGATGTAATTTGGAAATGATTCATATTTTGGTATTACCATTGATCAAAATGTATGATCTCCATTTAGCATGATTAGTAAGACCTCAGTGCTAAACATATAGATGATAATATGTTTTCGTTATCCTTCATCAATGAGATAATCACGCGCCAGCCTTAAACAATGACGTTAATTATGAAAGATTGATAAATTATTAATGATTTGGTTGCTATAATTGCGTAACACCTTTGTACAATTGCCCTCTTTTGATTACATGCAGCTCAGTGACAGGCAGAAAAAAAACCCAAAATGTATTTTTCAATTCCTTCCTCCATGGTTCAACCAGTGGTCATAAAATCCTTAAGAATATGCCCGATTTATGATTTTTGGAAATATTTATCATGCATGAATGCAGCTCATATCATGCGTACTCAAGAATTTTATTTCCCTAGTATATATACATTTATTCATTTATTTATTTTTGCCTGTCAAAAAGATACACAGAGGGCGTTGCAGATCCGTATTTAGCCTGTGCTCTAAACCTGATCGGGAGAAACATCCAGACTAGTGTTGCCAAATATGGAATTTTGTTTCATCAAAACCCCGTGTACTAGTACTAGTACAGTGACGAACGTCTATTTTTTAATTTTGTGTACCTTGCTATAGACACCCCTATCACAAAAATGAGTCGTTCCCGCGGTCCGGCACGTGATCACAACAAAACCCATCTGCGCCAGAGAGTTTGGCACATATACATGCACACACAAAACCGCGCACGTAACTCCGTGGTTCAACTGAAAGTCTGAATTATCTCTGATTGTTGCATCGTTTTGCCGGATAAATCTCGAAAACTGGGAGCCAGAAATCATGCCTTATTATGGTGGTTACGACGGCGAGTCGCCAGGAAACGAATGGGTGAAAACTGCTTCGGGTTGGAAGAAACTGATCGCCTTGCGGGAAAATTTGCACAGACACATCAAGCGGATCGCCCGCGAAAGGTTAGTGCCTGGACAAAAATTAAAGGGGCAAGGTAGCTTCACCACGGTCATAATAATAAGCTTACTTCACAAATTGAGCCTTGTTCTTCCACCACTTTGCTTCTTTATCTAATGATCGTTATTAATAAAGGGGAGCAAATTTGGAACTTGCATCTGTATGTATTGCGAAAATTAATTTATTGGTTTTTTTTTAATTTAAGTTTTAGGAATATATTATTATTAAAAAATTAGGGGTCCTAAATTTGTTTCTAATTATGATTTATTGTTAGTGTTTACCTTATATATTTTTTTGGTAAATATCAAATTAGTTTTCTAAGCAGAAGTCAATTCCTAGACGTTATTAATTTCTCTTGCATTTTCTTAATTTCTGTTTAATTTCTCTGTTGAAAAAAAATCAAGAGGGAGACGCAGTTTTAAATCAACAAATTCATTTTACTTAGAAAAATGCCAGAACTCGGGCACCAAATTTCACAATGACAAGATCATGTCAGTGTCATATGATATGTGAAATGTTTTTATACAATTTAGAAATAACATCAGGCAGTGTAATAATTGTGACTTTTGAGTTTCCGTCCATCGATTGCACAACACTTTGTTTTCTTATAATAATATTTCTATTTTAGTATGACTAGTTTCTTTTTCAGTGCTGTGAAACTCCGCAGCATGCTTTGCACCTGTTCTTGGCATATGGTTGGTTTATATTTCTGGTTTATAAATTGGCAAAGCAGAATATGAAACTGAAACAGAAATAAACACAAACTTTCAGGGATGCCAACTTTGAGTAAGAGCTGAGAGTGAGAATTTGGTGATGGAGCCTTAATGGCGTTGGGCTTGGGGCCCGCTTCAGGGCCCCCCCCCCCCCACAATTTTTTGGATTCTAGGCGCTCTGTGCTGTGATCTGAGGCAATTTCTGACCACTTTAATCAATTTTTTTTAGCAAAAGATGATCATTTAAACATCATTTTTGAGGTATTTTTTAGCGTGAGAATTCCTGCGAGAGCATGAGAATAACCTGAAATGCGTGAGTCTCACGCTCAATGCATGAGAGTTGGCAGACGCTCAATAAACTTCTAGAGGAAGTTTAAAAGGTTTCTATCTGGGAAAAAATATTTCAAATATCATTTCAGTAATTTTTAACAAATAATCAGATGATAAAAAGTGGAATCTAGTATCTGATTCGTTTTCAAGTCGTTCTGAATTGAAGTTTGGAATCCACTTTGCCTACAGGTCAAAAAAAATCATATCAGAAATGTTTCAAAATGTACATTTTGAGGAGCTTTGGCAGTGCTCCATTTTGTTGAAATCAAGATAAAACATCCACTAAAAACATCCCCTTGAAGTTGTCTTAACCATGACATCACTCCCTAAAATAAAGATCCAGGTCCCACTTATTTGTAGCTCCGCCCTTTTTGACTCTCCATGACCATATTTGGTAATGCCCCATTGCCCCATTGACTACTACCCTCAAGGATAGGACACCTGTTGTGTTGATTCATTGGACTTGTGTACACATTGAGCTGTGGAGCGGAGGCCCATATCACTGTGTACTAGGCCTATAGCTCTGTGGTCACGCAGCAGTCATCAAACTTTTTACTACATCACTTTTCAAGACCCATACAAACATTTCCAAAGTAGTCACATTAATGATAATACCATGGGGGAATAAGGACAATCTGGAGACATATTACAGCATGGAGGAATGGTATTTAATTCCTTCCTCCATGATTACACAGAGATTGTGTCTTTTTGTGCATCAATGTGTGTGCAGGGTTTTAGGCCAGGAGAATTTTTTGGATGCCAAGTACATTTGTTATTTTGGACACCCAATTTTGTCATGAAAATGTAACACATGGAACTTGAGCAACTTGAAAGATTATGTTTGTCAAGCTCAATTCACTAAGGCAAAGTTTGACACTCATTTTTCAAATGCAGGTCATTAAAGCCATGTGTGTTTTAATTGCCACACACTGAACTCTGAAAATATCAATTACTTATTTAACAAGCTATAAAAAAGCTCCATGCTTAAACTAAGATGAGAGGTTGCTTCCCAAATATGGACAAAAAAAGTGGTTGACCAAATATGGAGTGAGTTTTTGCCACAGCTGTATCATGCAAATAATTTATAAGTCCCAACTGAGTCATATTGCTATTAACATATGTATGTGTCCTTGTATTCATACACAATAGTTCTTCACTGATGTCAGTATTAAAGTCCAACAGGCTACACACAGAACATGTACACGCAGTACACAACTGAACAAACAAAACATATGCAAATGCATCATGGCCAGACAACTCATGCAAATTGAGTGTAGCTAGGCTGACCATGTATGGCGATGAGATGGTGGTCAGGGTATTAGGCAGGTGTTTTTGTGATTTCTCTCTGCTATCCATAGGTGGTGGCCTTGTCAACAGAAAATGGGTTTTTAAGAACTATCAAATTTATAGGAATGACTACATTTACCTTATGAAACTCTGATAAAGGATCAGCTGTATAGGGCCTATTATAGAATTATTTGCCCATTTTTTCAGAGTTAATGCTTATTATTACAGCTAGGGTTTAATTGATCAGTTGTTCACTATTTTGAGACTGAGTAAAAGAAAGTCTTTATTGTGTGTGTGTAAAATGAAATTTAAACTGGAAGATGAAGTTTTCGTACACGTACTGAAAAAAGCAATTCCTTTTTGAGGTGTGAACAATTTCGTATTTGGAAACTCTCTATCAAGTTTAAAACTGCACATTGATATCAATATAATAATTTGATATATGGACAAAAAGTCTCTATTTGTAACTTAACTATTTGTATATTTAAACCTATCATGTTTTTTAAAAGATTTTCAAACGAACCTCAAAGGGAAACTTAATAGGTGAAATATAACTTTTATCCCAGCTAGTAAGAGAACTTTTAAAACATCTATTAATTTAAACATCCCTTTTTTCTTCTGCCTATGTATGAGTTTTTGGCTCTTAAGTCAACTACCAGCCTGTCACTTAAGACCTTTTGCCAACAAATTTACAGATGACCTTTTCAGTCCATAGGTATAAACAGATGCCAAGACAATCTTCATTTTCTCAATAAATCTCGTCTTCTGATCCGAACCTTCCAGATTCCAGAATTCCTGCAAGGAGTGGCCGTCGGGCGAGGGGACAAGCTCAGGGACCGGTTCCCATCATCAGGAACCAGCTAGGGATGATGTCACAATCTTGGCACTGAGCCAAGACTGTGATGCAGTCGTTAAACAAGCGGAGGAGGAGATCAGCCAAGAGCTGAGGCAGAAATATGAAGAGTTTGGTGAGCGAAGGGCAGATAGATTCATCATCGCTTCTCAATCTTTAATAGTTCACTTGTAAAGGAAAAAGTATTGTATTATAATTATGTGAATGAATACATGTGTGTACATAAAAAAAGGTAAAAAAAACCCCATGCAGTCCTGTTTTCGCTAATTAGCATACAATTCATCAGCTTTTAGGTTACAGACTACATGTAGTATCTTTATTTCATCAATAAATTAAATCTCATGTTTCCGTCTTGATTTTTTTAAAACAGATAAGCCACAAGCATCCTTTGCGATGATTTCCCGATCCGTTGGGGTAAGACAATGAACTTCAAAATTAAAATATGCATAATATAATTTTTTTTTTTTTTTTTTTTTTTTTAAAGTTTATGGGAAAGTAACAATTCAATAACATTAATGTCCTGGTCAAAATGTGAAACTTTTTTCAAAGCTTCACCCTGTAAAGATTTGATAAATAGAGGATGTTAAAAAAAGTGCAGATAAACGAAGCACCTTGTCTGAAAGCATAGAATCACACGATATTTTGGCTAGTAAGTTGTTGCTTATCAAAATTTTCACAATTTATAAGCAGCATAATTAGTGGAGCTCCGTGGCATCGTGGTCTGGAGCATTGATTTCGTAGTCAGCGGGTAATTCTGTAGGTTGTGGGTTCGAGTCCAGCCTGGGGTTATGGTGCGTGTGCCCTTGGGCAAGGCACTTTGTCACTCATTGCTTCTCTCCACCCAGGGGTAAATGGGTACCTGTGAGGGCAGAGATGGTTACTGTTGTAGATTTAGTGTTTTGCGCCGAAATTAATGGCAGCATCGAGCATACTCCCAAGGGAGCTGACACTGTCTTTGGAATGTTTCATTGGCCTAAAAAAAAAATACGCAGGGCAGCAATGATGTAGCGCCTTGAGCACCAATAATGGTGGATATGTGCGCTTTATAAATACACAAGTGCTGCATGAATAGTCTGTAAAAAAAAAAAGAGGCCACACTCTTGACTTTATCTGCCCATTCCTCATTTCTTTTCACCAGGGCAGAGGCAACTACTTCACCCTCGGTGAGATCATCAGCAAGTTGGACTTTGCCAGCGGCGTGGAAGATCGGAGACGATTCAATTACGTCTGCAGGGTGAGTAAACAGGAAAAATAATTCCCACTGCGTCACTTTCATTTTCAGTTGGTTACGTCAGACGTATTGTGATACGGAAATAACAGTGCTGAACACGGAGCAAACTTTGGTGTGCGTTTGAGGATGTTTACATGATGTCATCCATGTCTTAAGATTACATTTGGCATATAAAATTGTGTTTGTCATGTGAAATGATGTCATCAGTTTTACATATCATAAAAAAAAAATTTGAATGACGTCAACATGTTGAATGACCAGAAACCAAACATGAAAATATTTGACGTAATTCATCTTGGGATGTTCCACATTTGACAGGGGGTTTACGCCGTTTCACTTCTTTATATTTGTTGTTATAAGAATATAACTCTTGCTTAAGGTGTACCAACATACAGAGAAATTCTGTTAGAGAGTGGAGATTGCATACATTGTCTGAGTTTGAAGCTTTTTCCATTAATTCTACTATAAGCTCAATTACATTGAAAATTACAAGCTAACATGTTATAGACTCTTTGCATATGGCGGCCATCTTTGAGACATTTTAATTTTAAATCATGTGGAGTCAAAGCACATACCTCAAACATGATGACCACAATGCAAAAGATATAGCAGAGCTTCAGAAACCAAGATAATATTTTGAAACTATCGTTCTTTTCCATATGTAGATTCTGGAACTGATCGTTACCACAAGATTCACCTCCCTGAGCGGTCTCGCTCAGAAGAACCTCTTCTATGTCATTGAGGAGACACTGCATGTCGGTATGTGTTATGCTGTCTCCAAAAAGTCTTTGCAATAATGGATTTTATTTCAGATGTTTGAAGTCTAGAATACCACAACGGGATTTGAAGACAGCTAGCTACATGTATAGTGCATGTCTGTCAACTTTAAAAAAAAAAAATGATTACTAATACGACTTTTTTTATCTTAACGCAATTATTAATTAACTTCCCGAGGACTCCAATTCAGAAATGAATTTTACTCTTTAAAGTCTTGTTTAAGAAATCACCTTCTTGTTCTTGACAGCAAAAAGATATGAACTTTTTACTGAGTTAGACTTACTTTTTGTTTTTAATTTGGAACATAATAATGCTCATACTGAAACAAGTTTTAACTTTTTTTTCAGAGAAGTATTCAGTAATTTAAATTATATTTTTTAAGTTTTAGGATTTACTTTTTCTCATTGATTTGGGTATAAAATTCTGGTAAAATTCCAGAAATGAATTTCATTTTTATTTTTGTTAATTTCTTTTTATCTTGCAGTCATGAAGAACCAGCACAACACTGGCCAGCTGAGACGCATCCTTTGCGGGGCCATCGTTGCCATGAACAAAAGTCGCTCCAGTCATATCGGTTGCCCGGCAACCTGGAATAACCGAATGGGCTTGCTGCAATGCTGGCTGGAAAAACTCAACAGCATCAAAATCACGGAAGTAAGAATAACGCTCCTCTTTTTGTTGAAATTACAGTTAGTCGTTTTTTCCTTGCAAAAAAATGGGACACTATCTCTTCTTTGAGTGATTCCTGTTTGCTTTTCCCCAGGTTTGCAGAATTGCTAATTTTGCTATCATCGTGACTTTGGGGGTGATCGACCTGCAGTACCTCATGAGAGATAGTACTTCCATGTTTCATTGAACCTGGTTGTATAGTTTATGTTCATCTGAATTTGTCTTATTTCAACAGAGAGAAGAGGATGGAGAGATGATGTTGTTGGATCTCCCGGATGAGGTACTTGGTCGCATCTTGCATCATCTCAACGATGCCAGGGACATCATTAACGTCGACAAGAGCTGTTATCATCTGCACCTGCTGGCTACTCATAACCTGCTCTGGAGAAACCTCTGCCTGTCTCACTTCACAGAGTATCAGGTACGATAACCTGGGGGCGGAGTTTCAAGTTGCTTTTTTGGGGAGGGGTTAAACATTAATTGCTGGTCCCAGAAGGCCAGTCTCATCTTTGTATCTGTGTCACTAACGGACTGATTAACTAGCTGACTGTCAGTCATGAGCCGGGCAGTGCTATTGTATAGGTTAACCCTGTGACGCCATAACGAATGGGCTAAATTTGTGTAGTCTTGTCATTGATAGTTTGTAGATGTGTATCTAAAGCAAACATCACTATAGAAGTCATGTCGCAAAATCTGTATCGAGTAAAGTGAATGTTTATGTTTATCTTTTTAAAATCTGTCGGGTAATTCAGCTCACTTTCCTTACACTTGTCGCTAGATCACCAAACTGTGCCCTGTGGATGACTATGAGACAGACTGGAAAGGAGTCTACAGGAAACTGTACAAGAGGCATCCTGCCAAGGAGGTGTACGCTGACGTGCTGCAGATATGCGGATTCTGTAACTGTCTCTTCTGGATGGTAAGTTATGAACTCTCAGCATGACTTAATTAAAAATCAGCCATATAAATGATGCCCTAAATTGTGGCTAATCGGTCCAGTTGGACTAGGTTAGCCTAGTCGTGCTAATTAACAGCATAGTTCATGCGTTATTGTTGTTGAGAGCTGTGAAACTATTGATGGTCCAGTGGCTACAGTGTTTGACTCCTGTGCCATATGGGGCATTGGTTCAAACCCTGACGGGGAACATGGTGCCTGTGTTCTTGGGCAAGACACTTTACTACAATTGCCTCTCTCCACCCAGGAGTATAAATAGGTACCTGCGAATTAGGTAGGGACAAGATTACGCTGATCTTTAGCTGCAACAGGAAACAATTGTCTCATGGCCTGATGAACAGGGGTAATAATTGTGAAGTGTTTTGAGACCTTTGGTGTTAGCCTAAATAAGCCCAATTTAATTGTTTTTTCCTTCTTTAAGCATGTTTTGGTTTTTTTGTCTTCTTTGATTAGAATGGTGGACACCCATGCACTAAGGAGCTTCTGCCCCCGGACGACACCAGCCTACAGGACAGACCGGAGCTGACTGTCAACATCAACCTCAGCCCACAGCAGTTCCTAGACCTCTTCCCATCTCCTCACTTGATTAAATAAGGAACTGAAGAGGGAGCAAAGATTACTTACATTTGTGTTCTTGCACTATCCAAGTTATCTTTCATATTTAATTTCATAGCTTATTTGTAAAGGTTCAGTATATAATATGGTACCTCAGATGAATTAACTTATTCAATCATGCTGAATGCATCACAAGTAAAGACTAGTTGATTGGGTCTTTATCAGTTCCTGTTTATTAGAGATTCTTAACATCCATCAAAATTTGGGGTAATTCTCTATAATTAGATGTTCATTTAACAGTGTAATTTTTTTTGTAAACCTCCGTGTCTCTCTTTGTTATGTACAAAAAGTGCTTTGTTTATTCGAAAAGAGTATTTATTTTTCAAAAGAAATTTTGTTTATTGACTTGCAATGAACAGTTTAAAGACGTTTCTGATTAGGATGCAGCAGGCTTAAATTAAAAATATTGTTCTTGTAGGGGCATGTTAGTAGCATTTATGAACGGAGTATTTCACTCATAAAAAAATTATGAAATCTTGTGTGTTTTCAAACACATTTTATTTGGATTGTTTCAATTAACTTGTGAATTCAGAAGTAGAAAGCAATTTTCGTGCTGGTGTTTTGTAGATAACTAAATGTGTGTGATATTTTAAATGTACATAGCTTAAACTCAAGGATGCATGAGTTCAACATATTTTTATGCGACTTCAGAGGAGACTATCAAAAGGAAAATGTATCTGTATGAATTGAGACGATATTGTAAACATTTATGATGTGAATTCATGATGAGCTTGTACAGAGTTTGGTAACTTAAAGGTGTTGTGCATTGTAAAAAGAAATATGTGTATAGGCCTATGTATTGATTGGCAAAAGTATTGAGTGGTACACGTGTTCCAAGGTGTGCCTTTAATTCAAAGACAAATTGAATTTGTTTAGTACGGTGACAATGGACCGATCCAGTAAGCACCGCCCCATGGTGTTCTGACCAATCACAGCCGGTGTAGCGTGAATATCCGACTCCATGAAATGTGGACTCATTGGTAGTAGTGCGCACGCGTGAGTACGATACTACGCTATTTTTAGGATCGTTTGGGGAGAGTGACCTGTCACGTGCGAGGGATGAACCAATAAAAGGGAAAAAGGGGTCCGATTTTCATAGGAGTCGGATTTTCATGTGACGCCGTGATTTATGTCCGACATGCGTGCACAAAAGTCCGACATGCGTGCACGCGCGCGCGTATGATGCGCGCGGCAGGAAAATGTGGCATTGGAGAGGAGCACGTGTTAATTTGCCCACGTGCGCAATGGGCGGGGCTTACTGGATAAAATTTAACACCCGATATTAAGACTAGCGTTCCAGACTCGCGCTGAACCAAAATGTAACGGAGAGTTTATAATTATGTACAAAATAAGGATGTATGACAAATAGCGACTGTGTAGAAAGGTCGACAGTTGCAGTGATCGTGCGGAAATATTCCACATCACATCTTTCTTTCAGTCCTTGTGGTTATGGAAACAAATAATATATTAACTTTGCCTGTCTGAGACCAAAGAGTGACTTTCAAATTGTTTTCAACGGGTTCAGCGTCCGAGTCTGAAACGGGTAAGTAATAAGTCTTGTTGGGTTATAATTAGTGTTTCTGATCGATTGTGTGCATTTATAAGCCAAGTGTGCGGTAGGAAGTCAACTTGGTTTTTTCCCAGTGTTTATTTATTGAATCATGAAGTCGGTGATTTTATTTAGAAGGTATATTGAGGACACGCAAAAATTACTTGTTCAGTATTTATACATAAATAACAAAATTAAGCCCCCCAAAAAATATAAATTGTGAAAAGGAATGTTTCAGAGCAACAGCAGATTAACATGAGTTGTCATTCATGCACGATATGCACGTCAATCGTATTGAAATTCAACATGTTTTGTTTCCGTTTCACTTTAGAAATTAAGCCTACGTCATTTTAATGTTATGAAGTTGACAATAAAAACGTTCACATGTTTTTGTACAATGAAATTATTGTTTGTGGCTTTTCGTCCCACGTGGGGGGGGGGGGGGGGGGGTAGCCTAGGAATTGTGCCTGGATCGTGTGGGCTGGATTGGGAAAGTGAATTAGCAACGCGATAACGGGCATCCAAGCCAACTATCAACAGTGTTCCCATGACTTGTTTTGCCTTTTGAATTTAGCGAGACATTTGATGGAAATCGGGCATCACGTATGCTGCGGGCGAGTATTACTATACTACTCACTGAAACTTCACGAAAAAAAACCCCACTGAAATCAAGGCGACGAAGACTGGTCACCGCATGATATGCAGAGCCCCCTCATACGGCGAGTCTATGCCATGTTAAATTTGTGTACATAGCGCCCTCTTTCAACTTTGTGAACAAGATCGGTTGTGCCATTGTAAGTGTGCTCAGAGAAATCGTCCAAAATCGGCCCTTTCCAGGATTCATCCTCGTATAATAATCAACTTCATGATGAAATATATAATAAAGATCATATTTGTATGTTTATTTTTTCAGCGAGGACGTCCGCTGAAACCATGTCTGACGCGGAAGGGTGAGTGGTTTCGTGTGTAATGGTTGTTGAATGTAATCATGTACGCCCTCTATGACAACTGCTTTTGGGCGCCATGTGTTCGATCGTATATGCATAGGGACGAATTGGGGGGATGGGGGGGGGGGCTTGAAAGTCTAGTACTGAGTCAATCATGAGAGTGAGACGTAACAAATACGGAAAAACTGTTCAGGTGTACACATCTCTAAAATTTAGTAAAAAAACATGGAAAAAGTAACAGGACGTTTTTTTTTGGGGGGGGGGGGGGGGGGATCATGCGATATGCCTCACGGTGGTCCCAAAATAATAAATGTGAGGGTTTTTTTGGGGGGGGGGGGGGGGGGTTCGTTGTTGGTTTTTAAATTTTTGGTAATTGTTGGTTTTTAATTTAACGATTGGGTACTACAAGTAACTATAGAATACAGGGCCACTTTATATATCTGCGCATCCATGGCTGCGTGGAGGCGCAGCCGACCAACCTCCGAGAATTGCGCCCACTACCGGTATCAAAGGCATTCCCAGATCCGAAGATCTGCACCTCCACAGATCCAGTGCCCGATGACGATCATGATGGATGTTTTAAACCATTTTCGGTTGTCGGAGATAATTGATTTGGCAGCACACGTAACATGCATGTGTCCTGTGATGACAAACTCAAGCACCCTCTTCTGACCGCAGTGGTTGAGGAAGATCTAAACAAGAACCCAAATGTTTGTCTGAGGACCACACTTACTTGTATTTTCCACTTCAGTATACGAGAATTTAGCCACAAAAGTAACTTAGTAGTCCTTGCTTAACTTGTTTTTCACTTTGTTTTGTCACAAGATTATGGTCATTGCTGGTTTTTAATTTTTGGTCATTGTTGGTTTTTACCGATTGGGTACAACTTATAGAATACAGGGCCACTCCATTATATATCCTTGCATCCGTATGGCTGCATGGAGGTGAAGTCGACAAACCTCAGAGAATTGCGCCCTCTACCGGTATCGAAGGCATTCCCAGATCCATTCCAAAGATCCGTGCCTCCACAAATCCAGTGCCCGATCACAAGCAAGCCCACCCTCCCTTTAGAATACCGTCGGATCAGCTGATTTCCTAGTTTTTTTTAACTTCACACTTGACTTACATATTGACTTATGCCATTAAAAATTGAAAACACTGTACAGAGTCTTGTAAGAATCAAAGTTTCTTCCTTTTTTTGTCACTTCCAAGTTGCATGCCTGATTAATCCTAGACCAGCCATTTGCCTGAATGTTTGCTTAACATGGTGGTCACAAGAAGCAGTATTTTTGCTAGTGGACACACGCAACGTTTAAAGTATGTCAATGGCCAGTCTGTCTTTTTTTTTTAAAGATTTTGACAGCATTGCCGCAGCATCATGACCATGGCAACTTTAACCCTAACCCCCTAGGCCCTTGTTGCTTACAACCATCCTCAATCCTCCAAAATCCTCCAAAATTTTGCAACTCCGCCTAAATTTTTCAAAATTGTCAGACAGTCCTGCCTCAAAATGCATTCATCCTCAATCCTCCAAAATCCTCCTCATCCCAAAACTTTGCACTCGTGTTTAAATGAAGGATAACCAACGCCAAATCCTTCAAAATCATCAGATAGTCCTGCCTCAAAATGCATTCATCCTCAATCTTCCAAAATCCTCTTGTGCTTCATTCACCATTCATCCTCAATCCTCCAAAATCCTCATGTGCTTCAATCACCATTCATCCTCAATCCTCCAAAATCCTCATGTGCTTCAATCACCATTCATCCTCAATCCTCCAGAATCCTCATTTGATTCAATCACCATTCATCCTCAATCCTCTAGAATCCTCCAAAACCGCCAGGAGGATTTTGGAGGAGTGAGGTTGGTTAGGGTTAATGGCCAATCTTGTTTTTTTTTTTTTAAGATTTTGACAGCATTGCCGCAGCATCATGACCATGGCAACTTTTAAAAAAGATTGGGGTTTTGTCAGACCGGCTTAAATTAAACAATCTGAAATGCATTCTTTCTTTTGTGGACCTCTAGAGATGGACCAACCCCAGCCCCGGCTGCTGCTGCCGTCGGTGGCGGACCCATGGACGTGATCACTGCCTTACAAGAAGTCTTGAAGACGTCCCTCATCCATGACGGCCTGGCAAGAGGTCTCCATGAAGCCGCCAAGGCTCTGGACAAGTAAGAAACTCCACCTTAAGGCATCAACCACCTTATGCTGAAACACCATCTCAGCATTCAGAAGAATTCAACTTTCTGCATTCTTCAAAATCGAGAAGAATTGAATCACTTTTAAAGAGTTTGATATTGTTAAACATGAGGTTTTTGAATATTACAAACTTCTCTCAAGCCACTGGTACCATTTTTTTGCTTCAAACTTTATGTCTGTTTTATTGTTTCTTGATACCCGGAATTATATTCCTGGGAATTCTCAGAAATTATAAACATCTTGGCCTCCTATGATGACAAACCCAAGCTCCTTCTACTGACCGGAGTGGCTGAAGAAAATTTTATAACAAGAACCCAAATGTTTGTCTGAGGTTGCAACCATTAGAGTCAGAAAGCCAGATCCTCCATATATTTACCATTTATGAATTTAAATTTAACAAGATTTGTGCAAGCTTTTGACTGACAGAATCAACCAATGTGGTGTACCTGAATAATGAAAGGTTTGCGGAAACACCATGTGCGAATAATTTCTCAACTAAGAGAATGGTTCTGAAAAGAACCAGAGGTATAAACTCGACGTTCTGGTCAGTATGCTCTGACCGTCTTCAGGAGAGTGGTTTATATGAAAACGGTCAGAGCATACTGACCGGAACATAGAGTTTATACCTCTGGTTCTTTTCAGAACCATTCTCTTAGTTGAGAAATTATTCGCTCATGGTGTTTCCGCAAACCTTTCATTATTTAGTATCTCCACCATGCAAAGCCTCAAATCTTACTTGTGGTGTACCTGGTTTGGTTTTATCTGGTGGCTTTTTCTTCATTCTTGTTTTGCAGACGTCAAGCCCATCTGTGTGTCTTAGCAAACAACTGTGACGAGGCCATGTACAAGAAGCTTGTTGAGGCTCTCTGCGCTGAACACTCCATCAACCTGTACAAGGTAAATTTGCGACTGGGCAAATTTAGTAAAGCTTGGGGCAGTATTGAGCCGATGTGTCCCATCACGCTTGTTTATTTCTCGCTACCGTTGTCCTACGAATGTATTTCATTCCTAGTTGGGAGGCCGGTACCCATATAAATTCCTGGATGGAGAGAGGCTAAACATGGTAAAATATCTTGCCTGTGGACACAGCACAAGGCTAGCAGCTGGATTCTAACCCCTAACTCTCCAATCACAAGTCCCTGCCCACTAGACAATGCTTCCACCATACACAAACCTGTAGTTATTTCCTTTAAGAATAATCGCACTTTAATTGCTTTTGGGTAGTTTCTTGAAGTGGTTATCAATACATTAACCCAGCGGATAACAACATTATAAAAAGAGATCTTGATGACTTTTTGCTTTCAGGTTGACGACAACAAGAAGCTGGGCGAGTGGTCCGGACTCTGCAAGATTGACAAGGAAGGCAAAGCCAGAAAGGTGGTCGCATGCAGCTGTGTTGTGGTTAAGGTATGTCCTTAAGGACCGTCTCAATTCACATCCGGGATGAATTCCAGACAAGTTGTGGACATTGTTATTGGATTAAGTTGCAGGATTCTGAGCAACTTCCCCGCAATCTTCCCGCAATGAAGTCATCAGTATTGGCGAGTCAAGCAGTTGCTAATGAACATATCCCTGGAAAACGTACGGGACAAATGCAGAGCTTCTTCCAGACAGAGTGAATGATTCTCCCCACGACTTGTCCGGAACTCGTCCCAGATATGAATTGAAACAGGCCGTAAGTCATGATGTGAATGAAACTCGCTGATTATCAAATTAAAATCTTGTGCCATGGCAGTGTCCACGACGACAGCGTCAAGGACAGCAACCACGACAGCGTCAAGGACAGCAACCACGACAGCGTCCATGAGAAATAAAGTTTGCGTTCCTGAACATTTAAAGAATCTCTGGCACAATTTCGGTTGTCAGAGATAATTGATTCGGCAGAACACGTAACATGCATGTGTCCTGTGATGACAGACTCAAGCACCCTCTTCTGACCGCAGTGGTTGAGGAAGATCTAAACAAGAACCCAAATGTTTGTCTGAGGACCGTGTTGCATATGTGTACAATGTACTTGTAGTTTCCACTCCAGTACACGAGGGTTTAGCCACAAAAGTAACATTTTTGAAAGTTGAATGTAGAATTTTATGGCTTCATGGCTTCTGACTAGCGCCCCTTGAACAAAGATATTGGCGAATTGGGGAACCGCCAACATATGGCTGGATGGCGCAGTTGGTAGAGCACTGAAACAGTAATCCGGAGGTTGCAGGTTCAAGTCCCGCTCCAGTCAATTTCATTGTTCAACTTTTCCTAGCATTGTTATAATTCACCGAGTCACTTCCCACTGTGGTTCCTTTGAAAAACGAAACAAAAGTAACTTTGTAGTTCTTGCTTATTTACTTGTTTTCTCTCTGGTTTGTCGCAGGATTATGGCAAAGAGTCTGCAGCAGTTGATGTCTTGAACGACTACTTCAAGGGACGCTAATAAAAATATTGAACCCCACCGGAAAACCCCTACTACAGAATGATCTACCATCTTGGGAATCATGACGCAGTGTACTAACTGTTCACATTATACCTGAAGAAAATTACAACCGGAAATGTAAACACCAGTGTTCACGTCCATGGGGAAAACAAATAAAATGTAAAAAGCAAAAAAAAATGTTATTTGTACCTGTGTTTTTATTACTTTGTCTTCTTAAAACAGGAACTTAAATAAACAGTACAAAGGAATGGTAAACTAAATACGATACATGTGACAAGCATGTAAACTGTACTTGATAGAAAGAATGCATGTTACAAAAACATGTTGCAAAGAATATTTTTACAACAAAATTTGTTAATGATCATTTAACTAGAATAAATGCCTTGGATTCTAGAAGGCCTTGACAAAATTTCACTGAATCTGTTTAGATATACATATTCAGTCAAACCCTGATAAGAAGAGCACTGTTAATACAACGTCATACTTATAACCAGCACAATTTTAGGTCCAAGTTCTTTGTTTTTCTTTGTTTTCCATTACTGTTAATTCAAGGTACCTGTTATAACAAGGTAATTTGTAAAGTCCCAAGGACCTTGTTATAAAGGTGTTCCACTGTACATGTATTTTGTTGTATGATTAACTTGATTGCAATCAAGACACAGAGTGACAGGAACAGACATCACATATGGTATTTTGAGTCTTGAGGCTGTTTTAAATTGTTACAAACTTTAGGCCAACTCGTTGAAAATTATAAAGTAGACTTGGTCATGATAGCAAAGAACATGAAATGTATCCTGTCTACAAAAATTGAAAAGGGTCAAATCATTTATAAAGCTGGCAAATGCCTGGTTAAATATTACTTTTTCCCCATGTTCAATATAAACTTGCGAAAATCGTACAGAGAAAAGGAATGGCATTGCTTCCTTTTTCAATCAAATTTGACCTCGACCCATTTATGCTGTGGTTGCGCTCGCCATAGCTTCTTTTTCCATGGCCTCCAGCTCCTCAAAAGACATGTTGAGCTCGTCGTCAAACTGGTCTTGGCCAGAGGACTGGGTTTGGGAGGTGGGTTCCGAAGACATCTGGGAAGACAAGCGAGGACTCGGCGCCGGCTGGCTCATGGGACGGGATGAGGTGTATCTGCTGGATCCTAGAGGCGAAGAGAGATGATAAATTGAGTGTTAAAATAGATAAGGATTCTTGGAGTGTGTGGTTGCTCGTCCGTGTACATGTAGTAATGTCCATGCAGTAAACATGGGGCATTATCTTCAAGCGAATATTGAAGCCTTTTGGGTGTACTGCATGTCCAAAAAGGCTTGCTTGGCAAACTTGTACTGGGCGGGAGTTAAAAATTCTAAAACTGCAAAGAATGAACTTTAATTTCTTGGGAATTTTGCTCGTAATTAATTTCTTCCTAAATTCATGAAAATCGTATCTGATATACATATAAAAAAAAATACACAATTTTGTTTACTCTAGCAAAGGAACGGTTATCCGGAGGTCACTGGTTCAATCCCCGCTCCAGTCAATTTCGTTCAACTTTCACAAATTTTGACTTGCTGTAAACAGGACCAAATTCATAAGCAACTCCAGGTATTTGATTCTTTGTCTCTGATAAAAATCGTTTTTAATTATCAATTCCAGTTTTGATTACATGTATGATGTACATTTATTTCCATCAAACGCAAAATTTAAAACAAACACGAGAACAAAAAAAAGTCATTGATAAATCAGGGAGATTTCATATGACGGGTATTTTTTTTTGTGGGGGGAGGTTACCTTCCTGTTCTATTAACAGGGATACCTGTTTTGTTTGTGTTTTAGTTAAAAAAAATTCCCTTTGTTAACATTTAGGAAATCGGGAGGTTATGGACGATGCATTATCAGCGGCATATTTTAAAAACTTGTTTTTGGATTTGGACCCCTGCATAGTACATGCAGTTCATTCGCCACAGAATTTCGACGATTTATGCCATTCATTTCATACAATTTTTCCTGCAATTTATGCAACTCGAAAAACACTTTGGAAATATTCTAGAACGACTATTGATCCGATCGTATATTCCATCTTGTCACGAGTTCACGCTTGGGTTATAGCCAAAGCAACTGGGGATGATGAGTCATCGAAATTGGACGGTCTGGAAAAAAAGGGGGAAAACCGAAGCGCATATTTCCACCGCGCCCGCCCAATTTACGTCACTAAAAGTAATTAATAACTTCTTGTTTCCCAAGAAAGGCCGCCTGGTGAGTCGTGTATGTTTTTTTTCCACGTGCAAATTATGAAAGCTCGAGACTTCGAAATTGGATACAACGAATGGCCCCTAAGGAATTTTTTTGTTCCGCTTGACGGGCAGCCAAGCATGTGACGTCACTGTGTCGCTGCTCGGTCAACCGGAAGTAATTCTATTCGGGTCACACGTCCCATGCATTGCATGTTGTGCACACGTACACTGCATGCACTCCCTCGCTTATAACGCTACTATTGCGGGGCCGAAGGTGAAGCGGTTGAATTGCGGAAATTCCCACACGGAAAGTGGCCGTTGAAACAGCCTCAACGCAATGGAATTTGGCAGATCGAAACTTATACGCGGATGATGAGAATTCGCACATCCGAAATCTTCTCTACAAAGGGTGAGTTTTCCAATTTGTTGTGGTAACTCACATCGACTTTTTGAATGTTTGACAAAACGGTTAGGGGGGCATAACGATTAACGTCATACATTTTGTACAGAAATTAGTGACATACAGTGTACGTACGTGTACACTTCTTACGCATGCACACACGCCTTCGTAAAAGTTCCCGACACGGTACTAATCACCTCCATACCCTAGCTTCTAGTAGTACTAGTTTGCCTTTCTCGCCTGCCAGACATTTTGTGGTTACAGCATTTGGGGTGGGTTGCCTAGCAAACAGTTTCATTTTCAGTACCGCTGTCACAAAAATGAGTGAATTTGGCGGGTGGAAAAAAAAAGCACCCTCCCCCTTCATTTTAAAAGGCTGGACAAGAAATTGTGTTTTTTTTTGTACTCGGATTTAGTTAAGTTGATGACATTAAAATTGGGATTTGTTTTAAAACTTTTTTGACAAAAGTAGCCGAAGCAACATTTTTCATAAGAAGTGGGGAGCAACTATAGAATGCAGGGCCACGCCGAAGCAAGGTTTTTTATTTTGCCTGGAGGCGTGGATGGAATAGGAGTAATAGATATGCAAACCTGCAAAAAAGTGCTAAGTACAGCGAAGGAATGCACTGCACTTGTCTTCAAAGCTTCTCATGAAGGATCGGAAGGGAGGGCGTGCTTGTAAATGTGTTGGGGGCACTGTCTGGAGCGGCGGAGGCGCGGAGTCTTGGAGTCGCAGAATCGCGGAGACGCGGGGCACTGGAGTGGCGGAGGCGCGGAGTCGCGGAGTCGCAGAGACGCGTACCGATAGAGGGCGCAATTCTCGGCGGAATCTTTTTGAGAACGAAGCATCCATATCCATTTTAAATGGGCGGGCCAATTAGGAAGGGAGGAGGGCGACAGGGCACTGTCTGGAGTCGCGGAGGCGCGGAGTCGGGGAGTCGCAGAGTCACTTTAATTGGGCGGGCCAATTAGGAAGGGGGGGGGAGGGCGACGGGGCACTGTCTGGAGTCGCGGAGGCGCGGAGTCGGGGAGTCGCAGAGTCACTTTAATTGGGCGGGCCAATTAGGAAGGGGGGAGGGCGACGGGGCACTGTCTGGAGTCGCGGAGGCGCGGAGTCGCGGAGTCGCAGAGTCGCTTTAATTGGGCGCGCAAATTAGGAAGGGGGGGGAGGGCGACGGGGCACTGTCTCTCAGTGGTGGAGGCGCGGAGTCGCGGAGTCGCAGAGACGCGCACCGATAGAGGGCGCAATTTTCTGCGGCTCCACGACTCCACGATCGATTTTCAGAGGTAGGTCGACTGCGGTTCCACGCCTCCACGCAGCCGTACGGAGGCGCGGATGTAGAGTAAAGTGGCCCTGCATTCTATAGTTGTACCAGAAGTGGAAATACAAATTCAGTTTCAAAGTTGGCTACTCGGACTTTTTTCAAACTTCAACATTATTTCTTTTTACTCATCTAAAGTTTGGAACAAAAATTGATTGTCAGCTTGTTTATGTCAGCTTGTCAATGATGAAAGACTAAGCTGATGTCCAATTTCTTAGACTCCATCAAAAACTCGACCCTCGGTCAGATCTTTTAGTTCCCTACTTAACTTGGGAGTGTTTCAGTCGGAACACAACAAGTTTCAATAAACTCTGGCATTCCGATAAAAAAGTGGACTGCGAGCATTCCTGACTTTTGAGATGCTTCCTAAATCAAAATTACACCAGAATCTGGACCATTTGTTATATTTCTAATCTTGATTTTTCTTGATTTTTTTTCTTTCAGGTGATTCAAAAATTGTGTCAATTGTAAAACCATCCTCTGATCAACATGGCTGAAGACCTGCAAAGAATTCTAGAATGCCCGATGTGCTTGGAACTGTTCGACTCCTCCAACAGATGGCCCAAGTTGTTGCCATGCCAACACACTTTTTGCCGAGTGTGTCTGGTGCAGTTGGACAAACAGGGCACGATAGCTTGTCCCCAGTGTCGCCAGCAGCATAAAAGTCCTCCTGGGGGTGCTCAGCAACTGCCGAATAACTTCACCATGCTCGCCTTGCTGGACGTCCACAAGAAATCAGCTCCCTCCTCAAATTCAAGTGAGACATCTTCAGAGTCCGCTCAGGAAAAAGCTGCAGATGACAGTGTCCGGAAAGCGATTGCCGAACTGGCCCAGAGACTCCAACAGAAGGCCGGAGACCTAGCCAGCATCGACAAAAAGAGGCAGAAAGTAGAGGAGAAATTTCTCGCCGTGAAGAGCCAGGTGGACGGTGCGTTTGAGTCTCGTGCTCGCGACCTGCAGATCCGAAAGGAGGCCGTCATTAAGCAACTTGCTGCGATGAGGCAAGAGGAGCTGAACCTGATGGATACCCAGAAGGCCAGTGCCTATCAGTACCTCCAGAAGTTTCAAAGAGACTTTGCAGCAATGCGGGAATCCATTTTGACGAGTCAGCAGCCCACGCAGGACCAGTACAATCAATTGCTGACTGTCTGTCAACGGTACACCCAACAAATTGAGCAGTACGCTCTCACCATCGATGAAAACCTGCGCGAAATTTCATTCACTGATCCAAACCGAGCCCAACTCTCAGTGAGCATCAATTCCTATGGAGTCTTGCAAGCCACCAGCATGGACAAAAGTAGGAACAAGCCGAGCAGTGCGATCATCCTTCAGCTGCAAAACCCCTCATCCAGTGCTATAACAACCGTCGCTGGGAGCACACCTCCTGGAACACCCACCAGTTCAGGAACACCTCCAGCTTATACAAGGAAGCACTCGACGCCTGAGATCTCCATGGCAAATATGAACAAATCCTTACCTCACGTCACGAGCACACCCAATATGCAGCAACAGGATGGGAGTCCATCATCATCCAGGGCTTCATCAAGATCGGCTTCCCCACTGCTTGCCAGCAGAAATCGCTCCCAGACTGTCCCAAACATGAATCCAGTCGCTGAGGCTCAGACTTCAAATGCCACCCCATCAGCAGCAGCAGGAGCACCCATCCGTAGAGACAGCACCGGCAGCATGTTTGTACTAAGTGGGAATCCGTCACCAGCTCCAAGCCCCGGAGACAGTGCTAAGGAACGTTCAGAGAGCAGTCCGGCTACTGCTAGAAAACCAGGAGAAACATCAATAAGCAGAAACCCATTCTCACCAACAGCAGAGTCACCATCAAAGACAGGTGGACCTAACAGGCCACAAAATCCTTCAGACGGTAGTGTCCCTCCCAGAAGAATACCTGTACCCGGCCCAATTCCCAGTAGCACTGTTCCTGTATCTCGAAGTCCTGCATCGGGTGATGCTACTCGTAATCCTGCCCTGACAAAGCATGCATCTCTGGACAAATCAACGCCTCCCACAGGCACACCAGCCCTGCCAGCAAGACCAAGCTTGAGCAATTACACCCGGCATGGATCTATTGATTTCACCACAGGCCCTTCGACTGCCTCACGTGATCCAAGTCCATCTCTAGCTTCCATAAGAGAGCAGAGCTCAATGCAGAGCAGGCCAGCAAGCTTGAGTATTGGCTCAAATGGTTCCAAGCAATCTAGAGTGGTGTCCCCGGAAGGACCCATTCCTCCACTGCCACCTCGCAGAGTCAAAGCCACCCAACCCAATCGTCCTCGTAGCATGAGTGCTGATTCCAGTTCCAGTCTGGGTGGCAAGAGCACGTGGGTAAAGTTTGACACAATTGGATCAAGATCTCGTAGGTTTGGCAAAGACGGTGCCAAAGAAGTTGCAGTTATTGGTAGCGGTTGGTTCGGAGGGTCATTTTTCGAAAGGCCAACTGGAGTAGCTGTCCTCCCACAAAATCTCATGGCTGTCGTAGATGAAAGGAGCCACTGCATCACCATGGTAACCGAGGCTGGTCAGTTAGTGAAGAGCATCGGGACCAAAGGCAACGGACAAGGCCAGTTCCAGTTTCCTAAAGCCATTTGTCTCAACAGCAGACGGCAGATGATTGTGTCCGATTGGTGGAACCACCGCATCCAAATCTGGGACGTGAACGGGCAGTTCATCTCTCAGTTTGGAACAAGAGGATCACAGGTCAACCAGTTCAATGGTCCCCTGGGTGTGGCTTGTGATGCTTCTGACAACATCTTTGTCTGTGACACCAACAATCACTGCGTGAAGGTCTTCTCTCCGGAAGGCAACTACCTACGGCAAATCGGTAAGGAAGGTGCCAGTGAGGGCAACTTTATTTGCCCATCCCATCTGGTGGTGTCGCCAGGTGGTGAGCTCCTGATCACAGATTCAGGCAAGCACTGTGTTCAGATGTTCAGCAGTCACGGAACATTCCTCTATCAGTTTGGGGAGTGGGGGACAGGTCCCGGTCAACTTAACTGCCCCTCGGGTATCACGATCGACCCAAGTGGGTACCTCTTCGTTGCCAGCAGCGGCAATCACCGTGTTGAGGTCTACAATCCTTCTGGATCGTTTGCAGTTAGTCTGGGCACTCATGGGCAAGAGAAGAGTCAATTTGATGAGCCAATTGGTATTGCGTCGACCAGTGATGGACAGGTGGTTGTGTGTGACTCGGGGAACAAGAGAGTACAGATGATGTGGCCCTGAATCCACGTACATGTACACGATCAATAATACGATGGGGGGTGTGGAGAGCAGTTTCCCAGGAGAACAAAATACAGGCATGCAACTGGGAAATCACAAAAAAAGAGGAAATTCAAATTTTTCCCAGACTTTGTACAGTGTTTTTCTATTGTCAATGGCACACATGGGAAGTAAAAAAAGAGGAAATCAGCTGATCCGAGGAAAAGTTGCGTGCCTGAAAATAGCATACCTCTAATTGTTGCAATTTTAAAATATGGCAGTAACCATTTTAAAATTTTGAATTGTACTAAAAATGTAATTTGTAGTAAAACATTGTGCAAGTATAGGAAGAAAATCACCCAATTATGAAAAGGGATTTTGTCTTGCTCTTCACTAATAATAATATATGGCTTTGCATGGTGAAACTTATTAACGACTGCCTAAATTCAGTAATGAATATTTTAAAAACCTTCATAACACATCGCACTCTAGATGTACGCATTTGTAACGACTTTCACATTACATGCATGTAATTATGTTGCAATTTTTTTTCCAAGAAATTGTACATAGTATCCATACTGACCGGAACGTCGAGTTTATACCTCTGGTTCTTTTCAGAACCATTCTCTTACTACATGCACGTAGAAATTATTCGCACATGGTGTTTCCGCAAACCTTTCATTATTTACATAGTATCAAAAACACTGCTCTGTAAGTTTATTGTAATTACTTGGTAAGTTGACAATGTAAAAATACTGGTACAACAATATGGTGGCAGAATTTTATTCATAACCTTCGTATCCATACATGTAAATCAATATTATGCATGACTCTGTATCAAGCCTGTACATCTCATATTTATTCATTCGTTATAGAAATGTTGGAATTCATGAAGCGGGCTGATGAAGTCAGCTTTTCACCAAACTGGATTGGGAAAATGGCTGAGCTGGTTAGAAGTACTAAGCCGACATGTACTTGTACCTAAGCCAACACTAAATTCTATTAAATGTCAAAGTACGTGTACCATAATTGACTACAATGTACATGTACTGCATAATTTTCCAGCCACTGACATTTTGCAGTACTAGTGCACAGCACTGAAGCATTTTAAAATTAATGCCGACGTCATTGTCTGGTTTCGCTATTTTGAGACTAACATATAATCTTCATACAGAATGTCAATTATTTTTTCTTCTTCACAGATCATACATGTAAACAGTGTTCTAGAAACATTACCTTTTTTTTAAGTTGGCGATATATATTTGTCTTTTTGTGGTGGGGGGGGGGGGGATATGCACAGATGAAGAATTCTTCTCATATATCACTCTTGGGACAAGTAGTCCTGTCATCGCTATCCAATAAAGCATTGTGAATTCTGAAAAACAAATATCGTTGCAGTGTAACGAGGAAGCGTGAACCCACGATAATTTTAAGGACACTGAGTCACTGATAAGGTTGCAACTGCCTTTCACGAGTGTCCTGTCCTTGGAACAATTTCCTGTGTTCGTTTTTTTTCCTCGCAATTAATGAAAAAACAATCTGTCTCCCAATTAATTCAATAAGATTGACCTTTTGTTTATTTTGGATCCCACCCACAACTCTTGTATTTTTTAAACAAAACAATCGTTACTTGATAGAATATGTGAATTCAGATAAAAGATTAATGTTCAAGTTTGACAGGGCACGCCTAGGCTTCGAAATTTTCTCTTCACTTTTTTTTTTTATGAATAATTGGAATTACTTGATGTACATGTCTTGCTAGTATAATTAATGTAAACATTTACTAGTGTTGTTCTCGAAATACATATAGATTTGCTGATGTAAGTTTTACATGTAAATGCTGCTAGTTCTAGGTATAAAATTTGATCAAGAAATTAGTTCTGCATATTTTGTTTAACTTAAATACCCTGTACAAAGTTTATACATGTACATGTACAAAGCACTACGTAGTTTGTGAGAAGGGAAGTGTCTTTTGTGTTTGGATTTTTATATTTTGTATATTTCTTGATGTTTCGGTAGCCTGTGAAAAACGTTGCTGCAAGTTTGGAATAAGTACTTTCTCTGGCACCTTTTAAATACAAGTTCATCATTAATGTTCAACATACTCGTATTTATAGTTCGTAAATTTGATGTTTTAAATTAAATTGGCATGTTTTAAATTTCAGCTTGAGATTTCAGAGGTATTGATAATAGTCTCTCGCATTTTACTGCAATGTTTAGTTCAGTTGATATAATTTTCAGAATGAAAAAGTTTATGCAAGCGGGTCAGCTGTGTACACGTACTTTCTAAATGGCTGACTCTATTTTAAATAATTGGTTACCATAGTGACTTGTAATTCTCGGCTATCTGTAAATCCATGCTTGGCATGTTGTGTACACAAACTATGGGAGATACGTAGGTTTAGAGTAGTTTGGACTTTAGTGATGCATGCAATGTCAGTAGCCTAACTGCTAGACTCAAAGTTACCAGTGCTGTATTTGTTCTGACCTTTCATTAAATTTAATGACCTGGATAATTTTGATTGAAGGAGAGCAGTGGACCAGTTTGTTTGCCCCGATCTGTACATATTTGTCGATGTCAGACTCGAGCTTTCTTGTCAAAACAGATGATCTTTTGATAAGTGAGGGAGCCAGGTTATTTTTGTTGTTGCAAATTCTCTGAAATCAGAGAGAGGCTTGCATGTTTGACCTTTGACCTTAATCAATTTGCAACATCAACATGAAAAAAAAGTAGATTGATAGTGAGTAATTACACACATAGTTTATCGATATATGGCGATTTGTTTTTGGTTTTAAAGTAAATACAACATGTACAACGTTAGTGAAATGTAGCCAAGAAAAAACCTCTGTGGAGCAGATTGTTTTTGAAAGGATCTTCCTCATAAATCAACCCCATTGGGGTTGATTTATGAGGAAGATCCTTTCAGTTACCCCATACAGGAAAGAATGCACGGTTGTTTCAGGATTTAGCTTGATGATTTCATGAATTATTTCCCGATCACTCTACATCCTCATTAATAATAGCAATGACCTTGGCCTCAGTAAGGTTCACCTGGCCCTATAGTTGCATGCTGGCAATACTGTTAAGTACATGTACATGGGTGGGAAACAATTCTTGATAGGTTTGTCATTGACCTTTTGAACTCATCAATATGTTTTTTCCTGAAAGATTTTCCTATAGGCAAGGTTGATGTTCTCTTGTTTTTGTTTCATACTTTGATTACTGTCTTTAGTTGGTGCTGGTATATTAAGAGTTTGATTACACTGTATGACAATTGTTTATTATTTTTTTGACAAGTACAGGGTACAACTGGACCCTCGATATAAAGAGAATTATGCAAATTATTTGCAATGTGTTTTGTAAACATGTTTTGTTACTTGTGGTAATTTTTTTTGTCATTCCATTCTTATCGCTGTGGTGTGTGTTATAAAGCCAATTTTACAACTGTACTCTCATGTTTTATGTAAAAATGTTAATAAAATAGGCATGAGCTGTTTTATAACTTTCAGAAAAATCTTTAGTTAACATTAGTGTGTGGTGTTTTTTTATAGGCCTATTCTTTTTTTTTTGGGTAATCAGATTTTATTTCAGGAGATGGACGAAGACTATTCTAAAATCTTTAACCTTGATTTTTTCTGTATACTTTTGCCTTTACATTAATCCTGCAATACTGCTAATGACATTTTCAAGCAATTTAATTTAAGATCAGGCCTATGCAAATGCCAAACATCCACACACAAACAAAAATGAGATTCCTACATCAAGCCATACAAAGGGGTCCCTTCATTTATTAGCTTGACCCGTCAATAAGGAATTCAATTGATTGAGATCTTCTGGACCATATGTAAACATCTGCAAGGAATAAGACGCGACGACCTCCACTGTGATAGTACAAGGGTTTTAATGAGCCCACTGCAATGAGCACCAGCTGCCAGGGTCATGCACGATTAATTTACTGCTTGATGATGAGGTCTCCACAGTGTTCATGTGCGTAGATTATGATCAGGGTATACTGGACATACATGATTAGCTTTTAAGCTATGGATTACTGTCTTACTACATGCACGTTTCTTGGAACTTACAATGAACAAAAGGTGAAATGGATAATACTTGGGTCTTCAGTGCATGTGTTTCAAAATAAAATTTAAATAGACTTGACTATATTTGCAGCAGGTACATTGACAACACTTTCAACAATGCATATTATGATAGGGCTTCCTGGAGACATGATAAATTAGAATTACTCATTGTTGACAACATACATCGAGATAGACAACAATAGTGGTGGAATTAAATCTGGATTTTTAAATTTTCGGTTTCAATTTTGGAAAACGGATATTCCAAACCAACCTTTAAAAAAAAATTAAGCCTTCCATTTTTGCGGGACACAGGCTTAAGAAAACAACTGAAACATTCCCCAATTTGCTCTATAGTCTCTGACTGTAACTGCATTCACATGCTAGTGGTCTTTTAGGTGTGAATAGCCTGCACATTCGACTTAAATCCGAGAGTTCCCAACCATTTTTTTCAACATTACAGCTCTGTAGTGTTTTTGTAAAGGCCCAGTGGTCACTGAATCCTGCAAACCATACCAAATTATCGGGAGGACATTGCATGCAGTACCTCACGCCTCATTTGTTGGCATGACTGTGAACTGAATGGGAACTTCTGGTGAAATCGGATAACCATTATTCGCTTTGAAAGAAATTCGGATAACCGGATTATGAAATCTCTGATTTCTCCCACCACTAAAAACAACCCGATTTGAAATGGATATTGTCTCATAATAACTCTGAGCTTCAATACTACATGCTTTAATTAAAATAACTTGGAATCTGATATTTTTATGTTATTCTAGGCGTCATGGAAACTGGAGTTTTTATAACATATTCAGGTGCCGGCATTGGGGAAACCTCCCTTGGATTTGTCCACATAACTGTTCAAAAAATTGAAGAATTATCATCAGGGAAAAATGAAAAAACTCAATATACTTGTTTTAATTCGTTTGACAGCCATATTTAAAAATAATCCAATGCAACTTACAATTTGAGATGGCCAAATAAAAAAAAAGACATGGCTTTAAAAAAAAAAAAACACTTTTGATTTCCTAAAAACCATCACATTTGATTTCCTCATGTGGACAAAGACTTTTGAGAGTTACTCTTGTTTCATATTTTTTTTGCAAGGAGTATCAATTTTATTTTTTTATTTGGGTATTTAATAGGTAGAATGTTACTTCAAAGATTGGAAAAATATAAAACATAAGCCGTAAAACAACCCTTCAACAGGACATGCCACAAAGCTTTTAGTTTCATTTTGACCAATTTACAATCACCCCACAGGAATTGACGTCAGGATATCAGGAACTTATCACTGAAACCTGACAATGGTATGAGCAGCTGAGATATATCACCAAGTCCTTGCGGTTCTTTAACCAGATGTAATAGCAAGAGGAAATAAAAAAGCTGTCTAAATTCTTTACGGCTGATAAAAGAATTTTTGAGCTGATTTTGTTCAGGTTTAGTTACAGTATACATTGTTCACTTACTGTGTGATCATAATCTGGGTAGGAAATTATGTTCATTGTGTTTCTTTATGAATTCAAAGTCAAAGTTTACATAAATGTTTATATAATTGCATAAAGAAATTGACTGCAGTGGGGTTTGAACCTGCGACCTCCGGAATACCGTTCCGGTGCTCTACCAACTGAGCTACCAAAACGTCAAGAAGAATTTATAAACAAGCTGGCTACATATGTGTTTTCACAAAAGACAAATCTTCTACCTTCAACATACCGTACTTTCTTTACTGCGTCATGAAAAAGGGACAATAAAATATTAAGAGAACATTTCCAGGTGTTACATGCAAATGACTGCACGTGCGATGGTTTCTGGAATTCTTTATAGGCCGAATGAGCAGAGGTAATAATAACATACAATACTTTTAGTGGATTTGCGCACATCATAAATCTGGATTAATGTTAATAAATATTCAATGAAGCAAAGTGACTCACCCTCATATTTCTTGTCTCCGCTCAAGATCTTCTGGCTCTCCTCGAAATACTGATTAGGATGTTGGATGGCAACATCTGTCTTGACGCTCTGTTGACGAATAAAAAAAAAGGTGAAATAATATAAATTTTCCTCGAATGGAAAGAAGGCAAAAATGTGTGTTAGGTCTTTTCTGTTGCAAATACAAGATTGTATTATAGCAGATTATAGCAGATTTAAAAAAAGTAAACTTTCTTTACAATATGCGACCATTTTTAGAAGTTTCAGTTGAGTTGGGGTACAATTTTGCTGAGATTCAACAAGTTATCAGCAAATATTGTTTCATGAAATGAAAAGCCAAAAAAAAAGGAATAAAAAATGAGAAACAATTTTTTCCACTCCTGCTGCACTTAAATTTTTTTACTCAAACTAGAAATAAAATCTATTTTTGATGGAGTTGAAAACGTGAAACTTACGCTGTGTGTCAGCATGAAGTACTTGGAGCAGGCAACTTGATAGTGAGATTTGTTGACAAGATCGATAATCTGAAGAAAAGAAGTTTGGTTTCAAGAAATCAACTTTTAGTCCAAAACAATCCAAGACTTTCCAGATATAGTTTAGGAAAGTTCTAAATAAATAATAGGCCCTGTGGATTCGAAGGGCCTAAAGTCACAACATATGCGAGGCGTTTTGGCAAAATGAGACAGAACTAGGCAGCGGTCCAAATGAGGCCATTTTTTGGGTATCATGAAAGAGAATAAAATTCTCCTTAAAATACTGTTTGTTGCACTTCAATCTCACCACATTGATAAAAAGAAAAGCAAAGGGCAAACATATACTCGAATCATACGCTTACGAAACTACTGACTGGAAAAACTAACAATTTCAAATGTCCCGCACTGTGAATTTGTCGACTATCTCCCACAATGCACTGGGAAAAATAAACTGTGCATGGCAAACTCTTGGTGGCGCACTGCTTTGTGAATCGCCCGAATTTGAGGTAATGATTAGGACGCAGTCGTTGCGACATCATAAAAATTCTGACAAAGGAAAGCCTCAATTAAATGGTTAACGACCAATAACAACCTCTATGGTTTAATAACGAGTATCTTAAACTTAAGAACTGGCGGAACATTCCACTGGACATTTTACTGATTATTATTGGGGATGCAGACTTCATTTCCTACCTCATCTATTCCAGACTGGTTGACCTTGTATGCAGCGAGACGCTGCTTGAGCAGGTTGCTGTCAGTGTGACGGAACGGACAACCTACGGTGGAAATAAATGAAAAGTTTGAATCCTCAGAAGATGTTCAGCCAGGTTTTGCGCCCATTCAATTGACTATTGGTTGCTTGTACTGTGTGCACTGCTACGCATATGCAACACTTGCTGAAAGCATCCAAGTTCCCCCCAATTGTTCTCATGATTAGGTGACAATTTTTATTACACACAACCAATAGTCGAGTGTATCTCATGATCTAGTCACGTTGGCGTAGTGGTTCTTTCCTCGCCTTCCACCTGAACGGTCCGGGTTCGATTCCTGCCCTGGTCCACATGTGGATTGGGTTTTCAGTCCCTGCTTGATTCCATGGTTTTTTTTTCCCCAGAATATCCTTCTGCAGTTTTCCTCCCACCTCTAAAACTGTAATTTCTTCTCATTGTCTTCTCTCTTCAGGTTTCTTCAGGCTTGCGAGCTACAGTGTCTGGGTGCTTTCGAGGAATCCTTATTTTCATTATAAGAAATGAATGGAGATAGTTTGATGGTTTAATTCTTACCATGGTGGTCCCCAGTTGCAGGAGCATTGGTCATGATGATCTTCATACAGCTATACGGGGTGTAGTCGGTACGCTTTCCTTCTTTACCATAACTATGGCGGACATTGTAGGAGTATTGCTTCTCAAACTGCACAGAGGAAAAACAAAGCAGTAAACTCTGCCTCGCAAAAGCAATTTACGCTTCCTGCAATAAGCATTTGTACAAGAGGTAGAGCTAATTTATAAATTGGTCTTTTTTGTTTTTGCCAATTTGTTTTTTCACTGTTATCAAATGTCTATTGAATGAGTGCCATCAGAGTGGTTACGACATCTGAACAAGTAAGCAGGAGGTCATAGGTTCGAGTCCTGCCAAGTAAGTGAATAAATTGTATATTGGGGTTGCCCCTTCTTTGACTTAACGTGCTTTCTTAGGGTTTGTGGGAAAAAGCCTCACAAGCTAACCTGGTGGGACTTGAACCCAAAACCTCCTGCATACTAGTGCAGGTGTCTTACCACTTGGCCAATCAAACTTGCTTGTGCCAGCTGGCTTATATGATCCATTAAATCGACAAGCTTCAGAAAAAGTATGCAGCGTAAATATATGTGCGAAATCAACTTAAAAAAAACCAACTACCTTATCTCCATCCATGATCTTGGAGAATTCGCTCCTCCAGAATGTTAGAGCTTGCTCTAGGGTCAAGCCAATTCCCTTCAGGAACAGACCGTACTGCATGCGGCCGTGGTGGCGCAAATGGTGGTTCTCGCGGAGGGCGGAGTGAAGCTGTCGCATGCAGAGCGGGAAGGACTTTCTGGCATGCTGTGGATTTGAAAGAATTTTATAAAAAAGCTCAAAATACTCGGCAGAACTGACTGGAATTGTTTCTATGGTAGTTAACCTAGTAACCTGTATTCCCTGTGAAAGTGTCGATCAAATGTTGATTCTTACCGTGTCCATGTCCTTGAGCTCAATCTTGCCTGTGTTGGATTTGCCGCTGCTGTAGTTCTGTCCCAGATACTGCTTGCTGAGGTTGTTGAGCATCGGGAGAAGACGATCGTCTTCCTCAAGATGAGGGATGCTCCTGGCTGTCACCTGCAAATCAAACCAGACAACTCCTGAAAAACACTTCAAGACAAGTCCAGTCGAGCTGGTCCGAGAGTGCACAAAATTCTATTCGATTGATTCAGAGTGGCTATTCACCAGAATCTTTTCATGCATCCGGTGTCCACAACGGGCGGAATTTAGCCTATTCATAGGTGTTACTGGGGAATCCTATACAACAGCACTGCCTGGCTCACAAGTAACAGTGAGTCAGTCAGTGAGGTACAAAAAAAGACTGGTGGCTGACACACTCTTGGACCTCAACATTAAAACTTACGGCCAGAGCTTGTGAGAGGTGAGACCTGAAGGCACTGAGTATAATGGAGACCAAGTCGTTGTGAGGAACATAAGCCCAGCCTCTGTGAAGGTACACCTTGCGACCTCTCACAAGATCCAAGGCTTCTGTAAACGGAACCTGGGGAAGATTTTACAAACAAAAAATTGGAATTGGAATCACTTGCAAACCTCCAAAGAAATACGTCTCTAGATACTGGGAATTAATTTGAGCAAAATCAGTTTTAAAGGCTACATTTTCGGGATCTTAAAAATTTACTTAAAAAAACTAAAAAATAGTTGACTCTTGCTTCAGAGAAATTTTAATAAGAATAACTTTTTTATCTTTTGTAAATTTTTCCAAAAATTGAGGCATTAAAACTTATTGCTCAAATCTGAGTTCAAATTGGACTCGATTCGCCAGCCAAAACCTGCTTCAAGCTATTTAAGATTTTGTATGGGTGTCTTTTGCATTTTAAGAAAGTTGAAGCAAGTGCAAATACATGTAGTGTGTCTTTAAACTTCAAAGACTTGCTTGTATACCTTGTAGAAATCCGTGTGCTCAATCATGGCCATGGACATGCTGTAGCTACTGGCACAAAGGTATTTGGCTATCTGCTGTTTTTCTTCGTCTGGAATCTAAAGAAAAGAAATCAATAAAACTGTCAAGTAATTCTTGTCTTCAAGCTGTTGAAATCACAGTCCTTTAAATTCAATTTCAAATTCAACTTACAGGAGTGAAGTGCAGATCGTTTTCTTGCAGGAAGCGAGCGACTTCTCTCTTGTCCGTCTCCATCAAGAAGCGATAACGGAAGAGGTCCATTTCTTGAGCAATGAACCAACGTCTCAGATCCTCCCTGTATTAATGCACACACACATGACTAATTTTATCTGAGTAGATGTTTAGTATATCCACAGCCTCTTTCTGTTTATGATGTGAAAGCTATTGTCTCACTCTCTCTGTTTGGGGTGTTTTTGTGTGAGTCCGTAAGACCCTTTTAGTGTGATATTGGCCTCGAGAAACGTTGAGGGTGTGCCAACATTAAAATGGTTGTTTTCGTCTGAAGTGAACTTGTGAAACTTACGATTTGCAGTAAGCCAATCTCAGGATGAAGTGAGAAATGTGATCTTTTCGTCTTTCTTCAAAATCATCCTTCAAATCCTACACAAGGGAAAAAACACAGAATAAATAACAGTCATTAGATTGTTTGTAAATGTAATGATATTCAAAGCTTTGCTTAGGGCAGACAATTTGGAATGAGGGGCCGGGGGGGGGGGGGGGGGGGGGGGGGTGACATACTAGCTCCACCCAAGCCTGCTGATAATGAGTGATACCTTTCTGACAGCCAGCGGCATGAGATGACGAAGCTCCTTATCCATGTATTCCTTGTACTTGTCGGTTCCCCTCACATAGCTCTGTCCGGCTTGTTCTACATGACGCAGCACTGAAAAAAAAAAAAAAAATAAATGAATAAAAATAGGACTAGCAAAAAAAAGCTTGCCTATCATTTTTTTTATTACTTAAGTTAAACAAAAATGTTTTGGATTAAACATTAAGTAGGCCTATTTGATCTATTTTATTTTAATACTAAGGACACCTTATTTTAATTAGCCAATTTGCAGATGATACTTGTCTGTTTTTCAGGAACATGTCATAATTTTAACACCATGAACGATGTAAACAAAACAGTCTGTCAAACAGTTGACAACATCATAAAGTGACAATTTCAAAAGTAGCCCAAGGCCCACAAAATCGTCTCTTTTGTTTCATTAGCTGCGGCTAAATATATAACATACCACGTGTTGTAGTATCCTAAAGATATACTGTTTACAATAATTCTCCAACCTTTCACTCTAGAAATGGCAAATTCCTCGAATTCATTGAGGCAGATATTGTCGGTCGGCGGAAGCCGGTAGAACTGCAGCCGGTGCGAGTACTGCGCTGTGTCGGCCCCGCCGCGAAGTTGGGGCTTTCCCCGACCTCTCTGCTGACGCTGGTGGGTGTTTTTCCGATCTCCACCAAATTGCATGGTCAGGCCGGATAGATTCCGTCAGAGATCTGATGATAAATCGAGAAATTCTAAAGCAAAATGATGTTATTTGCGAATGATTTCGCTGTCGTGTGTCACTTTGGTGCGAAACAGTTCGCGCCAGATCTTCGGATCGGCCGTGTCAAAGTGCTACTGAATATTCATAAGTTGCTCAATCAGAACTTGTGATTGGATAATTTTGCGGAATTGGTGGAGTGTTTATTGCAAACAAACGAGCAAATCCAAGATGTCTGCGCCCATGACAGTTTTTCGGGGGTTGCTCACTCCGTTAAAAACTTCAAGATATTGCTCTTTTGCAATTATCAATGAAACAAAAAGATGTTATTGTTACAATGGAAAGGTACGGGCTCTCGTGTACGCGGAATATGGAGATCCGGTCAAGGTTATGAAGTGAGTATTTGCATGTGGTTTAACGTGTTGCGTGTCCCTGTGTAGTGTGTAGCTGGAGTTACCCAGCCCTGAGTTTTATCATATGGGTTGTCTATAAGGGCTGGAGCGTATTTTTCTCATAAGTAGTAGTATATTCAAAAAAATTTTGGAAAATGTTCAATTTTGTCCCCGTTACACACTAATTGCAGCTGCAACTCACCCCAAACTTGCCTGGAATAACCATTACACAGGTCATTGAAGTAAAAAACGATCCACGATGAAGATTCAGCCTACAATTGCAGTGAAAACAGGAGGAATAACCGCTAACTTGACAACCCATATGATAAAACTCAGGGCTGGGTAACTCCAGCTATGTAGTGTGTATTATGTTCCCATGGCATGCTTGCAAGGAATACAGGTCAACTCGTACGCGAACCAACTCGTACGCGACCAACTCGTACGCGGGTCAATTCGTACGCGAACCGACTCGTACGTGGACCGACTCGTACGCGGACCGACTCGTACGCGGACCAACTCGTACGCGGACCAACTCGTACGCGTGAGTTTAGACGATTGGTTTAGCTCACATGGACAGATGAAATTAGGTTCGGTACGGTAGGTCGGCATAATTTTACCTTTTCTGAAAGGTTGAGATTTTCAAATTAAATGTAGTTGATTTTTGAATCCGCCAGTGCTACTTACATTCGCGATTTTTTAGAGAAGAATTCTGCGTTTGTTTGTTTTTTTACAAGTTCGCTTGATTGATTGGGAAGTTGTCTTCGCGATAACCAGTGCAGTATGATAGGTTCCCGCCGCACCGCGCACTGTATAAAGAATGCATGATTGAATCGCTGTAACCTGTGTATGCCGCGGTACAATTGCTGGTTGGTTAGACAAGTACAATGACAAGAAAACACCGATTTTTGCGAGGTCTATTGTATAAAAAGGAGCTACTATATATAAAAAAAAGGAATATAGCATCACGCATGCATGCGTGATGCTATGCTTATACAGTTGTACGGACAGCGTCCGCCAGTTTTTTGCTTGGGTCAGATAGTTTTTTAGTCCTAATTATTAATATATTATATATCCAAATAATATTTTGTAAAAAAAGAAAAAATGGGGAGTTGATTTTTATTTTTTGTTAAAATCAGAATTTACAAAAATCAGTTACTTTATTATCATCATTCACGGGTTCACTCCCAATCACACACAACGGTCACACATTGAACTACGGACTACCCGTCACACTATTCCCAAATTCTTCCCAACCATGCCAACCCAATCCTCGAAACCACTCCTAAACGGCCCGCGTACGAGTTGGTTCGCGTACGAGTTGGCTCGCGTACGAGTTGGCTCGCGTACGAGTTGGCACGCGTACGAGTTGGTTCGCGTACGAGTTGTCTCGCGTACGAGTTGACCAATCCGCGTACGAGTTGACTCGCGTACGAGTTGGTTCGCGTACGAGTTGACCTGTTTCCCTTGCAAGTCGACCATATAGCCGTAGTATTACGCCATAAAGTTATGATGGTAAAGCGTGCACTGAAGCGTATACGACGGCCAGATGAATTTTGCTACAAATTAAAACTAAAACTTGTAAAAGGTTCTGTTAAAATTAAGAAATGACTAAATTGCACCCGAGAAGTCATGCTGACATGCAAGTTTTGCAACTTTTTGCAACTAATTATTTTTTTAAAATAAGTTAAAATTTAGAAATTAAATGTAGCCCACTAGTAATCAGTATTAGTATGATTAGTAAAAAGTAATAACATTTTACATTGTGGCTATCATAATGGCAGCCGTAATGCAATTTTCAACTGCAACTTGCATTACAAAAATACAATTGTGAATCTAGCTACATCACTGCTATAACTACCCATTCAACCAGAGCCCTTTGGTAGCTCAATTGGATGTTGTTTACTAGTACAATGCTGAAGGTTCCGGGATGGAAACCGCGCTGCACATTTTTTGAAATTTGTTTTTTTTTTCTTATTGTAGTTTTCTTTACTTTCATGTTTCTAGTCAAATTATTTGTATTATTGAAGTAGGTTTTATTTTCTTCTTTGTAATCAGTGGCTTTGGAGAAATTTTTTTAAGGGGAAATAAAGTCCAAGAACCATTCAGTTGATAGTCTGGTTCCAACAGCCAAATATCCTGACATTGAATACTGTTAGGTCAGGGAACCACACGGTTGATATAGATTTGCAATAGCAGTTGAAAACTAAGTTACAGCTGCTGTAACAATAGCCACTGCCTACATATTAATACATTCATATTATATTAGGCATTGTGACTTGGAGAAAGAATACAGTATCCAGGCAGATGCTAATTTTTCATAATAATATCAGTGAAGATCAAGATGAAGATGTTTAAAATGTGGTACAGAGGGTAATTGCCATTGTTTTTTTTTTATTTTGTAGATTGTCAGAGACTGATCTTGCCCCTCTTGAGTCTAATTCTGTGAAGATTAAGATGCTTGCCTCTCCTATCAACCCATCCGATATCAACACAATTCAAGGTGATCATAGATCTCTATAAACGTTTTGGAAGGTGAAAGTGCATTTGTTTTTAACCATCAAAGACACAGAAATTCTCAAATAATCACTCTGATTCTTATTCTTATTAAATAACAAAATACAAAATTCTCCATAACAGGTATCTACCCAATCAAACCTCAACTTCCATGTGTCGGAGGGTTTGAAGGGGTAGGAGAGGTCACAGAGGTTGGAGGTCAAGTCACAGAGGTCAAACCTGGAGACAGGGTCATTCCAGCCGTTGGCACACTAGGTGAGCTGCAAAATCGATTCTTTTATTCCTCTTTGTTGGGTCTCAGTTTTGTGCTACATTTTATTTGTGAAACTGATAATAAAACAATTGTCTTGTTTTAAGAAAGTAGACACTATCAACAAAGTGAACTTCAAATAAGCATTCAAATGCTTTATTCCTCACTTTGGATTCTTGAGAAAGTGTTCCTTGAAACTTTTTTCTTTCTTAAAAAATGGTAATGTTTCTGCCAAAAGAACTGATTGCTTCACAAAATACACCATGGTGTATGGCAAGAGCGCCCTCTATTGAAGTTTTTTTTGTCAACTAAAACTTTATTTTATTTCTGTTTTCAGGGACATGGAGAAGTCATCTTGTCTGTCCTGTCAATCATGTGATGTCAGTACCTCTAGACACGCCCCCTCTGATTGCTGCCACATTAAAAGTCAACAACTGTACAGCGTTTCGCATGCTCGCTGATTTTGTGGAATTACAACCAGGTAAATTTAAAATTAGATTTAAATTTCATTCAGTGTATGCATTCATCAGGATTAATACTTTCGTTTCCATTGTTTTTTCTTTAGCAACATGAAAATTCTAATTATTTTGTAACTTCTGTGTATCATTCAACACTTCATCAGAGCATCAGAAAACAACATTTTCTGATTTTCGACAAATTACCAAAGATGCTTTCCAGCTGGCTGCAGTCTTTAGGTTGAGCACCCTGCAGGTTTGTAACCTCTCATGTGTCACTGCTGAAGTGGTATACTGCCCTCTAGTGACATCTGTCTGATAAGTTTCTTTCTGGTATGCTAGGGACCTAGTAATTTTTTTCCCCCCTGTGAAATGTTTGTGCTGATATATTTTACTTTTGAGAATACTACTGTATACAAATTAAGTTATTTGAATGCAATGATTTCCCTTTTTGTAGGTGACTCTGTGATTCAGAATGCTGCAAACAGTGGTGCAGGCCAAGCAGTTATTCAGATTGCTGCCGCACGAGGGCTCAAGACAATAAACATAGTCAGAGACAGGTACAGCATTTAAGAAGTTGGAAATCAGAATCCTGCTGCAGCAACTGTTTTAAGCTAAAATGTCCACCTTTCTGTCCGTTTTTTTCTTAAATCTATTTTTTTTTAAATCTTTTTTTTTTAAGTCTGTTTTTTAAAAAATGTTTCTCTTTTTTAAATTTCTGAAGATTGTAGTGTTTGATTTTTATATTCTGTATATTTTTGATATTGTACATGGTTTGTCTAATTTTGTTTATTTGGGGGATAATGGATGTGTTTTTCTTTCACCAGACCCAACCTGGATGGACTGATATCTCATTTACAAGATCTGGGAGCAACAGCTGTAGTCACTGAGGAATCTCTCAGAGGGCACGACGCGAATATCCTCAAAGTAAGATTCAGACTTCCAATGTCTGCCATTTTCCCAGCTGACATTATCATCAACAGGCTCGAGAACTCCTTTGAACTGTAGCAGCAGAAATGCTATCAAACATGAAATCTAAATTAGCTCTTATTTATTTTTATTTTTGAAAAATAAATTTTGACATTTTTATTAGGGTAATTTTGGTGAAGTCGCCATTGAACTTGAAGATACAACCACCCTCTTGATTCTAATACAGTGTACTTTTTTTTTCATACGGTCACATGATCATATTTTCTCACTGCCAAGAGAGGGCGCTTTGAGCAAATTTGTGTTTTTTGAAGAGTGGATACAAATCTTACATTAGTCTTTTGCGATTTTTTTGTTTTTGTTTTGTTTTTAGGAAATGCCCAAACCTAAACTTGCCTTGAATGCTGTGGGCGGCAAGAGTGCAATCATCACACTAGTCAAAGCTCTTGAGTAAGTTTCCATAATCGTTTTCGATTGAACATGTTGAACAAAGAAAGTGACAAAAGCAGATTGAAGCCTGCCATCTTTCAAAGACCATAAAAGTGTGGTGTTCAAGAAGTTGTAAGTTCACTTTACGCCAACGTCACTTTATTTTGTTCAACCAAAAATTGATATAAAGTAAAAACTAATTCTACTTGTTTTATATTGGAATATTTTCTATTTTACTCTAGATTTTTTTTTTAAAATGCCAAAAGCATTATGTATTTCCTGTAACTTTCTACTCACTTGTTAAGAATTCTTCCCTCCTCAATTTTCTTTTAATAGTAGGAATATTTTTACATTACTTTTTGCAGTGACTGTGGGACAGTTGTCACGTATGGAGGGATGTCTAAGCAGCCGGTCATGGTCCCAACAGGCTCATTAATATTCAACGATCTCAAGTTTGTTGGCTATTGGATGACCAGATGGCATGACAGGAATGCAGGAAGTAAGTAACCAATCACACTTCTCAATTACAGTCTAATGAATATGCAGTAATTCCATGTTGATGCCTATTGGAAGACTAGCTGGCAGGAGAGTATGGCAGTCTGGAGTAGCCAATCACGCTACCTAATTGCAGTCTCATGAATATTCAGTCATTCTTAGTATGGTGCCTTAATTGTTGGATGACAAGTGGACAGATAACACTTAAGTGAAGTTTTAGCCAACGAGTTTAGGGCGCAAAAACACTGTTCCCACAAGGAATGTTGGAGAATGTAAGAATATTCTAAGTTGTGAGATGGTCTTTATGTTTGGGTCACATGATACTGTTCTTTATTTGTACTAAAAGTTGTAAATTATTTAGTTTTCATCCACATTTTGAATTTTTGCATTTCATACCACCAGGCGAGGAAGCCAAGAGAATGATCACACAGATCTGCCAGTGGGGCGTCTCTGGCCAGCTGAGGGCGCCCCAGCATAGACTGGTTCCCCTGTCTGACTACGCCTCGGCCTTTGAAGCGGCTCAGCAGCCGTATACTTCACAGAAGCAGATTCTGACCTTCGAGGAGTGAGATGCATGAAAAAAGGTAAAAACTGCATTCACATGCATTTTGAAATATGGAACTCTTGCAGTGCAAGCAAATTTGGCCGAGAATTTCGGATAACGTGGATTTATTTTATGCCAAATCTTGGAAAGCCAATAAATGGCTAGACTGTATAATTGGAAAAAAAACAAAATTGTAGCTTTGTAGAAGAGTGACCACTCCTTTGGACACAATTTATTTTTATCGGCAAAGGAGTCGAGAAAATGAAAAAATCCATCCGCCGTCTTTGGAACAAGCTCGATCAGATCTCGGAAGCTGAAAGGCAATGAATTCGTGTTCATGCATGAATCACGTGATTGTGCCATGTAATTTCTAGAAGTAGTGATTTGAGTAAAAAAATATTAGGTTTTTTACCACAGAGACCCCATGATGACTTTTGACCCAATTTGGTCATGTGACATGTTGGAGCAGGGCTACTGATACTTATGACAAAGTTTGGTTAACAAATTTGGTTGAAATCGGTCAAAATATGTAGGAGCAACAGACAGTGTCAATGCTTGTTACTATTACTAACGGACTAACGGAGAGACCATGATGATTTGTTGAGTTGCTATCCCGCAGCTAAATAAAAGGGGGAGGGCGTCTCCTTCATTTTAAAAAAAAAAACCCAGATAAAAAAAAAGTGTGTTTTTTTGGTACTCAGTCTTATGGTCTTTGTGTCTGGCTTGACTGGGCTTGTCAAGAACTGGCTACATTAGAAGAAAATTCAACTCCAGCCTTAGGCCAAGATCATGAATGGGGCCTTGAATTAAACCCACAAGAGACTACGACTTTGGTCTATGGTTCTTACTCAAGCAAACGTGATCTACAAACAAAAGACTCAATGCAAGCCAGATGTTTAATACCAACTTTTTTTTATTCTCAGTGACTTTACAATAATAAACCCATGTTCAAATATCAAGTGAAATATTCTTCTCAAAGAAATGTGCATAATGAATATATTAAATAAATAACGTGACCAACTTCTTCTACAGGTTACCGATAAATAGAACTCCTCATTAACAAATATTCACATAAATTAGTTTGTCCAAGAAAGGAAAAAAAAACAACCAAATCACTCCCTAGTTTCTGTTTCTGTAATACTACGACTTTCTGTAACAATCTTTTCGTAAAATTAACGCTTTAAATCTGTAGTAATTCTGTTTTAAAATTTTGTACAAAACCCCACAAAAGTCATAGCAAAATTGTCAAAAAAGTGGAAACGGTAAAATGTTTGAGAACATGCAAGGCTAACTTGTAATTTTTTTTTTTTCGTTTTTTTTTTCCTGAAGAGTTGAACTTAGAAATTTCAAAAGTTGACTTGAGTTGATAAACAGACAAAATAAACTGAACAAAACTTACTGAGATATAAACTTTTTCCAACAAGAAAAAAAAACAAATCCCCTTTCAACATAAATTTTAAGAGCTGTGAAATAAATGTACAGTTTACAATACAATAGTCATATAGAGTCTGAACATCAAAAATCTACAATGATTTCATATACAAGGAAAAAATTTCACTTTTTTTCTTTGGACTTACGAATAATTATAACTGCAAACGGTTGCTTGGGCAATTTAAATTTTTTTCTTCTCATTTTCTTTTCAACAATTTATTTATTATTTGTTAAATTATTAACTGGCCACAAAAAGCTCAACATTTTTCTTAGTATGGTCACATATTTATGGGAATTAAACAATTTTTCAAAATAAAATGAAGCTTTAGTAAACATAGTGCAAAATTTTCATAATTTTTTGTCTCTTTTGGGTTAAATTACTTTCAACCATAAATAAATGATGACAACTTTGTCAATCATACTGGACGGTTAATTAAGGTATAAATGTAAATAGATGACCCAAAATAACCACTGGCTTGTTAGGATTTTCATTTGTATCTTTAAGTATATTTTGTCTCGTCTTTGTCAAACTTCTTTTAGAGCTTAAAAAGTTAAACACGGACTCAGAGGTGTCAACAACAGCCAACAATTGGGTATAACTTTTAAATCTGCATGTTTTCGGACAAATTATGGCGAATTTTTACCAAGACTTTTCTCGTAACATGAGTCGTATAATGTTTCGAAACTACACCAGAAAGAGATTTTGAACTGTATACATTCAAATAACATAAAAGCATCGATAAGAAAAAACAACAACAAAAAACCTGACCAAATATACCAATTTACAACGTGTGTTGCACTCTTTTGTTTCTTTTTTTTTTACAAAATTGATAATTATAGTATCACGTTCTGCAAACATGCATCCCTACAGCACACCGTACAAATTACTTTACAAAATAGTGCCTTTGTGCTTCTTTGAAAACTAGCGTGATTCTCAAAGTCAACAAGACCAAAAAATTATTGTATCAAAGAGTTTTTTTTCTTAAAGTCGTCGTTATCTGTACAAATCTTTACAAGTACCTCTCTCACAGACAAAAAAATAGGACAATCTTTCTTGAACTCTTGCGTTATGTCACAGAGAAAAAATGTAAATGACCTAATCTACATATTTGAAACCGCTGTAGCTGCGTTGAAAATCGTTTTAATGCTTCGCGTTTTGTGGCATTGCTTTCCCAGCTAAAACGGTTCTCCGTATTAATTTGACTGCATTTCCAACACCAAATATATGAAACACGTATTTATACATGTTTCAGGAACTCAGTTGAAAAACACAGTCAACATGTTGCACAAACTGCCGGCCCTGTAACATGGATAACTTTTCTATGGCGTTTCCATGACAACCCAACACCTGAGTCTATAACAGTATATATGTGTATTGCACAGAAGGAAAAAGTCCGCAACAAAAAAATAAATACTTAATATTAATGCTATGGTAATACTGCAAGAAAAAAAAAATATGCAAGATTCAACCACTTTTCTGACTTCTTGAGTTGTGCTGGAAGATTATAATATTTTTAATAAATATGTGAAGTGAAATAAATATTACTATCAAGAATGTAAAAGCTGAGATGTTATATGGTCTGTCCTACATATTTTCCCAGTAAATGCCAGTGCATTGTAATTTCTCATTGCGTATATGAACAAAAGGTTACTGCCTACACAAAATACACAGAAATACAATAATCTGATCAAAACCCTTAAATTATGGCAAACTTTTTGAGAAACAAAATCAAATTATATATAATTTCAGAATTATAACCAAATTTATGTATATGGAGTTGTTAATTTTACTGTTAAAGAAAATCTTTCAAGTCTAAGTTGGCAAAATGCTTTTTTTCCCTTCATAGTTTCGTAATGAAATTTTCACTATACATTTTGATAGAATACCTCACGAATGATAAATGTCAGTGTCCAAAATTCTTAAGTTCCCACATGCAGTTATATTGATTAATTGATTAATTTGTTTTTCATTTTTTTTTAATCTGATTTTGCAGAAATACATCCACAAAAGAATTTTAAAGATGTCCGAAAATATTGAAAAAATAATGCCTGAAAATTGTGAACTTTTTTTTCAGTGGATAACCATGTTTTGTATGCAATCATACTGGCTCAGAAACAATAGCGCTGAAGTTGGGTTATATGACTATTTCTTTGGTACCCCAATCGATTTAATGAAGTTTTCCATAGTAATTTCATTCCATTTCACTAGATTTGTCCACCATATTGCACTCGTGTGATTTTTTCAGTCATTTTTTAGCATTTTCTTTCATTATTTTCTCCATACATCTACAGATATGCAGTACTCAGTGCAGCTGTGAAACCACAAAACAACATGTGTTCAACTTAAATCTCAAAACAAAACAAAAACAAAAAACCTCAAGTAAAGCAATACGCTATAAACATAAATAGAATATTTATTTAAATACTAACTTTGACCCAAAAAAAACTGTGCTAAATTCCTCGTCTGCGAGGAAAATTAAATGCTAATTTTTTTTTTTTTTAAATCTTTGGGCAAGAAAATGAAAACTCAAACGATGCTGATACAAAAAAAGCAATGCTTTTTAAATAGTAAATATAATATCAATAACTTACTGTTTGTTACGCGGAATAAATTTTTATAAGATCTGTACCTTTAAACGTTGAAAGAGTTACAGAAAGAAGAAAAAAAAATGAAACCAAAAAAAACCCTGACGTATAAATATTCCGTTGTCCTACGTGTACTTTCTTGTGAACACTGTGAGCTCCACACGTCTCTACTCACTCAAAGATTGTCATGGCCAGTTATGGAATTTTGCCCTGCCCAAAGCTATGTGTACACATAAGACTTATCTGATTAAAATTAGAAGCCTTTTACTGAGGTGCGCGTAGGTGGTACGTGCACACTCTGTGCTCCTTTCACCAATTTTTTTGCGCGGCGTCGCACCTTAAACTAAGAACGCAGGCAACTTGTGCGTGAATGTGGCACCACTTCACTAACAGCGATTGCTGTATTAGTTTTGTATACTTGTAAATATGACTGCTCACAACACAAAACGAAGTAAATTGATGAAAGTTAACTTACGAGATGCAAAGTGAAACGTTAATAAGGCGTAACGGGACCAAACCGTAACTCCGTAAAACTGGAATTTTTCAGCTTGGCTTGGGTTTTCTCAGACTCAATCAGACTCGTTTGTTGTTTCATCTCCTCCCCGTACTCCATCCTCTCTACGGCTCACGCCGAGACTCTCTACTCTCAGTTCAGCTGCAGGAGCATCTGTTCGAGTTCCTCCGCCGATCGGTACAGGAACGCCGCCGACTCGCGGTAGCTGGTGATCAGCTGTCGGATGTTGGCAATTTCCGTGGGGCTCAGCTGGGGTTTTGAAGGCAACTTTTTCACACTGAGGTCCGTCGGGCCTGAAAATGGTCAGGAGGGAATATTTGTCAAATGAGAATTGTGGTTTTGCATGCTGGGGAGTAGAACCATGGACAAGTTTTGTGGATTCACAGTGTGAAATGACTGTCTTGAAAATGAGAAGTGGTTTCGGAGATTTTGATCAGTATGCCCCCACCGTATTTAGTGACAGGAGAATTTAGTGACAAGTTAAGAACATGTTCCCCATGTTGAACCAAAAGATGTCTTCCAGATACAATCCAAAACCCGACGTGCTTCTCATAAACACTAGACCTTTTTTTTGTATGGCCACTCACTCACCGTTGGACATCTGTGCATGTTGAGAAGGCTGCATCATGTGTGGTTGGTGCGGGGCGATACTCCCATAGTACGGGTCATGCGCGCTGACGCCGTTTGCAAAGCGGTAGTCCACGGGCCGTGGCGAGGCGTGCTTGGGCGACTCCTCGTACGTGACGCGGGACGGCGGAGTAGGCTGGGACTGATGGGGCGATGTCTCCATCCGCGTTTCAGTCTGCTAAAACCAAGAAGAGAAAATAACATTGAATTAACAGTGTCATGGAAAACACCAAGTTTCATCAAGAACTGTTATTAACCATAGTTCCACTAACCATCATCTAATGCGCGCTAGTCAACGCTAGTTGGACTAAACTCGTCGACTGTCTGCGACCAGCCTTCAGTTAGTCATGTTGCTAGTTACCGTTTGCAACGCATATTGCAATGGGTGACTGCTCTATGTTCCGACACCCCTATGTTCCGACAACCTAGATTGTGTTACTCCCGGTTAGGGTTAGGGTTAGGGTTAGGGTTAGGGTTAGGAATAGGAATATGTGCAGTCGGAACATAGGGGTGTCGGAACATAGAGGTGTAACCTTGCAATGTACAGCAGGGACCCAGGATCATCGAGTTCTTTTGACATCGTTTGACTGATTCAACCAGAGATGTTTGCACTTGACTATCAGTGCAAGGGCCCAGTGTACGTCACAATGCAACCACTGGTCAACCATGTTGCTCAAGGATGGCAACAGCTGCGACTGGGTCTCTACCTTAGAACCTGTACAATTCTCCTCATTCTCCAAGTCCTTTCCTCCAATTTCTAAGCCTGCGTACGTCTTCATTTTCCTCTACTCAGACACAGCACTTAGTCAAACTACTGATGAAGTACGCACACTATAAATAAACTTCTGGGAATAATCAGAATGATTCAAGACTGCAGACCCTGTCAGTATTTTTTTTCCCGTGGCACCTCCCAAAGTGACACGATCGCGGCTCGTTAGCCAATCGTCCTGCTTTTAACGACTGTGTACACGACTCACTCCCACTTAAACCACCGCGAGCAGATGAGCTCCCCGTGATGATTACTATTTCCTCCTCTGACGAATTATTGTCTAAGCGTTAATCGTGGCACTAGATTAGCTTACGAGCACGTCCATTTGAGTCATGATTCTGAGCAGACGAGCTCCATGCCATAATTGCTTTAGCGCTGTCAAGTTCAGATGACTTAGTTTCTCATCCTGCAGTACCTATTACCATCCAGAAATCAGTGAGGGGAGTCAGGTTGGCGTAGCAGTACTTCCCTCGCCTTCCACCGCTGTGACCCGGGTTCGTATCCCGCCTGGGCCAATATGTGGATTGGGTTTTCAGTCCCTACCTGATTCCGTGGGTTTTCCCCAGAATATCCTTCTGGGATTTTCCTCCCACCTCTAAAACTGTAATTTCTTCTCATTGTCTTCTCTCCACAGGTTTCTTCAGGCTTGCAAGCCAGAGTGCCTAGAGCGCTTGTGAGGAATCCTTGTTTTCATTACCAGAAATAAAATAATAATAATAGTGCCTGGCATGCAGTGTGATCAATTCTTGGAAATTTCTATTCTATTCATATAGTTCTTGTCATGTCGATTCCAGTAAGCCAGTTGGGTATTTCAACTGCGCATGCACACAGTGATATGGGTCACCGGGATAATCGAACGCTCATCGAAGGCGCATGAACGCGCAAGGAGACGGTCGCACGACACCCGTGCGCTAATTACAAGCACAATGGGTGTTCATGAAACATTGCGTAACATTGCGTCAGCGATTTTATCCCGAATGACCTGACCTGGCTTATTAGTTGCATAAGTCTGTGTCATTGGACAAACGCCATCTTTAAATTGAAGCTCAATTGATTCAAACTCCTTCAGGATACAAATACAGGACTAGGTAAATAAAGCCATGTCAAATTTCCATCTTTCTCTCCCTCAACCTCAAGAAAAAGACTAAGTGAACACAAGTTTCTGACAGTACCACATTTAGGCTAAAACGCAAGATGTTCATCTCAAATTTTCAAAGTCAGGTCCATTTTAAAAAAATCAGGTGTATTACGACAGATTATTTGACCCCTAACTACCTCCCCCCATCACACCTACAATATCTGTCCAGAGCCAGCTCTCAGGGGCAGTAGCTGCAAGGTTCTCAGCCTGCAACTGACCTCCTTTGGTTCTTTTCACGAGTTATCTTGCCAAGCCTTAAATTTCCTCTCATGTCAACCTGTGATGGCTTCTTGGCAAGGACTGTGGATTTATTTTCCCACAAATCGTTGGCTCCTTGACCAGAATGTCAACATTTGAACAGAAACAGCAAGCAGAATTTCTGTACATCCCACACAAATTTTAGAGATTGTTTTTCATTTAACAAACCACAAAGGGAAAACTGAGTAGGTTAATAGGGCTCAGTTTGAAGAGTTCTGGTACGATGCTCTGGAGCCACAGAGCATTATTATTCAGACATTTTTCCATGTTAACCATTACCATTTCAAAAACAAAGGACGATTTAAGCTAACAATCCTCTACGGTTGTTTATGGAGTTTCATTCTTTTAAAATTGTGTAATTTGTTGAAGTTGATTGAACTCTATTTGCCCTTTAGAATTAAAATACAAAATGAGTTACAGGTGAATGACTGAACGTCCCAATTTGCGGGCAAAGGTCGATGCCTCGACGTTCTCAAGAAACACGTCAAAGTGCAACGTTGTATTCATTCATCAAGTCCACTCACAGACTGAGTTGGTTTCACGGCTCCCCCCTGAACCCCCCTCCGGCCGTCCGACACCTCAAGCGGGACGGATCACCGGTTACGTCGACCCTGCGGTCCTTGGCCGTGTCACAGGAAATGCCCCTCAATTTTTGGGATTCGCGGCAGCCGCGTCAATACAGGAAAGCGTCGCAATTAGCACGGGAAATGATGGCGCGGTGTGACATAACGCCGCGGTTACTTGCGCGGAGATAGGGGGACAGGTATAGGTGTCAGCGTTGACTGGTATCCCTCGACAGACACCGGTGATTCCACATAACTTTAAGGATGGTTGGCCTTTTATTTCCTGTTACTATCACTGCTGGAATTTTTCTGCTTACGGACAAAGGCAATGTGACCGCAAAGGCAATGTGACCGCAAACGCAACGTGACCTTACAAGCTGGTGCCTAAACATGTTTTCAAACTCCCTACTGATTAGTGTGGGGACTTCAAGGAATCTGACAGAGCCAAACTTTTAAAACCTTTGCTCAGATCCCCAGCCAAAAAATAAAATCTCACAAATTTTATTCCGTTTTTAACAAACGGAGCCAATCTGCCACTGCTTCAAGGAAAGAGTAACTCACATTTTAATTTCAGGTTGCAAAGTTGCAGAAAATTCACCACTTTTGAACTCAGGTAAACTTAAAAAACAAAAACATGTCAGCTATAATTCAAACTGTAATTGACTTCAATCAATACCATAAACTAAGACAAAGTTGACAGACATCTTACCGTGTGTCCGGCTTGCATGAGCTCCATTCTTAACCTCTTGGCGTTCTCGCTCTCACTCTCACAAGCAGCTGCTAAGATCTGCTCTGCTCTGGCCGAGGTCAGATGAGGGGGTGTCGGACGCATCGTCTGTCAAGTTGCAGAAGAAAAAAATCTGTAAATTTCCTCTCAAGAACCTTTACATCTATACAACTGTGACGATACTGTGGATTTTTTTTTGGGGGGGGGGGACTGATTTAACATGATTTTGATCTACCTTTAATCCCTTTATTGAAAAGAATTCATTTCAGCAAATTACAAAAAGGAACTGGGGACAAAACGGGCCTGAGATACCATACGCTATCAAAGAGTTACGCATGCAGTAAATAGTAAACTCTTGTTAACAGCAGCTAAAAATACAGGCAGTCAAAAAACAGATAACATTGAATGAGCAGTGTGACCAGCAAAATTGGTAGCGACACTATGCTACGCACTGTTATGCACTGATTGCAAGAGCGCCCTCAACGAGTTAAGCACGCAGCAAATACCCAACAGTACCACTAGCAAAACTGGATAACCACACAACACTTATACACCAACTGACATCTTCACGAAACCACGTACACACAAAGAGAAGAGTTGAGTTGATTTACATTTTGGGAGCGTACCGAGTCAAGCCCGTTCTGATCACGGTGGCGTTTCATACGGCGGCAAGACTTGAGGTAGGTACGGATGCGTTTGCGGGCTCGCTCGTGGAACTCGGGGAACTGTCGGTAGCAGGCCTCGATGATGGCCTGAATCTTCTCCTTAGGCTGTTTGGAGATGGGCACCATACGGTCGAGATTCTCGTCAATGAAGAGGCGGACGAACATCTGGTTGGAAGAAAAGGGACATTTTTATCAAGTTGCAGTCTGAAATTCTTTGTGACTTCGTAAAGACGAGAATAGGCTTGCTAGCTGAGCTGTGCCAAAAAGTCCTGGTTTAGGATATTATTTGTACCCGGTGACTCAGTGACTCAGTCAGTCAGTGTCTCGGTTACTCAGAGGTCAACATGCTGGCTCTTCAAGTCCAGCAAAATACATATAGCATGTAGCTGCTCTTCGTAGCTTTCTGTATGGATTTAATTGTATGTATTGACGTCAATTATACGAGTCAAAATAGATGTTTCATACGAAATCATGCTTGATTTGGTATTTGTTGGGTTTAGCAGACTGGTTGAGGAGCCTGATTGCTGCATCTGGAAGGAATGAACCGGGGGAAATATGAATTACAATCGCTTGATTCCAGTCGCTGACACACACAGCTCCCTAGGACCACTGACAAATACCAGAGCGGAAAAGTCAACCCCTCCCCTCTCCAACTTTCTGTCTTTCTTCAGCCCCTTTGCTTTTGAGATGCCAAAGAACGACGGCCAAAACTTGTCCCCCAAAAACTATATTTCAAATTTTCCCAGCTTTCTTCCCTTCCACTTTGTCCGTTTTTATGGTGGCGTTGCAGTTCTCCGTTGAGGCACATTAATATTGCACAGACACTCTGAAGAGTCATCGCCAGTCGGATGACAATGAGTATATCATTCACTAGAGAACTGTTGCAATATCTTAACCCTTTCTCATGGTTTTCGTCTTTCTCTCATTTTTTTTTTTTTTTGGACTCCTTGTGTGTTTCATCACGGCTCCCGCCCCCTTCCTTACGTCACATCTGGAAGTGATCTCGGGAGGAAATTGTATTCATTCTCAACGGCAAGCGATACGAAAGCCTGTCGTTGAGTTTAGCAGTATCAGGACCTGATTTCACCTGCTTAGGTGTTGAGGACAGGGGAAAACAGAACTCAAACTTGCAAATTAAAACTCTGCGAAGGTTTCAGTGAATTTCTGCAAATCTACTTCGTCACATTTTAGTTCATCTTAATCAAAGAAGTTGATGTGTTTTTGTTTTTTTTGCAATTGTGTTCTTCTAAATAAAAGGCAAGGATTTCAATTTTTTTTTTCTTGGAAAGGAAAAAGTCTGGAGAGTCTTACGTTGAAGGCCTTGAGTCTCTCTGGGTCGACCCCGGGCGTTGTCTCGTTGAGTTTATCACTGTCGTCATCACCGTCGTCATCATCATCGTCATCCTTTGTCACCGAGAGATCCTCGGGTGTGTCCCGTGCCCCATCCGGTGGCGGGTGGACTGACGTGCCGACCAGGGAACTGTAGCCGAACCCGTTGGACGAGGTCTGGAGTTGGTTAGGGGCAAACAGGAATTCGATTTAGATGATACAGAGAGGGGAAAAAAGGAAAGGAAAAAAAAAATCTTGCCAGCAGGATCATCCGTGAGTAAACGGTGTCGGTGATAGCAATGATAAGTAATGGATGCCAGGTGTTCCGTTGGGGTTTATGGGTTGAAAGTGATTTCAGGAGGGGGGGGGGGGGGGGGGGGGGAGGGGGTTGAGATTGATGCACATGGGTCAAAGGGCAATCTATCAGACAATGCCACAGTTGCCAATCGGGGTATACACATAAACTTGATTAATCGGGGTAGATATAAAGCGTCACCCCAATGAGATAACAAATTGCGTCTTGACTGACAACTGTGTTGGGGTCTTGCCAAAATTCAATACAGCGCAGAGATTCACCAATCAAGATATACACAAACTAGCTCAATCAGGGTAAATATAAACAGCCTCGCCCCCATATGAGATACATAATGCGTCTTGACTGATGACTGTGTTTATTGGCAGTTGGAGCCGGGTGTATGAATGTACATCACTCCATCAAGGCAACGGAAACTCTGGCAGTTGAGATATGACAGCTCAATAACGCCCTAAATCTGTCTTCATGTGGGGCACAAATCTTGGTTTAATAAGTTACACTTAAATTTGCTGGATGGCACTGACCAACTTTTTCTCCTTTTTTTTCAGAAAAGTCATTTTTTGTTTTCAGAAAGCCTGTAGAACATCCTATGTGTGTTTTTCGTATTTTGTTTAACACTACTTTGTGAACAGAAGACATCAACAACTTTTCCTAAACTGTTATCGCAAACTTGCAATTCATAGTCGGGATCTTCTTGTTAAGATCTGAATACATGGAATTACATGTAAAAATCAATGAACGTAAAAATGCTGAACTGTTTGTGCCATGCCTCAACTGGACTATGTCTAGCAATATACCAAAGCGGCACAGAAACAACAAAATGACAAAGCAAAAAGACAACAACAACAACAACAAAAATTGGAGATCAACTAAAAAAATTGAAGCATTTGGGTAATCGGAGGCAAGGTGCATACATCCACAAAGCCACAAGCACTGCAGGGCCGCACAAGAGACATCGAGAAAATTCTGGCCGAGGGTCAGCTGGACTCACTGTGTATCGCTGCGGGTCATAGCCACCAGCGCTGCTGTAACCTTTGACCTCTGAACTATAACCCCGCTCATCCTCCTCCTCATCCTCCTCGCCATCCTCCGCCTGGGATTTGTCCTCCTGATTTAATTCAGGGGGTGCCCGGCCTAGGGCCGTGCGGGCGCGGGTCTCTGTCATTACCTGAGTGTCGGGTTCGTGCGGAGCTTTCCGTTGGCCGTCCTCTGGTGCGGGCGACCCCGGTCTTGTGTTGTTGTTTTTCGCTGAACTCTCTTCTGTAAGCGAAGAGAAATATTCCACAGTTAAAAAAAAAAATAGTTTAAAAAAACAACAGGGCAAAAGTAAATATTGCTTGCGCACCAGTGATTTCAGAGGTGGATGTATGTGATTGCGGAATTTTTTTGGACATTATACAACTGTAATACAACGTAGGCTAAATTTATAGATATCCTGAATGTGTAATGATGGTATCGGAGTACATACTGATGCAATAACTTAATATTCATTAGTTATATATTCATAGCCTTTGTCCACATTTTTTTATACTGTATTTTAGTCATTTTGTGGTTACCTATAATCATATCACAAGGCATGATCATTTAAACATTCTTAAAAGTAGACAAACCCAATGTTACATTCATGAACAGACACAGATGAAGCTTTTTATAAACTTGTAAATTAAATACATTCAATTTCAATTTCTTTAATCTATTTACTAAGTTTCTTTTACTATTTGTCAGGGAGTGTATTTTTTTGGTTTCACACTGAAATGAAAAATAAGTGTGTGGTGCGGTCTATCAGGACAGGGCAAAAAATAGCTTTATATCGAATGGATATATTCAGGATAAACTCGGGTTCATCTGGGGTTTAGAGTTACTTCCTGTGTTCTGAGTAGTGCTCTGTGGCCAACCGAGATGTGGCAAATGTTTGTCTTGCCGGATTAAATACTGCGAATTGACATTTACACACTAAGCAATGCATAATTTCATTTGGTCTTTTTCATAGCAGCACAGTCAACTGCATAAAAGATTCTGAATCAGGACTGTTTGTTTTTCAATAGCCCGACTCCGTTTTTAAGGGGAAAAAAGGAAATCAGTGCGTAATTAACAAGTGTAATTTTCATATTGAAGCATAAACACATGTTCCTGAGATTCAAGATACACTGTCCATGCTGTTCCACACATTAAATTTTTGTGTCTTCCAGCAACTTTTCAAATGTTTAATTTTCAAAGTTAACTACCCGTGTAGTTGTATTTGGGCAACGCTCTGAAAAAGTTTTACTTAGGATTGCTTTTGTCCCTACAGCATATGTCTGAGATATTGTCGGCAGCAAATAATTCTACAGTTGTGCAGTAATTATTCCATAATTAAATAATTGCAGCTTTGTGTTTCATTCTATGTCACATTCAAAAGAGAATAACTTTTGTGTTGCTAAAAAAAAAAAAAAAATGGGGGGGGGGGGTGAAATTTGGAAACAGCATGGATAGTTATGCCATGTTGGCTGGGGGTCCTGATGAAAATGAACAAATAGGTGATGCTTTTTTATGTAATTTTGAAAGAAGTTTGAGTTGAATCTTATGACAAATCAGAGAGGTATGACTTAGTCCAGAGGGGATATCCGGGCCGTTTCTTTTGTGAGATGGCATTTTATGAAAAGAGACAATAGCCATCACCGGTACTTTTGGAGAGGGTTGGGCAGAACCCAAATAGTGGAGCTTGTATTTTACCTTTCTTAAGGTCTAGAGGTTGGGGCGTTATTCTGTCACTGTCTGGTCTGCTGACTGTGTCTTCATTACTGGGGGCGTGGAGCGCTGATTCTGAGGCGTAGCTTGGCTCACTAGTTTCTGTGTCTGCACTTGATAACGAAGCATCGTCCTGTATGAAAAAAAGAAAGAAATATTGATCATGAAATAATATATAGGCCTACTTATGAAGCAAAATACTTCTGGTTCCCCAAAATCTGTAATATCACACTTTTGTGTGACATTACAATTTTAAAAGAATGTAATGGTGAGATGCGTTATAGCTTTACAACACAAAATTAGATTCTGCAGAGGTTATTAAAAAAATGACTTCACTCTTGCAGTGAGATCTATTTTGCATTGTGTTGTTGTAAGCATCGACAACTGACAGGGATAATCCCAAGTAATATTAATAAGTGTTGCTTAAGGCAGTGTGAGGTTGTGGGATTGGTGGATGGACGGGAAAATCTGAGGCCGACTGAAAAGAAAAAGGGGGGACTTGGGGGACTTGTGAAAAATACACTTTCCTCTTCAGTGGATTTAGAATTTAAGGGGAATTCCCAGTTTGTCGTTGTATGGTCACACTTGAACTAGAGTGAAAGCCATTTCCTGGAGGAAAAAACCCTATGCGTTCTGTAAAGAAGGGAAAGTATAAACATGATAAAGAAACCCTGACCAGTCTTCCAATTTATTGTATAGGGCCTAGGTCTTAATAACGTGTGCGTGCCATGGCCATGGACCGGACCGAACCAAGGCAAGGCAAGCAGGCAAGGGAAAGGAAAACCAGCCTTAGGGCCTAGGCCTACATATTTTCTATATTTTTCAGCACCATGTGAGCCATCCACGCTTGTGGAAATTGTGGAAGGCATCTGTCAAGATTCTGTAATGATGCGCATACAGTTGACATGGTTGACATAACGTTAACACGACGTGCATTTCATCGAACACAAACACATTTTGGTTAGGCCTAAGATTTAACTTCTCAATGTCATGAAGACGACCGACGTTGAACGTTATTTTTTAATCACAAAACAGACTACGAATATGAATAATTGTTCTCACCAAACAGATGTTTAAGTTAAAACTCTGATTAAACATCATCACATTGATTCTCGGTAAACAATGAACTTCGTTCGAGCCAGGGAAATAGCAATAATTTGCGACGATCAATGTCAAACAATGCCAAAGTTTTCTAGTTCATCTCGGTTTGTTATGGCCGAAACAAAACGATATCGCTCCAGCTTCTCATTGGTCAGTTTGTTAAGTTAAAACTTTTGACCAATCAACGTCGAGGAGCGATTTCTTTCTCGTACAAAATACCAAGTGTGATAGCTAGAGAGGGCGCGCTTGATTTTTATGTGCGCTTAAAACGTATGGTCGTTTATTCATTGTTGAATAAAGTGCTTAATTTAGGCCAATTGTGTAATAATTTTGTTCGAACAATACCTCAAATGTTGGCTAACGGTTTGAAACATCTTCAAGACGAATCCGCCTTATATCATAATTTTGTTATGGGAAAACACCGGCGTCAAAATAAAAGCAAAACGGCTGTGACAGGACTTGTAAGGAGAAAACAAGTCTATTTTTGTCTCAACGGTGCGTATCGGCTTATACCCAAGTCGCCTTCGGTCGATAGAAGGTAAAAATCCCTTAAACCGTACAATTTTTATTCCCCAGCTTGCACATTTCTGGACAAGACTTTCGATTTTTCTGTACATACCCTGCGGGTTTAACGTGGAGAACTCGTAAGTCAGTCTTCCATAATGCATGCAGTAGCGGACGTAGATACAACGAACGTGATTTTTAGAGGTCCTTCAACCCGTGCACCGTGCCCGAATCGTCTCGGTGCTGGATTTACACGCGGCAGAAAACGCGCATGTGCACGCGCCAGAGCGCTGTGCTCGGAGGCATTCCCATCACGAGGTGTGAAACTGAGCACGGGGTAATGCGGTTCGGCTGCTCCTAGTAGTTCATGTAGAGCACAAAAACCATGACACGGACAGCTGCAAACAGGATGTATATTCTTTGGGAATATTTTTACAGACGACCGATGCAGGGATATGTTCAATAGTGAAAATCACCGTAAAGAGGCAATACTGTCATTGGACAAAAAAGATCCAACCTAGTGAGCCCCCTGGCGTTCAACTTTGTAATATTTTAATGTTTTATGATAACTCTATTTTTAAACTAATCAAGACTGTCACATGAGGCGGCTGAAACCCTAATCATTCCAAAAATAGTTGAAATCCTGAAGATAGCGCCTGTATAGGTTTCCAAATAAAGATGTAAAAATTAATAATTTTGCGTCAGCGAACTTCAGGTTAAAATATTAAAAGTTTGTATTAAATCACAGCAATATCTGATTTTTTTTTTAATCGCTGCAAGGTGAGATAGCCCGGCAAGGAAACACCTTTGTGTATGTTAGAGTAACCTTAAAATTTACGCAAAATGCCAAACGCACTGTTAAATATATTGACAATAATGCATGACTTGTTAAATTGCGGACGCTATGGGCCTTGTCGGCATGAGAAACCAAAATCCGGGTACTGTCTCGCGACCTTCACGAACGCGCCGCTCGATTTCGCACCGTTATACCCTCTGCTTTGTGAAGGTGTCCGGCCTGCACATTCTCCATGTAGCATACATATCACGGGGAGAGAAAATGGACTTAAATTTAGTGGAAAAGACAACTTGCTGAACCCCCCCCCCCGGCCGTGTCGTCAAGAGGAGGTCGATTTTGGTTAATTCCTCCATTCCACCAATTTAACCACGCAAGGACGAAAGGTATGCATGTGCATCATTCCGGGTAGGACGCTTTGGGACATATCGACACGAAACGACACAGTTCTTGAAAATGGACGACAGCGATTGGGTTGGCCTTCTGGGAATGTCGTGAATTGACGACGTGTGAGACTGCAGATGAAAAATATTATACTGTATAATATCTACTGGTTTGAGGCGAGTCATTTTTTTTGCCTGATGTGGTCAATTAACATCTATAGGATGTGTTCTCAGATTTGCGATTATTCTCGTAAATTGTGTGTTTTTTCCTTCTTCCCTGATATATTTATTTCTCAAAAAATGCGATCGATTGGAAGAAAAATGAAAGTCATTCTCTGTCGAGAAATTGATTTATTCAAACGTCCGGATAACAGTAGTATGCAATGATACCAAGGCTTCAAAATATACTCGAGAAGTTCGTTAACAAACCAACTTTGTTCATACGGAAAAAAGCAATCCATTTTGTCCTCAGTGGGCGTGTACTCTGTATATTAGTTCAACTATAATTATATAATGTTTTTTATTGACATAAACTTCAGCTGTGTGTAATGTCCTTTGTCTTTCGTTTTGCTGATAGGCCTACCCAGGTTGAAAGTCCATTACTAAAACCAAAGTGGAGTTCACTGGAATCATAATGAATTATACGATCGGTGCAAAAACAAGTCACAGGCCTTGCAGCATGTTTCTGTTTTCCACCATCGCATCGATTGATAAACGCTCACTTGAATTAATTCAGTAGATTTTGTCATTTTTTTTTTCAAACTGATATCGCGATCTTTCGCGCGGAACCCCCCAGATGGTCTATTGTCTAGACTTCCCACAGTCGCCGTATGGTCAAAGGTTTCTGTGAGTGTTGGGTTATGAGAAGAATGGATCTTCAATTAATTTTCCTCTTTTCAGTAATTGACATCTTAGAGACGTCCGGCTGGTATCAGTCCAGTTTCATCGTGCCAGAACTGCCCGGGCGGTGTTTACCCTGGGCCGAAACACGCATGCTCAAAAGCGAGATTTGCGTTTTTGGTACATCTCTCAGTCAAACTAAAGTGGTTCCCTAATTGGCAGGCGCATGCGTAGTTGAGACCAAGGTAATCTCTGCATAGAAGTAAGCTTTGCTTTCCACACCGTATGGTCACGGTTGGTAGGGGGGGGGGGGTTCGTGCTCAACCATTGAAAACAAGACTCGTGGATAATAATAGGACGGCCGGGCCATGCAATACAGTATAGGTCCGGGTTATCGTATGGTATCGCCATTAATTAAAAATTTCCAACTCCGAAGTTGAAGAAGCTGTTATCACGTATTGCGGACTGGAGAATCGCTTTCATCAAGGTTTTTTTTTCATTTGGATGCTAAACCCATTCACCTTATGATAACTCGCATACCGAGACCGCGTAGGCCTACCCCTATACCGCGTTTGTGGAGAGACATCAAGCCAAGCCCTGGCCCCGGTTCTATAGGGGAGACACGGTCCATGCACGCACTCCACGCGCCCTCTTAAATTCACTGCGTCACACACGCGTGTACTAAACCAGAAACAGGGCCCGGCACGGGGGAAACAGGGGTTGCTGGAAGGGGCGAGAGAAAAATAACAGCAACATATCAGCGGAGCAGGAAGGTTGGTGATGGGGGTAGCAGGCCCGTGGCCGACTCGGGGGCCCGTGGCCGGCCCCACGAAGCCTTGGGAACACATGCACGACAAAAATGTGGCCCCGGACCCCGCCGTCAGAATCTTGCGGTCGCGTGCGGGGCACGGGACCCGGGCCTTATATGGCGGCGTGCCAAATGACATGGGGTGCAAGATTTTTTTTCGTTCGTTCCGTGTGCCCTACACCGAGCGATACAGTGGCTCTTCGGCGCTCTAGTACGGGGGAGGGATTTTATTATTATATTTCTTTGGCAGAGATAGGGATACGATAACAGTACGGCAGCCCGGCCGTGTGATAAATAGGTGCGTGTCATTTTGGAATGCTTGGATCCTATAGTCGACATATTTGTTGGAATTGAAACGGAATAACATTTATCTAACAGGAGGAAAAAAAACCTTTTACACTCGCGTGAATAGTCTGAACAATCAGTCTATATAGAACACAAATTAATTTACCCATTATTTCGAAACGTATGTATTTTCAAACGTTTCTGAAGATTTTTATTTTATTTTATTATTATTATTTTTATTTTTTATTATTATTATTATTTTTTTTTTGGGGGGGGGGGACAACCACATCACAGTGAGACGACAAATTTCTTTTTGATATAAAAAGTACATACCGAATATGCACAAATTGTACACCGATTATTAGCTGTTTCAATTTTGAGTTATTTTCATAAAATGTTTTTTTTACGACATGAAAGTTCCCAAAAGTTCAAGAAAATTTAGCGAGGCTATAGTCAATGAAGTGTGACACAAATTCACAGCGAGTTGCAAAAAGTTTTGTTTCAGTAAAAAAAAAAAAAGGGTCCATGAACTTGTACATTAATTAAATGTTATTAGTGCCAACATAAATACTGATAAAAATGACAGGCATAGGCCTAAGTAAACACTTCTCACTTCAATTGTTACCGGAATTAAATAACAAAAAACTGCCTAAAGCGATGACCTCAAATGCTGTATCGTCTATTAAAGATGTTAGATAAATTGAATAGTTCTATTAGTTTTCACCGAGCTATTATATAAACAACAGACAAAGGAGTATTCTGCAGACAATTTTTTAGCAGTAATCGCCTCGTGAACTTCGATCGTTCTGTCCGTTGCAATGTTTAGTGGCTATCGGGTACAAATTGATCGCGCCAATGTCCGAGGCAAGCGGTCACCGACTTCAGTTCAGGTGTTTTTCGACCCAGGTCATTGAAGAAAAACCCTTGCGTTTAATGAGAACGGAGTTGTAACTATCGGCAGTTGCGCCATGTATGGCTGCACACTCACCTGATCCAGTCGCATGGCGTCGCGAATCGTGCTGACTTGGGACGCCATAAACGCCAAGAAATGCGACAAATCTTGTCCATCGACCATATTTGCGCCTCTTAAAGTGCCCAAAATGAACCCCTACGGGACTACTCTGGCTCCCAAACGCCAAATAAGCTTCACACGGTTCAAGAAACTACGCATAAACAACAGGGCCTTTCTTTCATTCCTTCTGTTCTTTCTTTCAAAAGCAAAGTTTGTTGCTAAGTTTCCAGGTCCTCTAAAGGAACCCAACACCATTTTTCGTTTCAGGTCAGAGGACGCGGATAAAGCCCCGCATTCCCGCCTCTCCGAAGCTGATACCATGGTTACGTAAGACTTTTCACCAGCGGGGGGCCCGGCCCCTGGTTGTCAAGGCGACCTCAGGTTCTCATCGGCCGGATTTTCCGCTCAGTGACTCCTATCTTGGATTCGTGACAAAAGATCTGTACGTAAAATGATATCTTTTACCCTCCCTTTGTTAAACCATAGAACTTTCCGGTTTTTCCAGAATCAACGGATTGTTTTTAGGTTAGTTTCATGTTTCTTTTCACCGAATTTGATCTTCATTGTGGAGATCTTATTTCAGCAAAATTTTATCTCCACAGTGGACGAAACATCGAGAAACATCCCAATCTCAAATCAAAATGATCTTTTTCAAATTGATGATTCAAAAAAAATTGTTTGTCAAGAATCAAATATTCACGAGGAAGCCATTTTCGATCGTGTTCCCTGAATCTATTTTGTAATTGTAAACTGTTGAATGGGACGGTGCCAGACTATTTTATGATTGGCGTGCGTTCCAAGCCTCACGTTCATTTTTTTTTTTGAATTGTGGCTTAAAACATCAGGGTATATGTTTGATCAAAAGTTTTAAATTAGTCATCGGAGCAGATTGGTATTGAATTTGTAATTGACTATATTTCATTGCTTTCATTTCTGCTCGCAAGTTCCAAAAAATGAAGAGTTTACCTCGCTTTCAATTTAATATGGCCGACTCGTGAAAAAAGTATTTTAACAGACGTCATAGTGACTGATTGTCCATTCGACTTAATTAATACTCAGATCCACAGAATTCATAAAGCATTTATACGTAGAAAGAGAAAGTTGTTTACGTTTATTAACACACTGTTGTCCTATTAAACACAAATACGCAACACGGTTTGTGTTTCGCGTGATCGTGCAATCACCATGTTCAAAATGGACGACAGAAACGGACAGAGCAAAACGGCAGCGAAACATAAGTCTTGGAAAATATTTGTGATGTGTTTTAGAGCAACATGATTTATACTGTGAAAAACACTGTTGTTGAAATATATTTTGATACACAGCCGAGTACAAAATGGATACTTCGTGCCTTTCGTATTTAAAACCCTTAATCCGGTAACAGTTTTCCTGACAAGGAACACGACTGGGATCGATCTATTGTCCACTTCGGAACTGAGGAGCTGAGCTAGAAATGGCGCCTATCGGCCCCTTTCACGACCAGAAAAACTCATCTCAAGCCCGCGCCAGTATTCTACACTTGTACGTGTACACGGAATGCGCCCAAAATCACTCCGTTTCTGAATCAACGAGAAAATAGACGAATTATTTCGAATTAAAGAAAAAAAGATACTTTTTTTTTAGTTCTGTAGACATGGAAAGGTATTAAGTGCTGTTGGTATTACAATTTAACTTCATCTCACTTTTTAGTAGTTAATTCAGGAATGTCTAATTTTTATTAAAGTTCAGATTTTTGACAATCAGATAATGTCTGAGCCCTAATTATGGCAAAGCTTCGTGAGGTGTCAGTCCATTAAGCCACGCCCCCTTTACGCTGCTCCTGCATACAGGAGACGTGCTACATCCATGCAAGGGGCGGGGCTACAACCATGCAGGGGCGGGGCTTACATAGCAATGCCTCTTACTTCCAACAAAGCGCTGCACATTAACAAGTACCCCTCGAAACACGAAATCACATAAAACAGTTATACACGAACGCATTCATGATTTCAGCCCGAATAATATTTCCCCTCACAATGCAGTAGACTATATATAGGAGAGTTCTCGATAATGACCAAGACATGTAAATTATGGGTACAATTTATTTACCCCGAGTCATAAATAGACCCGCATATTTTAAAGCTATATACTGCGGGCTCCAAGCGTAGGTGAATCATGTTATTTTGTTTCTGTGTGTCGTTACGGTCGGTCTGTACACTGACAATATCAGAATAGTTACTGGTAGGTTTAACCATACCATACAGCCCTGCACATCTATCGCTGACTGCTGGCTATTTACACTGCATATGGCCTCATGATACCCATAAATTGCCAGGCTTGAACAGTTTGCATTTTGCACACATGCATGACACGGAACACGGCTTCTTTATACATGTACATCTACGAATGACTGTTCTTGAAAACAAAGACAAAAATCGCGAGACTTGAACGCCCCCCCCCCCCCCCCCCTCTCCCGTCACTCCATGACCCTGCCATTAAATTTTATTTGAAAACTTCTGCGCGTTATAAGAAGCCGTATGTTTTACACACTAACCACAGGCGGTCGTTATAAACTACGGCCTTTAGCTTTTAATCCCGTCTTCTGTCTTGAACTCGTCCACATCTGTCGTCAAGCCACTCCCCAACCCTGAAGTCTCCATCCACCAAAAGACGAATAAAAAAAGGACCCACCAGTACAATTCACGAGCTTTCCCCGGGGCCAGAGAGGCAGCGATCTAGCCAGCAGCAGCGGGACAAAACCCCCACCCGGGTTTTAGTGCAAGCACCCCGGGCCAACTCTAAAGGCTAGCTGCGCCGAATCGAAACACAAAACCAGGACCTTTTGTGGGGCGCCCCGATCCCCTTTCAACCAGTCCCAATCAAAACTCCAAAAATGATGACACCCGAGACTTCTTGGACGCGCCTAAAGTGACCTTTGACCTGGACACATTTATACAGTCCCCTTTTCAACAGTAACGAGCTCCTAATCATGATGGGTTCTGCTATACAATTTCTATGCACCCCCCCCCCCTTTTCACCCTCAGCCGCTGACTAATGTTATGAAAGCAGTAAAATGGGCCAAAATAATAAATGGAATGCTAAAGTTCCTCAATTTATTAGTGGGGTAGATAGGGGAAATATTTGGGGGAATTGTGCCGCATTTGGGGGAATTGTGCCTCATTTGGGGGAATTGTGCCTCTGATGACACAAGCATGGAATCTGGCCCACAGTGAGTCAGAGTATGTCATGAGAAAGATATTTGGCTATAGGGGCATCGCAGATTTGTCCTTTGAAAAAATACAGGTAGAATAACAAGCAATTATCAACATTTTCAAAATGGCTGCCACTGCTTGTCATTCTACCTATATTATTTTTTTTATCAAAGGACAAATCTGCGATGGCCCTATAGCCAAATATCTTTCTCATGACATACTCTGACGGTGTGCCAAATTCCATGTTTGTATGTCATCAAAGGCATAATCCCATCATATCTGCCGTAATATATTCTTAAATTGCGTTAGAATGCAGGAGACATCATCGTACATTTTCGTAAAATTTTCCTGGGGGCATGCCCCCAGACCCCGTAGCACGTCTTAGACTCACCCCCCTTTATATCACCCCCCCCCCCGTTTCGGTCAAGCTAGATCCGCCCCTGGTATAGTGGCGTCATTGAGAGTCCCATGTTTCCTAATGCGTGTAGTTATTGGAACAGGGATATCTCCTCAAAATTGTGGGTTTTTAATGCGCCACTCTGGTACTTTTAGTTGAGACCCGATGTCCTGGACTTCCGCGTACGGAAAACTAGTTTATGGACGATATATGGCGATGTATAAAGGTCTAGAGGTAACACGATACAAAATAAACGAACCCCAAATGCCTGCATTTTTTTTAACGAAAACAAAAGGCCTCTTCACCAGGCTGACTACTTTGCATTGTTTGGAATACCACGATCAGTGCGCATGCTCAGTAAACACAAACCGAAGCTCATGCGGTAGCATTAGACTACGATACTCACATTATTAAAAAATAAAAAAGTAAACGGCAGCGTTGTTGTGTAAACTAAAAGAGCAAACGCAAGCTATGTACAACTGAATCAGAAATAAATATCTAACAGTCGTAGGTAGTGGCTTTACGTTTCATTGAATAGTCGTCGGCCCGACAAGGATTGATGAAATCATCATTTTTAAACGACGACTAAAGAAAAACTGCCGTATTTGTTTAAGATTCAAGAATGTCAAGTGACTCTGACTCAATGTTTGTGTTTGTGATGTGTTTGAACAACTTTTTGTCACCGAAAGAAAGCGAAAGTTGACGCCTTACAATGACATACAAACGTCGTAACTCAACTGGACTCCTAACAGTACGCATGTATTTCACTTTCATGCGATCAAAATAATTATCCCATACAGTGTATGTAAATGACCCTGTTCTTTCCCATGCCTAGAAACTGGCACATCTGAAACCATTTCGTACTCTGTAGTTCTCCACAAAATTAATTTTCGAGTAGTGAACCCAACATCCGTGAAATTGTTTTCTTCGGACAAAATTATAATTGGTCTCGAAATACACACCACTGACCATCAGTACAAGGCTATGCGCCTGACCTCTGCCTAATCCCCGTGCTGGTGTTGTTTTAGTTTGAAATGCGCACGCGTGGCCTGGGTTTACCCAATCCGCGCATGTGCGGGCATGCGCGTTTTGTTGCAGGGTAAACGCAGCCCGAGTTTGGTGCACCGTGCACAGGGCAGGGGGCAACAGTGACCAATGGACGATCCAGTTGTGTGTGCAATGGGGCGATCAATAGCCGCTATGATAGCCGGCACGCGACTGCTCGCGTGCCGCAGAACAAAGCGGGCTCTCCCACCCCCGGATTGTGACTAAATCCCATCCCACAAAGGGAGCCTTTAGTCTGGCCCCCCCAATAGCAGGGAACAATAGCAGTTGTCCCTAGTCGCGTGCCGGACTGCGACGCTGGCACCCCGCACATGGCATCGGGGGGATACGAGGAGGGTGTCTGGTGTATCGTTCATTGTCTCTCAAACTGCTTCCCACCCCTCGTCCTTTTTTTCCACCTCTCTTTCACCCAAAATTGTTTCCAATAGCGTTTCTGTTGTGTGGACGTCGATTGTGGTCCTTTGTTGTGACGTAAAGTGCCCTTGTGTTGAAGTGTGCGGCACTGATGCGGGTTTATCAATCGGATAGGGTTAGAGTAACAAGAAAAATCGATACATGGGGCTGTTACAACGACACGTTGATCCCTTTGGCAAACTGCAGTAATGTACGACACAACCCCATCGGCAGTACAACGGCCAGGACAACCATACAAAGGCTACAAATCTCACGGGGTTTAAATTAACAATTAGCTCTGCTTCTACAAGGTTTAAAGGTGTGACCTATTGTGCTTGGTAACGAGATGGGTAAATGACATTGGAAAAGAAAGTAATACAAACTATTTTTTTTGGAGGGGGTCCAAATCATAACCCCCTATATACCCAGCACGATATGTGACAGAGAGGTACTCCGTGTCCCTATACCCTAAACACACCCTAGACTATTGGTACCTAGCACCCCCCCCCCCCATATCTCAAATTAATTTCTGATATACTGGTAACACAATGACCAACACAAAAGGGGGTCCCTCTTTCACCATTAACAACGGGGAAAAATAATGTTTTCATAAAATATGGTACATTGTCCAACAGCAAGTTATCAACTAAAAACTGTGCTGAATTTTACAGAAATTTACGTTTCATACCAAAACTGTCATTTTATTTCCAGGAAAAACCAGAATTGTTTTGCCCGATTTATTCATTTCCCCAACGCAGCTTGTGTGTTTGGATTCTAAATTAGATGTCGGGTCTAAATTTGGCGCAGCGTTTTGTGCCTTTTTTGTTAGAATTTATTCTGTATTATTTGCGTTCGTATATATTCATTCATCGTTAATATCGTTAGATGCCTAAGTATAGAATAATATATACACAGAACAGAACAACCAGATTTGATCAGTGCTGTACGAAGTGTTGTGCCTTATGTTAGAGTGATAAAAATAAGGAATGCAACGCACTGGTTTACAAGGAACACTGGGGAGATTTTAAGATGAATTTATTTCTAACTTGGAGAGGAACAATGCACCAACGAGCAAAAGCTTAATGTTGTGCCACAGTTAAAAAATGGAGAACATAATTCCGCGTTTCTTGAATCGAAAGGTATATACCCTTAGAGAATATTTTGCAGCGAGTGAGATTTCCCACTGTCTTCGGAAAAGACATGGCGAGCGATTCTTCTTTTTTCGTCATGCGTCAGAGTCTAGTTAATGACCTCATTAAAACCATGCGACCAGTGATGTCTCGATGTCGATACTGAGAAAAAAATAAGTGGTTTAATTACGATCAAAAGAGGATGTATGCCCGCCAGTTTTGCTTTCCTTTTAAGGACTTTCTTTTATCTCCTCGGCGATTTTCTGGTCCCCACAGCAACACAAAGACTCTTAATTTGAGAACATCAGGGTTTGTTTGATTTGCTTCCAATCCCAAAAGGGATGTCTTCTAATGCTTCAGGGGATAATGGAAGAAGGGTGGAGGAGTTTTAATGAGACATTCGCCAAGGCCGGCTGTGCATAATTTGACACTTGCCCTCGCTCAAGCGCTTAAACCCATTGCTAATAAATTTCCTCCACATTTATAAATCATGGTGAAGTAATTTCCAGCTTTTTTTCCCCACTGCTCCCGGTAGAACAAAATATTGCTCTTTGAAACTGCTTAATAATTGTTCCTACTTGTTTGTAC